TGACTAGGAAATAGGATTTATGAGAAAATCGAAGTAACAGTCTTCTTTGTTCAAGAGATCATCATCTCATCATTTTACATTGTCGAGACCCTCAGGCTCAGCAAATTGCAGGTCGTGATGCGTAACAAGAAACGCTCCCGAAACCTCATGTATCATCTCATCCTTGTCAACATTCTTATTATTCTCCTCGACATCACCATCCTCGGTCTCGAGTACGGTAATATGTACGACATTCAAACAGCATACAAGGGTCTCGTGTACTCGATAAAGCTCAAGATGGAATTCACTATTCTCAATAAGCTCGTCGAGATGACTACGGGTACTAGAGAGCCCAGCTCCAGCGACCAAGGCAAATCGTCGACTTACGGACCAAAGACCGTAACCGGCCACCCCATCGAGCTAAAGACTACAACAGCTGGAAAAGAAACCGCCGTGGGTCGCGATCCCAATGTTTCGTATCAGGCATACGCGCAAGGTGGAGAGAGCGAAGAGGATATCACTCGCTACCGTGGTACTCATCCATCGAGGGCAGACAATAATAATTCCGGGGTTGTTATGACAACGGAGATCTTAGTCCAAAGGGAGGAGAGAAAGACGGAGTCAGATAGTGATACCATTCAAGAGCCAAGTTCCGTGGCAAGGCCGGACCCTAAGCGGGACAACACGGATAGTCTCTCTACATCATCTTCAGAGCTTCATTTAGCAACGAATCGGGGCTTCTAGATATATGTTAGATATCATAGAGCGGGGGTGGATAATATCATTCACAGGGTCGAGAGATAACCTTGTTTATAGGCTTTGAACACATTTGTCCGAGAGACAACGTAATTTAAATCATGTATATCATAAAATCCTATTTGAATTTATCAATCTTGATATACCGCAACCCTGAATTCTACCTATATGGGGAAAATAGGGTGAGGTGGAGAAACAAAAATGTCCGATCCCCAGACTTGGCCAAGGTAGATATGATGTGATGTGATTATGTGATGCAAGGCTCATTACCTGCCACTAGAGCGCCATGCATTGAGCATGGGAATGGAGGTCCCTAGTTAATTACACGTTTGAACTTATGCTTGTAGGCTCTTTTTGGGTGTTAATGGGCGCGCGGATGAGGCGTGAACGGCGCAGTAAAATGCCCCCAGAAACGAGCGTTGCTGATAACCAGGGTTAAAGGGTTGGAGCAGCCATCGTCTCCCAATGGTTTTTCATCTGTGACAGTTGATGGAAATACGGCATTCATCAAGCAGTGCACATTGTAAGGAGATTTTATACCTTCCTCATCGGGGGAAAGATCATGCAATAATAGTAAGCTTAAGACGCCCCTGAACGTCGTTGTCAGACCTGCGCGCGGGCACATCTAGGAAGGTGAGCAATACCTTGCAGGTGGCTTCGGGAATGTAGAAGTTTCCGGCGCGTATAATCCTCCAGTCATGGGTTTCAATTATAAAAGGATAAGTGATTGCTCCAAATATCGGGAGAAAGATGGTTGCGTAAAGCTTTGTTAACAGCCTTACGTATACGATCTTCTACTACTAACCCAGTAAATTACTCGCCTCGTTGCCAATATGAGAGCAGCATTGCTAGTCTCTCTCTTTGGGGCTGCGGCCTTCGCGAACGCTGTCGACATCGAAAAGTTTCGTCTGAAGTCGTCGACGAAGTACGTAAAAGCTTCGGATACCGTAAAGGCAGCGAGGTTGGTCAAGAGAGGTAGTGACTACATTGACACGGCTACCGAGCTTGTAAAGAGTGTGGCACCGGATGCCGAATTCCGTGTGATCACGGATCACTATGTTGGTAGTAATGGTATCGGCCATGTGAATTTCCGCCAGACGGCCAATGGCATCGACATCGACAATGCCATATTCAACGTTAATGTTAGTTTTTGAAATCAGCGGCTCACTTTGAACAACATGTTAATTGAATCGGTTCGCTAGATTGCAAAAGATGGCAGTCTTTTCTCTTATGGAAGCTCGTTTTTCAATGGCGACCTGCCTTCGAAAGACTCTACCTCACAATTGGGGGCTGTTGAGGCGCTTGGAGTTGCCTCAAAGACTCTTGAGCTTGGCATTGAAACTTCCGACGGCTCTCTCTCCGAGAAAGATGGCGCTTATATAATTAATGGCATTTCTGGCACCAAGGAAGACCCAAAGAGCAAGAAGGTTTACATAGTGAAGCCTGATGGAAAACTGGCGCTTACTTGGAAGGTCGACACCAAGGTCAAGGATGCCTACTACTCTTCCTACGTTGATGTCGACTCCGCTGAGGTCGTTGGGGTTTCTGATCACGTTTCTCATGGCACCTTCGAAGTTTAGTAAGTCACCTTATTCTAGCTGACAATCTGTTGGAGAAAGGGCTCACCAGGCATAATAGTCCCATTGGAATTAATGATCCCTGGGAGGGTGAGCGTTCAATTATCATAGACCCAGAGGAGACGACAGCTTCTCCGAACCGTTGGTTAGAGACATACTATGGATACAACTGTACAGTTGGGAATAACATCCAAGCCGCCGTCCTACCACAAAGTGGGCGCGTCACCTTCTCTGAGCCCAATGCTGAGGGCACGTACGTCTTCGATTACACCCCTGATGGAGGGGACCCAGTTACGTTCCGTGATGCGGCTGTGACCCAGGCATTCTACACTACCAACATGCTCCACGACCTTTACTACCTCCTCGGATTTACTCCTGCTGCCGGCAACTTCCAACGAGACAATTACGGACAAGGTGGTCTCGCTAATGACCCTGTTCAGGTGTATATTCAGGTTTGTTGGAGTTCCCTCGGCCCTACGTGTCTTATCCCAAGATAAGCTCTTTGCATTGCATTCTATTATATTTGAGACTGACGAGGTGATTGTTGAATAAAGGTTTGGAATGGGATGAATAACGGAATGTTCTCGCACTCGGTGGATGGTGAGACGCCAACATTAACGATGTACCTCTTTGATAAGACGGATCCTCAGCGAGACGGAGCTTTTGATCAGGGCTTCTTGATTCACGAATATACCCATGGGCGTAAGTTTAAATTCCATGACCAGCTTTGCGAGCGAAGCATCTGCTGATTAGGAACAGTCTCTGGACGGTTAACCGGTGGACCTGCGACTGACACTTGCCTCGACGACTGGGAAGCTGATGGGATGGCTGAAGGTTGGAGTGATCTCTTCGCCTCCGCTCTGGCAATCAAGCCGGATGATACAAGCGCCACAGCGGAGTATGGATTCGCAGCCTGGCCTCTGAATGTGACTAACCCTCGTACCGCACGCCTGGTGATGTATTCAACCAACCGTGATATAAACAACTGGACATACTCCAACGCCAACGGCCTAGAGAAGGTGCACCAGGTTGGAACGGTCTGGGCCACGATGCTGTATGATATCCTCTGGAGCCTCATCGACAAGCACGGAAAGAATGACAACCCTCGTCCGGATTTTGATGCAAACGGCGTGCCTACAGACGGCAAATTCTTGATGCTCAAGATTCTCACTGATGCATTCGCCATGTAAGTGCTAGAGACTTTCTATGATACCGTGGATTGTGCTGATGTAAAACCTATAGCCAACCTTGCAACCCGACTTTTGTTCAAGCTCGTGATGCGATTATTGACTCTGACCAGGCCCTTACGGGAGGCGCTAACAAGTGCGAAATTTGGAAGGGGTTCGCCAATCGCGGCTTGGGTGCAAATGCGGTGTTCGATGCGACAAATCGGGTTGATAACTTCGATCTGCCAGATGGGGTCTGTTCGTAGAATTCTGCTGCTCCTTAGACGGAAGCCGTAGGTTGGTGGAACGGATTTGACTAATGAGTGAAATGATGGAAGGGGTTGTACTGGAACATGCCTAAGCAGAGATGAGAATACAGGCCAAGTCTTGCAGATTTAAACATATGAAGAGTGAAGTGGACAAATCGACTCTGATCTGATTCGTTTTGAATCTTTATGACCAGACGTCAGTCGTCCGATCGTTGAAGAGAGTCGTGTGACTACTTGATACTGAATCAAATAAGTCCGCGGCATGCGAGCTCGCTAGGTTGTAACATCTTAAGGTTATTTTAAGGTTGGGAAATACTTCATACGCAAATGCTAAAATACCAAGTTTAGCTGTCAATCAATTATCTCTCTGACCGTCATCGCAAAGCTTGCCAAATGGAAACCGGCTACTCTGCTCCTTTCCATTCCGACATGATAGAGCGTTAGACTGCAAACATGGATGAGTATTGAAAACACCCAACAAAAACTGCACTCATTCTACCCTCTGAAGTACTGGTATGTCCCGGAGAGGCGGGACATTCTTTAGTCAGACTGTCACCTTGTCCAGTGCCAGGAGCATAGTTGCACCTCTCAGAAAGCTTCTACTAAAGAATGTAACGATATGAGCACATGGCTTCCTGAGAGAGTAGATCTTGAAGCTTCAAACTGGACAGGTTGGATAGCACTTGTCTTTTCTTCTTCCATGGTGTAGATCTATACCCACAACAGGCAGTCATCAAGCGACGAGCGACAACCGATACCCGAGGAGCGAGGAACCAGTCTCTCTTACAAGCCGCTCGGATCTTGGCTTGAAGGGATGCTTCCCAAAAGAGAAGGCACCTAAAGCCCCAATTCACATCGATGTAGTAATGGCTTGCATGTCGTCAACGGTTGAATACATGAGGTCAGAAAGCGCGGTTAAGAATGGTCGAAAATCGTATGCTAACCCCGCAACCACAACATTGGCTCCGACTTTACGATGATGCAACAATTACCCTGATTTTATTCTTAAATATCATTGGCTTGCTCATGGCTGCGCAGTCCACTATTTAACCGCACATCCTGGGCTTCGGTCCTACTTTGCTGTGTCGTATTGGTAGGTCGGATCACCTGTTTCGCCTTTCGAAAATGACCAGGATCAATAGACTATTCATCAGGATATAAATCTGCGTGGGAGGGTGACAATGATAGTTTAACAGATCTGCCATCACATCCACAGTCATCCTGCCCGCGACTCCATATTACCGGCGTAGATCATGAAACCTACCGTACCTCAACGTTCAGTGTTTTGGACACTGGCTGGTCTTTATCTGGCCACTAAGGTGTACGGACAGGAAGGGCTGTCTATTGATGTTCCAGTTGAGGTCCCGTTAGATGCGTCGGATGAAGTTGACCCAGACTTCCTTGGCCTTGCTTTCGAGCAGACGGCCTGGGTCCGCTACGCCACTGATGACGCCGAGGGTATGAACGTTTTCAGTAACAACCTCATCAACGCAATCTACTCCCGGACTGGCGGCAAACCGATCATCAGACTTGGCGGCACCTCGCCGGACTACGCAAAGTATCTTCCCGGCCAACAAGAGCCTGCGCTTCCCGTATCCGAGCAGGACAACTACCAGGACATCGGGGGAACCACCATTGGTCCCAGCTACTGGCCCATTGCAAAGTTGTTTCCAAATGCCAAATTCATGGTTCAGGTGCCGCTCGCGACGACAAACATCAGTGAGACCGTTGCCTGGGCTGAAGCCGCTGTCGAGGGTATCGGAATCGACCAGATTCATTCTATCCAAGTCGGCAACGAGCCCGACCTATATAGAGATGACTTTACGGGTGAAGGTGGCATGTTTCTCGGACCACCTGACTTCCAAGGAAAGCTAAACAACGAGACGTACATTGGGAATTACACCAAATACGCTGCCGCCATCCGGGACGCCATCGACCTCCCAGATCACTTTTTCACAACCTTTGATGTAGCGGCTCATGTAGATACTCCCTGGGTGTCTCAGTGGATCCTTGACGTCGAGACTGGCTTTGGTCTCGGGATCGATGCTGACAACATCGTCAAGGAAGTTGCGCACCATTTTTACCAGAACCATGCGGGGGAGGCGGAAGATCTAGAATCCGGCCTTATGACCATGAATTTGACTCACACGAACCTGGATTATCTCAAGCGGCACATCAACTGGCTCAAGCAGAACCGCCCGGATGTGCCGTTCATCATCAACGAGATTGGCAATTCGCTGAAAGTGACCAACTCATATCAGTACCAGGCCCGCCTCGGTAGCGCGCTCTGGGCGGTCGACTTCTACCTGTACTCTCTGTCAATTGGGGTCTCGCGCTTCAACTACCAGCAGATCATGCATTCCGGGTTCGACCTCTGGCTGCCCCACGCGAGCGGCGGCTTCCCAGCCCAGGTTTTCTCCAACTATTATTCGCAGCCCTTCTTGGCGGACTTTGTTGGATCGTCAGGAAAAACGAGGGTGGCGAAGCTCGATGTGGTGATTGGCGAGTCAGTGCCGAATCTTGCTGCATATGCTGCATTTGAGGATGGGGTTGTGAAGCGTATTGCTGTTGCGAATTTGGGTTACTGGAACAGAACATCGTCAACCTTTGATCGACCAGTGGCATCAATCAGACTTGATCTCGCCTTGGAGACTGATTTATTGACGGTCGCTCATCTGGGCAGCCCGGACGGTGCTGGTGCCGGCGCAGAGACCATCACTTACGCCGGTAGTCAATGGACATTTGAGAGCCTGGGAGAGGAGGTCAAGGGCATCCGGAATGATACGGAGGAGGTGGTTGTTGAGAATGGAGGTGCTGTCATTAATGTACCAGCCAGTGAAGCTGTCATTATCTATTTGTAACTAGGTCATTCTCATCGCATCTATGCTCAAGCAGACTGGAATGAGGTCAACCAACATCTGATGAGAATTTCGCCTGAGAAACGAGGGAAGCGAACCACCGCTAAGAGGCGGCCCGCGACGGTGCGAATTAGGGGCCATCACCCGTCAAACACTGCTAAACACTGCTAAACAACGGCTCTGTCCCGTCATTTGTTCCGTCATTATGTGGCGCCCGCCTGGTTCAGCCATCTAATATATTCACATCTCAGCTCCCAATAGAACTGAAATCGTCTCCAAGGCATTGGACGAGATGGCGGCCAGGCGCAACACTATTGTGCAGTAGTACAGCCGCAGAAGCGTCCTGCAATCTGCCTCACCGCACGTGCGACCAACAACTGCGCCCCGCTTCAGCTCTGCGTCTGATTTTAACCATCGCGCAGTCCCCCACTTGAGGCCTCAACATAGCAAAATCCATCCATCCACCCATCCATCCCTTCCTGGCCCCATGAGACATCAAACGGACAGTCCGTGTCGCTCGTGTTTCCACTGACCTGATGCCGCCCGCCCCCCTGGCGGTGCCCTTCTCCTCCGCCGTAGCCCTCCAGTCCTCCAGCATCGACAGGCTCCCAACCACCTTCAGGGCCAGGGGCCAACCGCTGCAGTATACGAGAGACAACATCGAGGACTTCCTCTCCTGTGAGCTCCGCACCCGCCGGCTGGATGATGTCCACCAGCACCTGTGGCTAGCCGGGCTGCCCAGGCCCGCGCACGCTCTCCATCGCCAGGTCTCGTTCGGCCGCAAAATTCTCATCTCCGAGGATCCAAATGAGCATCTGACCTGGCACCACTCATACAACAACACCTTCGTCTTCATCAAGCCGCTGCCCGAGTTTCTACTGGACTATCAATTCTGGGAAACGGGACTGTGCGAGAACCACGATCTGCACAAGAGCGCGTGCGGCCTCCTGCTCTCGTACGCATGGCTCATCGGCCACCGCAGCGACCTCAAGATCGCCCATAAGGAGTCCCTCGTCCCCGAATCAGTCACGTGGGAGGCCTGGCTCAAATTCATGGACGCCTTCATGTCGTACATCGGCGACCCCGATCTGCAGACGCACGTCGACCGCCGCTACGCCTACGGCGACCTGCGCATCTCCCGCCTCAACTCGCTCTACCGCTTCGGATACGCGGGCTGGTCGCTGCACAAGCTCGTCCACGGGTTCGTGTACGGCTCGACGAGGTACACGGCCTTCTTCGAGAGCCACTTTGGCTGGATGCTGGCCGTCTTCGTCTACCTCAGCGTCGTGCTGTCGGCGATGCAGGTGGCGCTGGCGACGGACAGGCTGGCCAAGGATGAGAGCTTTCAGGAGTTTTCGTACGGGTTTTCTTTGCTGTCCATTTCCATTGTACTAGGGGCGATCTTCCTCATCTTCCTCGTATGGGTGTCGCTGTTCTGGTTTCATCTGTTGTCTACTAAGCAGTACTGTAAAGCAGTGGCAGCTCGTAGGGAGAAGAGCGAACGTGAGAAAGCATAGCGGGATATCACGGGTGCATCGTTCATATTAACGGCATTGGTAATCATTTCTTGGGGCATAGCGGTAGCGCAGCGGCCATAGAGTGTGTCTCATCAAAATTACAGCAGAATTGTTTTTCTTTCCCCCTATAGAGGCGAATCCGCCTCGTGCTGGCCCTCGACCCCTTCGCACAGCAACTCCTTCTCGAGCATGTAGTTGCCCACCTTGTACTGCTCCGAGGCGCGGGGAGCGTTGACGTACATCCAGCCGACCAGGGCGTCGCACTTTGCGCACGAGATGTTGCGGACCGTGTGCCGGCCAGTCGTCATCTCCATCTCGAACGGGGGGCTGGCGTGGATGTTGCTTGTCTCTCTGAATAGGAAGGCTGGGCCATCGCGTCCTTGGTACTTGTTGTGCTGTAGATGGGAGACATTTAGCCTAGATTCACTGCGGACCCAAGAGATACCTATGCAACATCTAGGAGGTAGGTATACTCACTCTTGCGATACGGCTACGCTCCAGGGCCAGAGGAACCTCGCAGGTCTTGCAATCGTAGACCTTGGCCTGCTGGTCGACGGCTGGTGGGACTTGGATCTGCATGGCTGGGCCGGGGTAATACGGGTTCAATCGTAGATTGAGCGTTGCAATAGAAAGAGAGTCTGGAGTGCGCCCGGCCAATTCAGCAGCGGGAGACGGATGCAAAATAATGCTCAGCGTTCGTTGGGTATTCGAGGCGGTGCAGAGGAGGACGACACAATTGTGATGATGGGAGCACAAGGAAGGTGAAGCGGGGTTAGCAGCAGCCTAAGACAAACTCACGGCGATTAGACATGTCACGGGACTTGAATCATTTACGAGGATTGCTGCCTAGTCTGGACAAAAGGTCGCTATTGGTGATGCGGGCGGACGCCTTACAAGCCATTTCGTCAGGCGGTCTGACACGACAGGGATCGTTATCGTTGTGCAGGCCACAGTGCATCATATTGAGATTGGATTCCGAACATTCTCGGCCGTAGGTTCGGAGTAGCCATGTTCCTCCGTTAGAGACATCATGCCTCGTCGTGTAAATGACCCTCGTTGGGCAATCAGGAAGATCAAGATCATGTTATTACTGTTGTGTTTATCCAAGTTCTTATGCATTCATTCTGATCTGATATTGTGTCCCTATGATGACATATCACTGAGCAGATCAGCCACATCACTGTTGTCTCACCATCGTAATCATACGGCTTGAACCAGCCCCATGATTTAAAGCCGTGAATCGTAATCGCCTAATAATTCCCTTTCCGGGTGTCCTCAAAGGCGATGAAATTCCACAGCATCGTGTGGTTTCCGTCGAGACCGCCTCCACACCGTAAACAAACAAATAAACAAGCAAGCAAACAAGCAGATGAACAGACGAACACGGCAAGAGCAAGGGTAGTAAGCCATTGTCAGCATTGAACGCAGTGATAATTCGTGGGGAGTAAATGGCTCAACTATACAAGCAGATGGCAGAACCATATCCCAGTGTTCACTAATCTTGATCATATTACGTTCCCCATGGGCGAGGGAAGAAAACAAAGCTCACGTGACCCAAATAACTAGAAGAAAACAATATTACGTTTATACGGCACGCCTATTTTGACACGTCGTGTAAAAAACAAACCAGAGTTGTCACGAAAGCTTCAGAGAAGGTTCGCACCCAAACCTTAGCATCTGCATTCAGGAAGCTACATCCTGCCGCAACCTGTGTTGGACAAACAAATCAGAGCAATAAGCAGGATCATGAACCCTTCCTTGCAGTCCTAGGAGTTAATCGTAGGTATTATTTGAAAAGGTTTGAAGTAGGCTCACCTTCAAGAACGCAGTGATCTAGTATCCTTGAATATTCCCATATATTGCAATTTGATCCAATTGACTACAGTTTTCATATATGCGTGAGTCAACGCGCTCTGGATCACTTTTGTTTATCTTAGGTTTTAGAACTTGGGTCTAAATAATCTTCTTGACCGCTTTGAAGCCTCTCCCTAGCCTCCATACATGCCACAAAGTTCCTGAATTAACGCCCACGCCAGTCATACGACCCTCTCTCCATATCGGCCGAGCCTGCCTTACCCTCTCGTTAGCCCAGCAATTGCCCATCGGATTCGTCCCAGGCACTATATCGCATTAGTCCCTGTTCGGTTTGATTGCTCGCCAAATACGTGGGCTCACCACCAATAGGCACTCCGCCGAATCAATTCGCCTTCGAAGATGTGCAGGTGGCGTGGTATCGCTCCCGGAACGCCATAGAGATTGACACACATTCCCCATGACCTGAGAAGTGATATAGTATCTATACACATTCAGGCATATGGAGGCTATTCATATAGCCCTAGATGCGTTGGGTATATATGCTTGTGGCCGCGATATCACTCTGTTCTTAAACCGCTTTATCTGAACAACTTCACGAGGCGACCACTTGCATGGATTCATCGGGACAAGCTTACATCCTGCCTATTTCGCATCCAAATCTTCCAGTTCCTTGTATACTTAATCCAAATCTTAGCCGTCCTTCAATAGCCGCCGCTCAAAAGCCATCAGGTTCGATTCTTATATAGCAATGGCCAGGATTCATCCGGCTGCTGGGCTCATGAAAGGACTTGAAGATATTTATATGGTAGGAGATGGATGTGGAGATTCCCCATACTGCACGACACTTGAGAATTTTCAGGGAGAAGATATCCGGGAAAATAGCCAGGGAATCTAACTCATAGGGGAATTCAATGGACAATGGACGCCTTGTTTTAGTCAACCGACTTCGAGGGCTCTAGCGAGCTTGGCGAGGTACCAAAATCGAAGCCGAGTCCCGTTAAGTCCCGTTATGAAGAGGAACACGCCCGATGCAACACCGCCGACGAATCCGAGAATGATACGATCCTGCAGGGGCTGCTTCGGGGCATACTGCGCAGGAGTAGCGTGTCCATCACGCTGCCCAAATGTTTTATCCGTGTCAATCTGTTCCGTTTTGGAATCAATGGTGCTGATAGGGCTGTGTCCCAGACTCCCAGGCGATAGAACGATATCACTTTTCAACACCAAACAGCCTTCAAACCCCCAGACTTCCAATGATAACAAACACCGGATGGTAGGCTGCCATCTGACCACGTATTCATCCTTTCTGATCCTTCGCAATAATTTATCCTGCCTTAAACAGGCTTCTCGTATAAGCGTAGCAGCGGCGGATTTTCATCCTGGGCAGAACTCATACAGCCATTATACGATGGAAACTGCCGGGGCAAAATCCTGGTTATGTTGTATCAAATGATTCTCGCAGGAAGATTATTTGTCTGAAGTGTGGTATCATTGAGTTATGGTTGTATTTTAAAAGTATTCTAAGGCCTGCGACCCGTCCAAAGCTTCGCAAAGAATAGGATCTCCCCCACCATCACCGCTCGCGGAGTGAGAATCTTACCCAATGCTCGATCCAACTCTGTAAATTCGTCCAAGAGATGCTCTCTCTGGGATTCGTCTGCTAGCTCCAGTGTTAAATATACCCCCCGAGGGGTAACGGCGGCCACAGATGGCTCAAGGCGGCGCAGAAATCTAAGATACTTCCAAATGTGGACACAGAGATCTTTGAGCTTGGTGTAATGTGCATCCGCCACAGGCCAGTTGTGGAACTGGCTCCAATGATAACGCATCTGAGATAAGAAGACGTGAGAACAGTGCGCATGAAGCAAGGTGTAGGCCAGAAATGGGCTGGAGAAGCTGTAGCTGGTCCCTGAAAGAGAATGGGGGTCTTCCTCCTCAACAATGTCTCCTCGTTCAGTACACTTGCCCACCATCGCTGCAAGTAATGTATCGATGTTCTCGGCGGTCTCTAGGATCTCCTTGCCTAGCTCCGAATTACTCATCTCGAGGTATTTCCCCGCGGAGGGTTTCCAAAGAGCCTGACAGCCTCGGACGTATACCGGTGCCCTATCAGAAGCACTTGCAGATGCGTGCAGGACCGGAAGCATCGATTCAGTCAACTCCTTGTCCACGCGAGACTTGGACCAGGTGATCCCCATGGGATCTCTCCACGAATCCTTGTTTTGGCTATCCTTCCAGCCCCTCGTGATGGCATGTGGAATCTATGTGAGTTACTCTATCGATCAGCTTCTAAAATTCCTTGAACCTCTAAGTCTAGATAATATTGACGGGGCAGTCACAAGGAATTCTCTCTCGCCCTTCTCGCATTTTCGGCGGTACCGCATGTCGACAACCTAGATAGTTGTAATGGGGCAAAGAGGAGAAACAGCGTGAACGTGGGGGTTTACCGTACAAGAAAATTGTATACTTCACTCAGAATAGAAATGTAAAACTTGTCGTTGGGTTTCGGCGGGCCGATCGCGGTTACGAGACTCGTCATGCCGCTTGCATGCAGCATTCTACGTTGGCTAGGGTTGAACAGCTCTTCCACCAATTGAAGAACTGTCACAGACGCCAGTGTCTCCGGGGTGCGCGCTTCATTGCTCGCCAGAACCAGACGTAGGCTTTTAATGGCCCTACCATATTCGGGAAGGCCAGCGAAATCGACCGCTGGCTTTTGAAGGAGAAAGTTGGTCAAGACGACATAGAACAGACTGACGGAGTCGCGAAGGCTCTGGTGTACGCAAACGCGTTTGGGCATCTCCTTCAGGTACCTCGCCTGGATTGCCCTTCCACGGCTCGCCCCCGCGTTCAGGTGGTTGACCAGTTGCGCAGCGACGCGATCTCCAGCAGTAGAGGGTGGAGGTCGAGGCACACTGGACCGAGAACGTATTGCCACTTGAGAACTGCGAGGCTCTGTCGGTTTCCCCTTGAGCGAGACCCAAGGCGCTTGCCCAGGACAGGCCAGGTTCTGCCGATGACACGGTGAACATACGGGCCACTTCTCGTCACACTACGCATCGGGACAGTCAGCTATACAGGGCACATGCAACACGGGCCAGCTGTTTAGGTACCTTTATCTTTCGGATCTTGCATAGTCTGCAACCTCTCGATCTGGGGCCGGCCATGGCGGGGGTGAGATGTTGGGGTTGTTGAGCTTCATGGCCTCTGTTGGGGCTGTGCTTTTATCTGCGGAGGACCTCGTGAATCCTTGATTTGTGACTCCCCTTGACCAGAGCTGACAAAGCACTACCCCTGACACCGGCAAATATCTATATCAGGGGCAGGATTGCGGCAATTCATCAATCCTACGCTATGTCCACTAATAATAACAGTAAACCCCACAGTAGAGTTTATTTGGGGACTTTAGAACGGTTGCGTTTGCTACGGTATGATGTTTTTCAAGGCCCGGCTTGATATCTCAACAAGTTATACATGGTTCAGACCCCTAAATTAGATTGATAAGCCTCCTCGTCGAACGATGTCCTATCTTCCCTCGAGAAGTCCATCTCACACTAAACTAATTTCAAGTTTGTTCGTAGAAAATAGAGGATGGAACATACAGCAAACAGAGTGTTCGAGCTTGTAACCTCAAATCCGAAACGCCTAGAGTACTCGATATAAGGGCTTTATGTCTTCTACCCCGGTCGATTCGCTAATCATTTCCTTACGAATTGCCAGGCTGAGAGGGCGTTGCACTGAGCCCTGTACGAAGACTCTTGGCAAGCCCCATAGCATAATTCTAGGACCAGAACTCGATGTGAACAGCCCCAAGCTCACTTTATGCCTTATAAGGTCTGATAGGTCAGCGTTCCACTCCTGCTAGGGTAATTTAATATTGGGAAGTCAAAGAGGAACTAGATCCCTGAGGAAGATATACTTTCTTAGCATAACAGATTGCTGATCTGTTATTTGTTCTAGTGCCTAGACCTTTCTAATTTCAGAATTACCTCTACATAACCCACAATTAATAAATATTGAGTTCTTTTTGAAACCGCTATCATCAGACAGGCGCACAGGGCTAGGAGCGTGCACATTTCATCTTCATGTTTGTACGTTGCATCGAAATAGCATAAGTATAAGCAGCCTCCGCAACGCCCTCATTTGGAAGTTGTGAATAACCAGTTCTCCAACGCAAGGGTAATTTGCACTCTGTAAAGGTAATCCATGAGCGCCGTAACAGACTGATTTGGATGCCTTGTATGATAAAAAATGAGATATCTATGACGAGAGACGCTAATGGGTCTCCTTGACCAAGGGATCACTTCTCTAGCACACCCCATGGTTATAATCCGATGGAACATGGTACAGCTAAATGCATTGAGATCTATATTCCTATCTAGAAATGGTTCAGAAGTTCATTCCGTACACAATCCGCCAAAGCGATTGCCAAATACATGGCATTCTCTTCGTTCAGTGCCGCCAAAGAAATTCGAGAATTGTCAGCCATGTAAATATGATACGTTTCTGTTAGGTGTTTTCAGGTGTTAGCACTCCTTGGGCATGTAAGAGATGGAACCAGGACCGTCACACGCACCTCTCAACTCTTTGACAGCCGCCCTCGATAGCCCGAGAAATCCAAATAGCCCCTTCTGGCGGATGATGAAGTTCTATTGGCTAGGTATTGGTATTAAACTCTTAGCTGTGTCGTGTATATTTACGCATTCGTGATAGCTTTTCTCAACTTACCTTGATCCAGCAACGAGTCATAGAGATATCGTCTGAGATAACAAGGTGTTCAAGGTCTTTCGCCCATTTCTCAGTGAGCTCGGAATCTGTCAATACAAGGTGTGCAACACTAGCACCATAACGAGGCGGGCTCGACATCTGCGACCGTTGGACTTGCTCGAGGAAAGCCGAGCAGTCAGATGCGTTGGTATTTGATGATGTGTACACCAGCAAACAGCCGACTCCTTCCCTTAGTGATGATCAGCTACTTGTCTATAGTGTTTGGACGTACGAGCTTACCGTAGAGCCCCATGGAATGGTCATAAGATGCGCATACTGCCGTCTCAATCTTCAGCTCATCAATGAAATAGCGGACCGCAAACGCATCTTTATCAACAAGTCCTAAGGCGAGGCCCAGATATGCCGCGTTAAAAATAGGAAACAAGTTCCTCTCTTTGATTATTCTTCCAACCTCAACCCATTTTTCCTCTGAGAAATCGTTGCCAGTCACATCATCACCGCAGGCATACAACAAGATGGCGCTGCCTGCCTCAGTAGCGATCAACATCTTCTTGTATGAATCGAAATCCACTTGTTTGCAGCTGGTATCAAAACGGTCAAATACCTCGCAGTCGAGTCCAGCGTCCAACGCTGCTTGTAAATAGTTTCGAAGACATGGCCTCTGGTAGATATACTTTTCCTCGAGGCGAGTGGTAGCGGGCGATAAGATTGCAGACCAGATTGAAGGCTCCAATATCTGAATTAGCTTGACATGTTGCAAGCTACACTTAAATTAGAGAAAGGGAAATCCTAAAAGTAGGCCTACATATACAAACCTGAGCTCCTCTAGTTGAGGAATTTTCTTCACCTAATATGCTCTTCGCAACCGCATCTCTCAGACCCTGATGTCCCAAGATAGGCGAGCATCTTTGGATAAGGTCCTGTTTGTTATGACAGCTAGCCGCTTCGCGGACAGAGGGTAAGAAGGAGCATCTGTCTTGTCCATCACACGGAGCACTTTGGATAAGATTGACTTTGTGAGGAAAGTCATCTTGGGCAAACTCCTCGATCTTCCCCGAGATAGGGCCCAACAGAAGTTGCAGTTTGTTTCCAAAGAAGCTTAGCGGAATTTCTGTTTCGGAACTCATGACTGGCTACAGGTTGACTTGTTGCAGATTTTGGTCATTGTTTGTGTGTAATAATCTGTTTCTCGAGATGATGATCCTTATTTCTAGTTGCACCCCAACGCTCGACATATGGCAAACTGTCACTTGACAGCTATCCGGGCGAAAATCATGCTGTTGCACGGGCCGAAGCCGATGTGCGTGAGTGGGTCAACTCGCCAGCCATCTTGCCGTCCGGCCATCTGGAATCCGAGTGTGCATGTGGCGCATCGTCAATATGACATGGCTATCATTGGCTTATGAGACTTGGCAAATGCTGCAAGCCGGAATGAGTTGCTCGGTCTCCATGGTATGGTAGACCCAATCGTAATACGAGAACATCTTGCTGCTCGAAGCGCGTACTCAATCCCAAGACCCTACACTGGTTTACCAATATATTCTACACGCCAAACGTAGGCTGCTATTTAAATATTTGTTCCTGTGGACGTGTAAAAAATCTAATCAACTTGTACCTTGCATCCACAGCTTTGCGGCGGCAGTTGAGAATTTTGTCTCGGGAAAGTGTCAGCACCTCGGATAGCTGTCATCCTGTAGGGCGTGAATCATGACACAATCATGTTATCCCAAAGGCGTGGGAAATCTCTTCAATTCTAGCACGGTAAGTTGAATATTAGTTTCGGATATTTCCCGAAAGTTGTGGACACATTTCGAACTGGCCAAATGCCGTATGCTTCGATCCGCTAACCTCTCCCATCCCTCCGCTTTCTCTCGTTTGACATCCATCTCCGTATTCGCATATCATATACAATGGTGAGTCAAACTTCATCCTGATCATATTGGAATAAGATGCATTCAGAGTTAACAAAAAGGAAAATAGAGTCAGAAGCAAGCGGATAAAAAGAGGCCGGACGAAACTTTCGGCATCACGGTGTCCAAAGATGAGAACTTTTCGCAATGGTATCAGGAGGTGGTTCTGAAGGCGGAAATGGTCGAATACTACCAAGAAATATCGGGCTTCTTCATCTTGAGGCCCCTCTCAATGTTCATTTGGAACCAGATCAAACAGTGGTTCCAAGAGCGACTTGACGAGATGGACGTCGAGGAGGCGAGCTTTCGGACCTTTCTATCCGCAAAGTCGATTGAAAAAGAAAAAGACCATGTCGAAGGCTTTACTCCTGAACTCGCATGGGTAACCAAGGCGTAAGTGCACTACCGACTGGAACATCTTCTTAGTCTTGCCGCCAGCTAATGACACTACTCCTTCAGTGGCTCGAAAGAACTCTAGACCCCCATCGCCGTACGACCAACTTCAGAAGCCATAATGTATCCATACTATAGCAAATGGCTCCGGAGCCATCGCGATCTTCCTCTACGACTGAATCAGTGGAACTCCGTCATTCGGTGGGAAGCTAAGCAAACAACACCGTTCCTTCGTACACGAGAGTTCCTCTGGCAAGAAGGACATACTGCGCACTTGACCGAAGAGGATGCAGGCAGGGAAGTTCGAGAGATTCTAGCTCTATGCTCAAATCTATGAACAGATCCTCGCAGTCCCTGTTGTACGTGGCCGCAAGACTGAACATGAGAAGTTTGCTGGGGCGTACTACACAATGACTGTTGAGGGCTACATCCCAGCTAATGGACGGGGAATCCAAGGCTCAGCATCCCATTGTCTAAGACAGAACTTTAGGAAGATGTTTGATATTTCCGTTGAAGATCCGACAGGTAACGGTCATATCCATGTCTGGCAAAACTCATGGGCCTTTTCCAGCCGCGTCCTAGGGGTCATGGTAATGATTCATGGCGATGATAAAGGACTGGTGCTTCCTCCTCGAGTAGCTCAAATTTCAGACAGTTATCGTCCCTGTTGGTGTAAAGAAGTCAACTAGCTCAGAGGAGAAACAGGTGTTCATCGATCAGATAGAGGGTATAGCCAAGAAGCTGAAGCTGGCCGGTGTACGAGTATGGGTGGATGACCGGGATGGCTACACTCCAGCCTGGAAGTTCAATGACTGGGAACTCAAGGGGGTCCCTTTGAGGATTGAGTTTGGCCCACGGGATGCTGCAGGGAGCGTAATAAGCTACTGTCGGAGGGATAACAGCGAAAAGGGTACAATCCCGATTGACAATATCTCAGCCGAAATCCCGGAGCTACTGGAGGCGATCCAAAAGAGCATGTACGATCGTGCTGAGGCATCATATCGACAGCATCGCATCCAAATTTGGAAGTGGGAGGATGTTCTCCCAGCCCTGAATGAGAAGAATGTCTTGCTGATACCATTTTGCCTGGAAAAGTATTGCGAGGAGAGGATCAAAGAGCTTACGACGCGACAGGACGATACGTCGCATATTCCAGAGGAAAGGCGACCCCCAACTATGGGGATGAAGAGCCTATGTATTCCCTTTGAACAGCCCGGAGGCCTGGGTCACTCAACTAAGTGTTTAAACCCTAAGTGTGGGAAAATGGCGTTGAAGTGGACCATGTTTGGTAGAAGTTACTAGATAGCTCCGTGAGGATTCTATGGACAACCAGAAATGCGCATCCATATCGTCATTCAAGGCCAAATTCGCCCTCGCAACAATTCGTAAAGATAGGCACGAGTATTAAACTCGATTAATCCCCTATTGGATGACCCTTCCGACCCTTCCCATCTACTAGGAGAAGCGTGCACAAAAAGCACACTCAAGATAGTTTTGTCGCGGATGTAATGATGTACTCTAGGCTACTCTCAACGCTTTAGATTTTACAAATAATGGAAACATCTCAGAAAAGTGAAAAGCCGAATTCATGAAACACCACACAGCAGTTCGATCAACCTGCACCTTTTCCTAAACGACCTAGCCAGCCACTTACAAGCCCGTCGATAATTTAAATAAGTCTCATTTTCCGCGTCACTAGTTTCAAGGGCCAGTATAGCATATCCTGCTTTGCGCATGTCGAAATTGGCAGGATCAATAAGCCAAAGTTCACTCCTTTCAGAATCCGATGGGTGGTGCATATAGCTCTGGATCACGATCACCATCTACAAGGTAATCAGCTTATCAGTTTTGTTCACTACGATCCGGTTAGCAGCCGAGAGATTCAGTGTTTCCCGTTCCAGATGATCGGCAAATTTATCCCTCGGAGACATGACACACTTCCGTCATCTGTTGACTGTTTCCCGGTTGACTCGGGTGCTCGGCATGGTTTCAGAACTTTCAGTGGTGGAATCCACCCTCCCCTCCCAAATTTGCATGCTTGGCTTGGCTTTTTCAAGTTAATGCTTTCCAAATGCAATTGCGTGCTCTTTCTTCATCTTTTTAATCGTTGCCTCTATTTCTCTACAGGTGTTGCAAAGTCGAATTGTCAAGACGTTACTGTTGCCTTTCTTCTTGGATAGATTTTGTACAATCACGGTTAGAAATGGGATTCTGGAAGCCTGTGAGGTCTTATCCAAGTCAGCCGATTATTGTACGCACCCAACCGTTTTGAAGACGTTATAACAAAACTTCAAGCGCTATATGTATAGTTCGTTTTCGGCGACCTGAAATAATAAAAGTAACATTTCATAACGTCTTCTCTAGACTACGCGAAAGATGCTGTTGCGACGCGTCAAACTCGATGTAGGGTAAATAATCTTAGTCGGGTTAAACTGCCTGACATGGCAGTGAGATAAGGTGAGGCCCCTCGGCACTTCGGAAGTGTCATTCAAGAGCCCTGTCACCTTGGCAGCCTATTTTGCGACGCGTTATATCAACAGATAAAGGGGGTACACAGGACCACCCTTTTGTTCATCCAATCATCACCAATTGAATGAAAAAATGAGGACTAGACTTTCCTTAGGCAATGAAAATCAAGTCTTAAATAACTTTCCAATTGCCACTGATTGGATTTTTGGAAGGTGGGACACAAAAGTCGCAGATCTTCCTCGGCCAAAACGTGGCTTGTGATTAACAAGACTTGGATGGGTAGGAGAACGGTGCCGGATGTTGCGGAAGGCTTGTGTCAATGTTTAAAAGCTACCGATCCATGGACAGTCCAAGGCACGGATGCAACGTGATGCTTACATCCTATCCAGTTCGTTCCAAGGGTGCTTTGATCGCGCTCTGGCACTCTCTGTTACGCAATACGCTATACCGGTGGCTCCGGCTCGATTCCTGGTCATTATCTGTCTAAAGCCAGCATAATTGTATGTTCTCAGTTTCAAGTACGAAGTACGTCCACAACAGGCAGCAGAAGTGTTTGATCCTAAGCTCGCCATCATCACCGTGTGTCCGGGTAAGACGGCACATAATTGCCACTGAGAAGCGGCCAGGGCCGTAAAGCAGCCAAGGAGAGTTATCTGCCGATTCTAAGCATATTTCAGGGATCGGGACTACCGATGGAGACCTAAATGCCGGGATCGCGCTCTTGGCTAGCGACACAGGGAACTCGTCACATACAAAGGATTCGTTGGACAGTCTGCGATGAAACCTCAGGTTGGGGACGCGATAGCTACCGTAGCATGAGCAGTTTGTTTTAATTTCCGCCACCGGGAGCTTTTCACAGGGGGTGGCGCTGCGTTCCATGCTCCTTCGTTCCATGACCAATGACGCTCAAGCGTTGAGTAAAGGAAGCATAGACGAAGATTGAAGGAACCAACTCTTGTATGCTATGGCATTAAAGCGTCTTGACCGAAGGAAGGTCTAAGAAGAAGTGGCCCTTTTTATTTTTATCCATCTTTTACGTGTATGGTATCATCTTCCTCCCAGTACCAACAAGGGACAACAGGATTCGGTAGAAACAGACAACGAAATGTTTAATTAACTTATTTGGATTAATTGCCACAGAGTGAAACCGCAACTGAAAATTGATTTAGAGTCAATGCGTTATTCATCCCACTTGTTACCAGTAGCCTGGGGTGTAGAACCTGGTAAGTTAGGGTCAAGGGACCATCTACACTCTTATGCAGCTTCTGGGATTGAGATCCTAATTCGGTGTCCTTTTTTTCACCGTGAAGTTCCAGAATAGAATATATCACCAGGTATAAATACTGGCGGAAGGGTACTAGTCGTTTTGATGAATAGACAACACGCTCTTAAAGGCTTGACTTTCCTTTTAAACCATTGGCAAGAGAAAACCTAAACGTCAAGATGTTGTGCAAGGCATTCACTGCCCTTTCCGTCCTTGCTGCTGCTACTGCAGTAGCAGCCACTGAGACCCACGACGGCATCGAATACGAAATCCGCTGGGAGCCCAATGGTGCTGCCGAGACCGCTGCCATCAAGACTTCCTACGAGACGGCCGCTGCCGAGGAGGCCTACACACGCATACAGTTGGCCGTGAACTCTGAGACAAACACTCAGGATATTGGAAAGACCTGTCTCACCTCCGTCGAGAGTGAGGCAGAGCCGGAGAAGCTGTACAAGCTCAAGGAGTGTATCATCGCCGAGGCTGGAGATGACATCTTCTTCGACCTCTTGGCCGACGACATCACCAAGTCCGATGCCTTCTGGGCCAAGGTCATCGCTGAGTCCACCACCGACCGAACACAATGGATTCCCGCCCGCCAATACGCCAAGGCCTACTTCAACGGCAAGCTTACAGCCACCGCCTTTGCCTTGTTCGAGGCCAGCTCAAGTGCTGATGCGGGCAACCTCCGTGCCAATGCCGAGCACTACTACAAGAAGTCAGACATTCGCCCTGATCTTAGCCAGTCGTCCAACATCTTCGAGGGTTGGGGCGGCGTCCTCTCCTCCTTCGGCACCATGCGAACCAACTTCACAGTCCCCGACTTCCAGGTACCTTCATTCGGCACAGACGAGTACCCAAGCGCGTGGGCGATCGACTCCGCCTTCCCCACTGCCCTCCAGCGTGTGGGAGAGAAGAAGCTCGTAACCGGAGAGGCCGCCGGCCAGACCTTTGGCGTTCTGCACATCTCCGTCCGCGACTTTACCGATGACAAGGGCTCTGGCATTGAGATCTACTCTGCTGTCTGGTACCCTCCCTGGGACAAGGCCAGTGAGGCCGACAGGACCGAGTTCGCGGAGAACTATGTGCGGGACGAAGCCCATCACATGGTTGTCGAGGTCGTCAACCTCACTCTGGAGGCTGCCGGCCTTCAGTAGGTTTCTCACTGTCGGAACTAAAAGATATGATGAAATAGGGTTAGTTTTGTATCATAGTCATGAATAGATTGTTTGGAACTTGGAAAGAATAGGCGTTGCAATGAAGGTGGCATTCACTGCAAGATAAATTCTATACAATACAGTCCAAGGAACAGATACCCCAGATCTTAGGCTTGTAAAATGCGTGCAAGTGAAGAAAAAGGGCAAGTCCTTGGGCCTGTCAGTCAAGCTCCTTGCTCCCCTTTTTTGAGAGGAGCCAATAGACGTATAGGCTTCTCTAAACCCTGTCTAAAATGCTAGATTTTTTCTGTTGGCGCAAACAGAGTCGGTGCGCGCTAGAGATTGTCAGACAACCTAATCACTGCCATCCGGACAACACCTACGACTGAGATCAAAATCATCACAATGCCGTCACATGTCCCTGCAGCCGACGAGGGCGCCTGCCAGCATGGAGGCGCTGGAAACTTGGGCATCAACACGTGGGTTCGTCGTATATTGACGCGCCTCGCGCTCAAGACGACGGCGCATTTCTACCGGTGGAATGGCCAGGGCGTGCCCATCTCTCGGAATCTCGTCGTCAAGCGAGGCTCAACAGTTCATCTTACCGAAGCAGCGACAATGGAATTCGTCGCCGCCAAAACCTCGCTTCCAGTACCACGGGTCCATTGTGCGTTTGTACGCAGGGGCATGACATACATTGTTATGGAACGGATCAAGGGGGATGTTATTGGTAAAAGCATCATGTCTCTCCCCGAAGAGGCGCTTGAAGCTCCTGGGACAACTACGAACTATGCTGGATGAGATGAGATCTCTTGAACCTCCTCCTCCAGGAACTGCAGTTGAGAGCTGCGTGGGGGGTTCACTTCGCGACTCGCGTATTCCTCGATCCAACCCTCGTTTTGGCCCATTTGCAACAATCCAAGATTTTCACTTATGGCTACGGGACGGCACGAAACCAGAAGATCTAGTTAATCGTGAGCAAACAGACGGAGTAAGAGATGTTAGACGTATGATCACTTTACAAGACTTGCCCCGAGTAAAAACCTGCTTCACGCATGGAAATCTCAGTTCTTGCAACATCTTGGTTCGTGATGGCAGAATCGTTGGGATCATTGACTGGGAATTCGCCGGATGGTATCCCGACTATTGGGAATATACGTCAACTTGGTGCGGCAATCTTATTTGGCTAGCCTGGAAAGACTTTATCCCTCAGTTTCTAGATACGTTTCCTGAAGAACTAGAAATGGAGATCACTCGCGGTAAAGCGTGGGGAGATTTATTTTAAATTTCAGGGGACACACAACAACAAGAGATTGATACAAACACATTATTGATCCAAAAAAGCACTCATTATTAGCCGTATTCGTTCGAATAAACAGCAGTGTTCAGACGGGCAATTGAACAAGCATATTAGAGACAGTGTCGGGACAGCCTTGCATGATTTAATTGGTTGCCGTCAGTACTATGGTAGACGCCAGCATTCTGGTCTCGCTAGAGGTACCGCGATCAGCTCCAATCATGCAACTTATAGAGACTACCATCTCCCCACCTAATCTACACCTTGAGCGAATCATTCTCATACGCGCTCTCTTTTTTTGTATCATTTGGGCCAGTCCATTGGGAAAGACCATCGGTGCTTAGGGGCTTTAGGGGAAGAATCTATCTCGGGGCTCATATAGGAGGAGGTATGGTGCATGTAGACGAACATGGAGACATTTTATATGCGTATATTTAGGGTCATCCTTGGTAATCGCGAGTCTACTTTCTAGGTTCGATTTCTAAGTCGCGGTAGAAGTACAGTTCAGTGTATGAATGCAAGGAACTACTACTAAGTTACTACAATGTGTCATTGTAGGAGCTAACTCGTTCCAAACTGTGCCTAGGTACATATAGCATAATCCCGACTCGACTTAATGCGCCAGATCCTTTCTAGCAAATTCCATCAGAAGATCATTAACTTCATTAGGTAGTTCTTGAGCTGTCCAGTGTCCTGAATTAAGGGTTTTGGTTTCAAATCCCCCCAAAGCCCAAGGCTGGGTTGATGCCACCATCAAGTCAGCTCGGCCAATCGGGTCTTGAGATCCCCCGATAGCCAGCACCGGCACGTGTAGTTCCCAGTATTTTGTCTTGATCGTAGACTCATCAGCATCGTTTACTCCCCTCAACTGAGATCTGTAGCAGTTAAGGCCAGACTCTGTCGCATTCGGGCGGCTCATCCACGCTAGCCAGTCCGATTTGTAGGCGGCACTGAGAAACGGCGGGTCGTTGGTTTTTGTTTCGGCCTGGAGCCAGCTTCGAGCTGCACTGATAGGAGCGAGATGATCGACCCAGATAGTATGATTTTCTGGGAACACGAGGTGCCAGAATGATTCCAGCTGGGGGTGGGTCAGTGCACGTTTAGATCACACATCATTAGATGGACTTGACTACTCACATGAGTTTTGATTACTGTCCCAGCATCGTATCGATCAAAGAAGTACCAATATCCGTAAGGCATATATCCATATTCGGCTGAAAGCATGGAGTTGAGGCTATCAAGGTCCACGAAGCCCCCGGGAGCCTGATAGCCTACATTGACAAAGACGAACTTCTCGAATCGGTCAGGGTGGTAGACCGCAAGGCGGGTCAGAATCACGGAACCCCAATCATGGCCCACGCCGATCACGGTGTCGAGTGACTTGTGATCGAGGAGCTCCGCTAAATGACCAGACAATCTCTTGGCTCTATATTCGTGAGGATCTGTTGGCATATCAGAGGCACCAAACCCCAGCATGTCCGGAGCGAGGGTGCCGAAGCCAGCTGCATTCAAGGCCGCAATTTGATGCTCCCAGTCTTTGTGAGAGGATGGATAGCCGTGCAAGAGGAGGAAAGTCGCGTTCGAGCCACTTGCGGGATTACAGTCGTAAGCATAGGTCGTACCATCAGTTGTTGTGAAATGGTTGATTGTAGAGTTCCAGCTCGCTGCGGCGAGGGCAGTGCCGTAAAGCGCACTACTGAGAATCATATGCCAAGCTGTGGCTTGGAGGGCTAGAGATAGACGCATGCCTTCACGATGATTGTAGATAGAATGCTAAGAGAAGTTCTTGCTGGTGTAGCACCTTGACTATGAGTTGTGGAAACATAGGTGTTTTTATATATTGAGTACGACCAAGCGCCACTCGGAACATTGTTTGTATTATTCTCCCAGATAGGAAGGATGGGCCTCGGAAGTGGAGGTCTACACGCTATCCTTCGCGGATTCTTGCCATTCTACAGTATTTCTAAGCAGTTGGGCATTACTAAGGATGTTTACAGGGCCGAAGATTAAAAGGACGTCAGCTTATAGTGCAATATAGAGGATGAATCAGGGAATCTTTCATCCGTTTCACACGTGGTTCGACATCGTGGAAGATATCCCCGCTATTATCCTGCTCATCACACCTAGAGGCTTGATATCCAAGCGAACATGTTTACATATATTTAGCGGGCTAAGAGCAATGTTTTGTATGCTACATTCGATCAGACGGGTCATTCGCTACTGAAGGCGTTACATTTCATTTCATGTCACCTCATCCTGTGAATATCAAGCGTTGCCTGAACATAAATCCTTCGAATAACTACCTACCCACACTAAGTAGCCATCTTGTAAGCTCGACGCCAACCTGGGCCGGTTGATCATACATGATCAGATGGCCGGCCTGTTGGATTATTACAACCTCCTGAGCTTTGAGTGCATCCCCTAGCCTCCGAGCGGTTTCCACCGGAAGCCACCTATCGTCGGCTCCCCAGATGACTTTGACCGGAACCTTCGGTCCAACTTCCCCATACCGTCCTTCCACAGCCTCCGTCGACCTGACGTTGGCTTGGCACAATTCTCTGAAGAATCCGGCCTTCCCAGTACTCTCCCTAATCCAAGGCTCTTTCAAGAGCTGCATGGTCTCCTTGGATAAGTCGTGGTAGGCAGCATCTCTGATGTAGCTTTCTAGGATCCCTTCGAAGGCGGTCGCGGGAAGCCGTTCAAACAGGGCAGGATTCTCTCCAATAGCTTTGAATAGTGGTTGGCCGAATGGCCCGATAGCGACAACATCAATTAGGCAGAGGCTTACATAGTCGCATTGGTGAAGCAAGTGTGCACGCAGGCTCACGAGGCCAGCATTGTCGTGTGCCACCACATGAGGTTTCCGACCACCCCAGTGCGCCTCCCATGATTTGAATAGTGCGGCGAAGACCTCAGCTTGCCGGGCAAGGTCACCGTCATACTTGATTACGGGATCCTGGCTGTCTGCTGTGCCGGGTAGTAGTTTTTCTGGTGACGAGTCGCCGAACCCAGGCCTATCGAAGAGATAGACGTGGAACTGGCGGGATAAAGAGAGGGCAAAAGGAGTCCAGACACGGGATGACCAGGGAGTGCCGTGAATTAGAATGACTGGCGGGGATTGGGGGTCGCCCAGCGAAGTCCATTTGATATCAAAGGTGTGTGTGGTGTTTTCATGATGAAAATCATACTTGAGGGAGGTGTTATCTCTGTGCGTTGAACTCATGATGTTTAGTTGGATGTGTGCACTAAGTTGTAACTAGGATGAATGAGAGCAACATGTGATTTGGTTCAGGTTGGCTTTAAATAAAAGTTCAACATTGTCACGCCCTAAAGTTGACAGTGAGATTCAACGTCATGAACGTCATAGCCTCAAATGAGAACATCAAAACCAGGATCTCTTCGTTATTCCCGTAAAAAGACTAGCGAAACGCCAAGGGCCGCAGAGGACGATTCTCATGCTTTGGCTGATCGTTTGGTTTTTCCAACAGTAGCAACGGATTAGATATTTGCCATCCTACCATAGTGAAGTCTGCACAGTTTTATAATTCCTAAAACCATGTCATAAATTGCTGATTCTGACGCTAACTGCCGCCTATTTTTGGGGATTCATTGCAGCGATGGAATCAGTAGCTCCATGATTAGTTAAGCAAAAACCCATCTGAGCATCTTCTCCTTTCGCTTCACCAGTCGGAATCCTTCACTCGATAGTTAATTGGTCGTCGCGACCTGCACCTTGCCCTTGATCCTACCGGCGAATTGAGTATTCTCTTGTGACATGGTAAGATTGGCGATTCAAGGCAGTCGTTAGCCCTCTCGCTGGACTGACGATATTTCCGAGGAACCGGGTACACCTCCCTGAAGCATGTCCACCGCGACATTGGCCACAGGCGCTGCTGCCCAAGGAGCCGCATGTGAACGCTGCCACAAATACAAAGAGAAATGCACGTACGCTGGCCTCGATAAATCATGCGTCCGTTGTCTGAAGCTGAAGAGAGAGTGTGTGTTGAGGGTGAAGAAGCGGATGGGGCGTCCTCCCGTGGCAAAGTCAGCCTCTTCGACAATTCTCGATGTCGGCACTCGCCCCATGGAAGCCGCAAATACTCCAGACACAAATACCATGATTCTCGTCACCCAAACGATGAGCAGTCGTAAGAGCAACTGGCAGCACGCGGCTTTCGAAAGCCGAGGTTTCCCTTTCCCAAGGAGCCTGTTTGCGATTCAACAGAGCCCGCTCTCTCAGAATATCAAACATGTCATAGGCTCCGTTGATGGCTTCCAGGGATTCCATCGGTTCTTCATGCTCGGAGAGACTTTCACCTCGCTCTACCAGTCGGCAACGCTTGTTATCTACGACCTTGCCCCGCAAGTCTTTTCGAACGCATATTACGCAACCATGTCTGCTCTCTTCGACCAGAATAATCCAGGTCTACGCGACAATGAGCTGACACTAGCTGCGTCTTGTCTCCGTTATCTAGTTAAGCTCTCATCCTCTATCAATTGTGTTGGAGATGCTGCCGTGGTGATTATGCTGGGCCAGATCATGCTGGTCTACAACTCGCTGATACCAAACCCATACACACGCACAATTACCAAGAGCACTCTGCTTGCCACGAAGGAATGGTATCCGCAACTTCTAAAAGAACCGTCTTTCGACTCAATCACTCTGGCGCCCGTCTTTGTCGACACAGTCGATTGTCTCTTTCGGCGGGAGGTGCCCGTTGTGCAGATCCCCAACAGAAACATGTGCACGGTTGATAGGCTCTTAGGCATATCAGCGCCTCTATTTTCATATATTCACGACCTCTGTGTGGTAAGCCACGAGTGCAAGGTCAAGGGCATCACCCCTTGCGCAGAACACGACCCATACACAGATGTCGAGGAGCGCATTTCTTCATGGGTACCGGAATGGCCGCCAGACCTATTCACAACCTTCTCGCCGCTGGAGGCGACAAAGATAGTCGCGCAGGCTCAAAACTTTCGCCTCGGCGCCTTGCTTATCATCCACCGACTTCGGTATCCGCTCGGGGTGGAAGACGATGCCGCGGCTGTCATGGCTGACGAGATCATCCTACTTTTGTCACGGCTCGCAAAACATCAGGGAGACTGCGCGACGGGTCTCGGGCTGGACTTCCCGCTGCTCGTGGCTATGATTGAGAAGCCAGGTCCGGGGTCCGAGGTGGATGAGGCTTTTGTGCCGCTGAGATATCGGCAGCATGGCGAGAGTAGGCAGCTGTCGGAGTTTGTCAAATTCGTCACCGATGCCAGGAGAGCTGGATATTCTGGTTTGTGGTTGGACCTGGTTCATGACGGGCTACATGGGGTTTTTATTCCTTGAACTTAATTTAATATACGGTATAGATAGGAATAGGTAGGTGGTCAGACACAGCGTGAATTGTAGCGGTTCACAATAGAAGTAGTTGTATCACACGTTAGACAATTCTCTTGTACCGTCAGCTATAAAATTCCCACTAAATTAGTATATCGAGATGGCAATCGTGTGCCTATGAGCATTATAGTGGCTGGTCTAGAGCTTTGTATGCAGATTTCCATTCCATATTGTGACGAAACTTTTACCTCATTCCCCAGCCTCCGACTTCCCTTCTGCTAGAGATCCAACCACCCCTTTCCTATGCTGAAGTTGTTGAAGTGACGCACAATAGAGACCCGGCATATTCTTGAATGTCCTGCCGACTTGTGGTGTACGCTCGGTATGGCGCACCAGAGCATCCAGGCTCTCTGCTCAATTCCGTCAGATTAGAGACATATACTTTTTTTTTCATCAGTACAGTCGATGGGAACATACCCATAGAAGTAACATGAGATTCCCTCCTCTTCCGGTAGCTTCAGCGACTGAACGCCCAATGTGAACTCCCTATGGTTCGCGCGTTAGGGCCGAGGCGGACATATGAGCAGGACGTTGGTGGGAGACGTAAGCATACTTGAGATCCTTGCACTGATCTTTCGACACGGAGGCACGATGGCCATGGAAAAAAGGCCTCTCAAAGATGCGGAGGACATTGGCAGCCGATACTTGGGATCCCAACCAGCCAAGTACGAGGCATAGAACGATCAAGGGCTGCATTTTGGGCGGTTCTTCGATATGTTGCGGTCGAAGTAGAGAGCATGTCAGGGGAAAGGGAGGTGAGGAAAGGCTATGCCTGTACACTTGAATACTAATACAGTTAGCTCGCGTAGAGATTTCTCAGCTTGGCCGCTCGTATTTAATCAACGCTACGACCATCTGGCGTTCTCCATTTGAGCCATACCGCCTATCAGAGGCCTGGTTCAGCGTATTAGTAGTACATTAGCACAGATCTTGGACAGAGCTACATACGAAGCTAACTATTTTTAGCGCCAATATTCAAATTTCCCAAATTCGGGCTGTGCCGATGTGTCTGTCCATCTTCTCTCAGCGACAACTTAGCCTTAATACGTGCTGATTAATTGCTGTATTGAGAGAATGGCGCAAAACCCCACCTTCTTTTCATCGCAACCAAAGACTGATACAATTTAATAACTCCATTCTCCAACCTGAATTGAGTTCGCACCTTCCTGGGGCCATGGTTTCGAGTAAACGCGGAGGCAAATGAAAAAGGGAGATGTGAGAGCAACATGATATTACAACGGAAACTGTGTTTGCGATCAATATAAGCCCTTTCTCGTGAATTATTCATTGCAACTGGTCCAAGTTGGTCGCAATTGGTGACCTGGAACTGTAGGGACTTGTTGAGCACTGGCTGTAGCGGTAGGCCAGGGGGCTCAATTGCATCTACAGGGGAGTCAATCAGCTAACCTGTAGAGGGCTTAGTGAATTGCTCGTCTACCTACTTTGACGGAAAGCCTAATATCAGTTAACGGGATATGCGTACTGACCATTAGTGGGATTATCATATATTCCAATATTCCGACGTCTATTGTGAGGTTTGAAAAGAAAATGAGCAGTCATCCCAACATCAGGGACAACGAGATAGAATGACAATCTGCGTCCTCAACATCTCCCACGCAAACTTCGATAAGTCATAGACTAACACAAGCATTACATGTTTCATTCACTCCATAACATTAATCATCTCGGAAACCTAGTAACATTTTATTCCACAGCAATGGGCCCGATAGAATACCAATATTGCTGCCCCTCGTTCCCTCAACCTCACTCATATTTATGCCCCAGGTCTAGGCCCATGATAGGTAACAGGCTCTAATTCATATGTGGGTGCGCTAGGATACTGCGACGGGCCCATTGACATAACCCTCGGAGGCTGTTCTGGCACAGGTGATGGGTACATCTGGGCTTGATATGGCGGCTTGGCGGCATAATCGGGTTGGGCAAATTGATTCTCGGGGGTTGGTCCATGTGATTGCTTCTTCCGCAACAGCAGCACGATCCAAACAAGGAGAGCAATGATGGCGAGGCCAGCAATCCCACCGACCACTGGCCCGGCAACCCAAGCAAGGTTCTGAGGAGCAGGTGTCTCGGTCGGGCTGGGCGATGTTGTTGAACTCGTGCTCGTGCTTGTGCTTATCGGACCGGCCCTAGCTTCGGACGATGCGCTTGAAGTTATGGTAGTCGCCAGCGTCGTCGTGATTGTAGTTGAAGATGTTCTCTTCTGTCTGTAGTAGGTCGGCCTCAAGGAATTACTAAAACATCCGACATAGGACAGCGCGGTCGCATCGGTCGGGTTGTTGTAGATCAATCCTGAACCGCAAGTCTTGGACGGCCCACTACGGAGAGGGATGTTATTAAAGTCCTAACCGATATCGCCGAGGGATCAGAATAAAATACCATGTGCCGTTGCCCGTGGGAACCAAGACGACAGAGCCATTGGTACAGCCTGTATAGAGGTTTGCATCATCGGTGACGCAGGCTGCCCAGCGGCTCGAAGTGAAGTATGTTGAGCTACCGTCGCATGTTTCCGTGTCATCTGCAAGAGATATCTATTGTTAGTAATGCGTTGGATGAAATGTAGGTTGAGAAATGGATGCTTACAACGGCCGTCCTTGAGAGTTTGGTATCCCAAAAAGTTTGGCCCCTCGCTCTCTTGTCGCTGAAACACAAAATTTGGTGCCGAGGTGAGGGTTGGAGCTGAAGCTTGGGATGAAGTACTGACAAAAAGTATGAAACAAATCAATGATTGGATAAGCTGTGTTCTTAGTAGAAGATGCGCCATAATGATAACCAGAAAGAGAATGGATGGATATCATGGAACAGTTGTGGAATCATCCAGGAAGAAGTGTAGCAGAGGTGGGACACAATATCTACTAAAAGGCTTTACAATGCCCCCTATGAGGGATTAATTTACAAGCGTACCGCGTTCCTAAGTTTAAATGTGCAGTTCATATGCAGCTTGCTGAAAATCAGCTGCATGTGAGCTTGGTGAAACAACGAACAACGAATAGGGTTGTTGCGATGTGCGGAAACAAGATGACGGCGGCTTCCAAGATGACGGTGGCGCACTCAATAACCCCTGTAATGCTCCTACATTTTCGAAAGTGCACATGTGCCGCATGAAGTTGGGCTTAAAGCTCAAAATAATCCACATGCAAGTCTCAGAAGACAACGAATAGGGTGATTTCAATGTGTGGAAACAATATGAGTAGTCACAAAGATGACGGTACTATTGCACCCAACAATCCCTACCGTGCACCAACACCAAGGCTCATCGCTCTCCCACTGTGTGAGTGATGGGCATTCAGTAATGTCTGTGAGCATTGTTCGCGGATATGCCACATAGGCCAAAGACATTACTCAAGATAAACAATGACAGCCCAGGGGTAGGTTCGATTCCCAGGTTGCCGAAGGCGGCTCCGATTTGCCAGCAAGCCAGCGTTTAGCAACAGGACGGGCCGAGACATTGTGTTTCAATGCGCTAGAACCATCCTTTGTGTCGTTGGTAGAGCCAGAGATCGGCAACCCCCCAATTCAATCCTAGGCCCCAAGGAAAGCGAGCTTACCTCACTTCCCCAGTGCAAGTAACTTAACATTTGGGGCCATTCTTAGGCTTCGGTTCGATCTGTCTTTCGGACTGAATGTCCGTCTTCTGTCGTCAATATCGTCAGCACTCTTCCCACAGCCTTCTATCTTTGTGTATAAACCGCGATGCGACCATCTTCTAATTCCACCATGATCAGCCAGCGGATTGCTTTTCGTGTAGGGATTCTTGCAAGAAAACGCCTTTAGTGGAGTTCAGTGACCGAGCAGCAGCTGAACGAGTTGGCCAATATAATCAACAGAGACTAAATCTGACTCTGAAAAGAAAGTACGAAGAGTTCTCTTGGGCCCGCGAAAGAAACGGCTTATTTGGCTCTCGTCTCTAGATATGTTCCAAAGATTTATTCAGTGGGCAAAAGAGAAACGTATTTTGAATACTCTTACATCTCAAGGTGGCATATAGAACATCAAATCACCAAAAAGATCCTCAATTGTATCTTTCCCAACAGGGCCACATACCTGGTTGGGTCCACCAGACGGACAATTTGGGTCCGGAGGAGCCATTAATTTAGGCCTAGCAGAGGTTATTTTATGGTGACCCTTGTCGCTGCCCAGTCCTACTGCGACATCCACTGAAATAGACTCTCGGTCTCGACTTGCTCACCGTTCCTAGGACCTTAGATAATTGTATCCCAGAGCTCAATTCGAAACTCATCCCCTTCTATTCGATTACCCAATCAAACCATGTCAAGCGCAGCACAAGGTGAGGCATTGGTCATCCGACGAAGGCCTCACTACAAGTCTCGAACTGGGTGCCAGCGGTGCAGAGCCAGAAGAGTCAAGGTGCGTTCCAATCTTCCACTACCGCCTACCACATCGCAAAAGATGCTGACTCAATAATCGCCAGTGCGATGAGCAGCACCCGTCCTGCATCAACTGCCTCAAGCGGGGCGTCAAATGCGACTACATCCAGCAAGCAGCTGATCAGCAGACCCCCGAGCATCAAGAGCTTGCCCTGGAGAAGCCGCCATACCTAGACCTTGAAATGTTCCACCACTTCTGCGCCCTGACGGCTTATACGCTGTCCACCGAGACGCCCGTGCGCGACATGTGGCGTATCCATGTGCCCCAGCTCGCGCTAGGTGCCGACTACATCATGGATGGCATATGTGCCTTTGCTGCCCTTCACAAAGCCCACCAGGAGCCGGATCGCAGAGAGTCCCTCCTGTACCATGCGACTCGCTACCACACCAGCTCCCTGGAGAAGGGCCTCCCGCTTGTGTCCCTGATCACCCCCGAGAACGGCAGCTCGATGTACATTTTCTCTCTGCTCACACTCTTCTTCAACCTTGCTCGACCCCGGAGGCTGGACGACTCCATCATGCTTGGTAGCGGGCTGCTTCCCGGGCCGGTACAACTGTTACGCGGGACCCATCTGATCAGGGAGTCGCACCATGCGCTCGACAGGTCGCCCGTGGCCCTCGTCTTCCAGAGCACTGAAAGGATCTTCAGCTACTGGAAGACGCATACTCCGATCGAGCATCCGGCCTTGTCTGAGCTCCACTCCCGGATCGTCAGTCTAGATGACAAGGATAAGGAGAGGGAGCGTGTTCTCCTTGGGGCGATCCATACACTGAGCCGTAGCTACACGTTCCGTGATGACATCTACAATATCGAGGATAAGTTCAGAGGATACTACACGTGGCTTTATGAGGTGGGCGAGGACTATCTGAATTTGCTGAGCGAGGCCAACAACGAGGCCATGTGCATCCTCGTCTTCTTTGCGCCGCTGATACGAGATCTGGAAGCCGAATCTTGGTGGGTGGAGGGATGGTCGTTTTACATTTGTGAAGAGGTTTATTCTCTGCTCGGCGAAGATTTCAGACCCTGGATTGCGTGGCCGATTGAGCAGATTGGATGGGTTCCCCCAGCGCAGACAGAAGAATGAGGTGCAAAATGTATTTAGTTCACACGATATAAGATTCTATTCTCGTTCTATAATTTTGTATGATAATTTTCTTTGATACATTGAAGAAATTAAGCTTCAAATCGTTTCCTGTCATTTGAGAGTGCATGCCTCATTCTCCAGATTCCCCAGGATGTAGAGGCCTTGTGTCTTCAGACCTCATAGCCAATGTGATAAATTCCCGGGTCAGTCTGCCAGATCATGCGAAGTCCCAATATTGCCCCAGGATACCTTCTCCGCGCCAGGGTTGTTGGGCCATGCAAGTGGGCTCTTCTCGTAGGAGAGAATTATACGAAGACCCGAGACGGTCCGAGACTCCGTACAGGATCTCAATAATGAACGCACTCCAGAACTGCCACCGCGTAGGGTGTTTGGAATTTATTATTATCCTACTTCGCTTAAATGTGTGAAGCCCTATTGGACAATTAACCACCGACTATAGGGCAGTCATGAACCCCTAGAGAACACCATAATGGTAACCCCCAAAATTGACTCCCTTTACACATGGCGGTGAGGCCTACTATTCAGCCTGTAACCTTTCTCCGTAACACATTTTGTAACTCATAATTCTCACCGTCGGCAACCTTATATGATGCGTGGCCGCTATGATGCCTAAAGTCGGGCTGGACACATCCATCGCTTATAGAGACCGTCCTGAGACGACAGCACCGATAACGGTATCGGCTATTCTCATGGTGAGTATGAGCCATCGCATTCACGCGATCAGTCGCCCGCAGCTCATCTTAAATCTTGAAATATATCATCCTATAGAGCCGGGCTGACTCCTTGAATGAGATTCATCTACGTTCCTTTCCAAGCCTGGGAAGGTTCTTCGCGTTCCCTTCCAAGTCATCTAATCGTATTGAATGAGAATTGGACCTCATATATTCAAGCCATCAGCAGTAGTAATGCCTGGGCATGACTGACTTCGTCTGGTTTGCACCATTATACTTCGATGTCCTCGAGCGTAGAGTAAATGTAACAGGTTCATCTTGCCATTTCTTGTGTCTAAGTCGGGTTTTTGAAGAACTGTCGCATGGCCGAATGGCAATAACAGTCTACGGCATTACCTATCCTACCTATAGGTCCTACAGCACCTTACGTAGACTTGAATCTGCCTACCTACAAGAAAATGTGATTGGGTCTGTTTTAAGAACGAACCACGATGATGTGATGACTCCTCGGCTCGCCTGGGAGCAGAGATCGCTTTTCTATCGTCGATTTTTTTTTATCTATCCAGCCATTGTCATCTCTATGATCTCGCAGATCTACCACCAAATTGTCTACTAGCCAAAGCTTGCAACAAAGCGTCATCTAGCTTTGGTAGTGGCCGGCCGCCATTCTCCCCTGATGGAGCAGGAAGGAACCCGATCGTAACGAGGTACGCCAGGTATGTCCCTAATACATCGGTATTAACATTACTCGAGGCTTGCGCATCAGCTTGTGCCCCTTGCTTCGCCTCATAGAGACGCAAAGCTCCCAGCGCATTGGCGTCGTCCAACTCTGGTGCGATAGAGTTCCCGGGCAAATCACCCACGACGAAGTGGAACAGGGGTAAAAGGGCATGCTCCTCCTTCTCCGCGGCATCATTAACGTAGTCCTTCACCTTGGTGGACCACTCGGAGTAGGGGATGAGCGGCGCGTTGTATCCATAGACTTCGAGGGCGCCGATCCAGTCGTTCATAGTCACACGCGGGTGGCCGGTGACCTGTGCCACGGCGAGGGACTCTTTCGCAGCACCGGAGAGATGGAAAGCGGCGGCAACCACGATGCGGCTGACCCGCGTTACCGGGACGGCGTTGACTGTGTTGCTGATGTCCGGGCGCCCACCAACCTGCAGAGATCCCTTCCATAGACGGACCAAGAAGTCATCTGTGACAGAGATTCCAGATCTTGAGTCACCGGTGATGTATCCAGGCCGGATGACGGCGCCAACCAGGCCCCGTCGCCCGGCCTCACGCACCAGATATTCGCTTGCCCACTTGGACTGGCCGTAACCAGTAGCAAGCCCTTTTCTGCTTCCCTCCAAATCATCGGCCTCCATGACTGCCTTTCCATCCTTGTTGGACAGGTTAACGTAGAAATCGGTATCCAGAGTAGAGGTCGAGCTGACAAACGCGAACCGCTTGGGCTTGCCCACGGCACAGAGCTGGACGCAGGCCAACGTACTGAGCACGTTGGCTGCACGAAGGCTGGAGTAGGGCAGCATCCAGTTGACCTGGGCTCCGTTGTGGATTACGACATCGACCTCGTTGCAGAGACGCTCCAGGACGTCCCTGGCGAGACCGAGCTGCGGCTTGCCAATGTCACCTACGATCACCTCGAGCCTAGATGACGACAGCCAGGATGGCGACCAGAGGCCGTAGGCCCTGATGACAGCCTCGAGACGCGCTAGACCTGCCTGCGCATCCTTGGCTCTGACGAGTGCGATGACATTTGCTTTGGTGGGACCCTCGAGCAGCTCGTGGACAATGTACGAGCCAAGGAAGCCAGTCGCGCCGGTCAGGAGAACGGTCGGCGGGGAAGAGTAATCCCAATCCGCGGCTGCGGCGGGCATGGACTGGGGGAGCTGGTTCACGAGCTCTCGCGCATCAGCGGCGTAGGCCTCGTCCTCCGCATGCCCGTCTCCAGGAAGAGGCATGGCGTCAAGACGCAGACCAATAGGATCTTGGGCACGGTCAATCTCGGCAGCAAGCGCCTCGAGGGTCTGCGACTGGAAGAGGACTCTGATTGGCAAGTCAATGTGCTTCCATTCTTTGGTGACCTTGAAAAACATCTGCTGGGCCAGGATGGAGTGACCGCCCTCGTCGAAGAAGTTGGACGAAGGTCTGAGCAGCCGAGCGGATGTGTTGGGAAGCACTGACGCCCAGATCGACGCCAATCGCTTCTGTGTCTCCGTCATGTTGACGGACAGAGAGGAAGCCCTCCGCTTGGCCAGGGCCGCTAGATCTGTCTCGTCTGGGAAGGGGAGGGCGGGTTTGTCCACTTTGCCGTTGGGATCTACAAGCACACCAATGTTAGTTAAACAGCCACATGTTATTACCCCCCATTGGAAACAAGGGACCAGATGAGGGGGGAATGGCTGCTACTTACTCAAGGGCATTCGGGCCAGCGGGATGAAGAGGCTCGGAACAGCATATGACGGGATTTTAGTCGCGAGGAACTTCTTGCAGTCCTCGGAAAGTGACCGGAAACGTCGAATCATTTGGCCAAGCGACTCGTCCAGACTCATCTCATGGTGGCCGTCTTCCTGATGGTCGAGACTTTCGAACCAACGCTTGGTCTCGGGGACAAAGTACGTCACGAGAGTATGCTCCTCATTCTTGTCTCTTCGGACGAGGGTGACGTTTTCACGGACATACGGGTGGCGCGAGAGATGGGCGTCGACCTCGCCCAGCTCGATTCGGAAACCGCGAATTTTGACTTGCGAATCAATGCGTCCTGTGCACTCAACACCCCCCTCTGGACGGCGTCGACCAAGATCGCCCGTTCGATAAAGACGATCACGCGGCCCCTTGTTCACACTGGAGATGCCGGCCTCGCCATACTTTTCCCTCCATACAGCAGGTTCCACAAACCAATTGGTCAGAAACTTGGATCGGTTCAGTTCCACCGTGGTCTCGTCGTCTCCTAAATAGCCTTCGGAAAGTCCGCAACTCCTGATGAATATCTCACCCTGCTCTCCGATCTCACAAAGTCGGGACTTGTCCTCGCGGTCAACCACCAAAACCTGGACGTTTTGCATTCCCTCGCCGACCGGAATGATGTCAGGCAGGTCCTCAAGAAACTCGGGCTGGAGGGTCTTGCTGGGGATCTCGAAGAAAGACACTGCACGCTGGGTTTCAGTCGAGCCGTAGAGATTTATGACTGTGGTGTTGGGGGCGAGCTCGCGCAGCTTGCTAGTGTCCTTTTTGGTCAAAATGTCACCCACGAAGAATGCGTTGCGAAGAGAAGGGATGCGAGCCGTAGCGCCTCCGACAAGGATCTGACCCATGGCAGGGGTCAGATGGGTAACGGTGACGGAGTTTTCTTTCATCCATTCGGCGAGAAGCTCGTACGCAATTGCTTCAGCGGGGGGACAAACTATCTTTGCACCCAGGAACAGCGGAGTGAAGATGTCACGCTTGTCGAAAAGACGTAATTAGCATCTGAGGCCGGCTTGTGGTGAAGGTTGATGATGGCTCACTTACCTGGATTGGGTCATGCGCAATACCGGAGAGCATAGTAAACCTGTCGTCGGCTGAGAGGCCAAACTTTTCGGCCATCCAGGGAAAGAAATGGGTCAGCGAGAAGTGTCGTCCTTGAACGCCCTTGGGTCTTCCTTGCGTGCCACTGGTATAACTCAGTGTCGGGATGGAGTCTGGCCCGACGACGACATCGACAGGGTCTTCGTGGCCAAACCCCGCAAGACAGTCGCTTCCGTTGACAATGCCGCCCGTGAGCTGCCCGTCATTGGATAGGGCGAGGGCAGGGACGCTGGACTTGAGATTCAAGCTGCTAGAGACATAGTCCATGACCAAATCGGATGGGGGGCCGAAGTTGTCGTTGGCCTTTTGGATACAGACGAGGAACTTGGGCTTGCCAACATCCAAGATGACCTTTTGGCGCTCTGGAGGATACTGGGGGTCAATGACACTGACCGTCGCGCCGGCCTTGAGCGCGCCCATGTAGGCCACGACCAGCTCAACGCTACATAGGGAATGGTCAGCATGAAAAGCCCAGGCCTTGAGAATGAGGGCAGAGACGAACTCACCCTCGGAAAGCATAGATCATAACGACATCCCCAACTTGACATCCATGGCTCAGGAAGTGGTGGGCCAGCTGATTGGCACTCTGGTTGATCTGACGGTAGCTGAAAGAGCGCGCGGGGGACTGCGAGCTCCGGGTCTCTATGACACATTCTCTTTCTGGAAATTTCTGGGCGTTTTCGGCAAATATTTCATGAATTGCTAGCCCACGAGCAAGCAAGGTAAGAATGTTTTCTTACTCGGTGGAGGGGTAGATGGAAGAGAGAGCATCATACCTCCAACGAAATCTCCCCACCGGAGATCGGTGGTTGGATCTGGTACTCCTTGGCTCATGATGGGCAACGGTCTGGCCAGGCTGCATCTGCTTGATTGTAGGTCGAGCAATGGCAAAGAGGTCGAGGGCCGCGATGCTAGAAAAGTAGCCGCAGCACAGAGAAACGGATATAAATTTTCTCCGCAATCGGACGCTGCGCCACTGAGTGAGTGGCTAGTGCTAAGTTCAAACCCGCCATTAATGTGGCTTACTTCAAAGTGCTGCCTTCAAAATAAGAATTATGCTGGTTTATCAACTCAGTCATGCTTCCGCTAGGTCGAGAACGGGATTAATATATGTCTCTTCATAAACATCACAATTGGTAGTCGGGACTTTGATTCAATAAGCAATTTGCATTTTATCCTCCTGCATCTTTCCACTGATGGGATAAAAATTCAACCTTGTTGAAGCATGTGTCGCGGCGAATAAGCGCAAATGGCGAGCATTTAACAAAATTTCATGATTATATGGCATGTAAGTTCTTCCGAGCATGCATACCAGGTTCATAACGTGCATGCATAATGCCATCAATAGTCAATATTCCCAGTACCCTGTCACTCAACACCCGTACAGTAGTTGGTGGCTAGCTCGACGAGGCACGGTCCTCCACTCTCATCCCTTTCCCTTGTCGTTGTTCAAAGTCTTGTCTTCTCACCAAAGAATTGTGCCTTTCCGGGACTCGAGAGCAGTCGTCACTCGCAAGTGAACGTCTAGGGCAACGGCTCATAGGTATTGTGGGCGTGGCGGTTGGAGAACAGGTAGTAGATGATCATGCCGATAATAGGGAAGAAGAAGACGACGAGGGACCACAGGAGCTTGGACAGAGGAGGACGGTTCGACTTTAAGATCTCGACTAGTAAGAGGGAGAAGCGTTAGCAACTATGGAGCATACTGTATCTAACTGGGGATAAGCATACCAATAGTGACGATGTCGAGGATCAAAACGACGATTCCGATGAAGCCTCCGCCGGCACCATATCCAATCGCATCCTTGTTGGCAACTTTCACGGCGTCTTCCGCAACGGGGGCAGCGAAAACGAGGGCGGCCATAAGCTGGCAAAGCACAGCTGACAGAAAAAGTTTGGTCATCATGGTGGTACTGGTGACTGTTTGGGGGTCGGCGTAATGGTAGTTTGAGTTGGCAGCAAGCGAAGTAGAGGGACAAGTTCTAGCCAGAGCTATTGCGGGAGGGGAAAGTAATTGAGAAGAAGAGAGGAAGCGGGATGAAGAAGAATATAAAGGCGGCAGACCGTGTCGATGATGCATCATGTGGCGGGCAGCAAGTGATGATGTCACCATTTTGGGTGTCTCAGCTGACCCACCCCCGCCAATGATCAATGAGGAGTAAATCCATGCAGCCCAATCGACCGATGGCATTGCGCGCATGCCTGCTGCTGCCTGCGGTTGCGCGTCCCCTCTCTTTAGACTTCCGTCGCTCGCTGTCGTAATGTGGCTTCCAGAAACACCCCGAGGCTGACCTGCACCCGGAGAACCACTAATGGTAACACCGCTTGGCTTCAATCACCGTTCGGCGCAGGATACCCTATAGCCAGAGCAGTCAACATTCAATCAAGCAAAATTTCGAAGTTTATTACTGTCAACTAACTATGTGACCGAAAAGAAGGCGCTATCGTTAGATCATTTTGATATTGCTTAAAATTCATCACCTCATTTCAATAAACCTCAACGGATAATTCTGTGAACAGTCTTGTGTTGTCGAGAGCGCCCATCTTTTTCAACTCGTTCCAGCGAAATGCCCTATTGAGGAACCGTGCTAAGTCATCAAACAGCCGGAGCAAATCATCCAAAGCACTAGGACGAATTAGTCGAGAACTTCTGGGGAAACAAAGGTTTGACACGCGCGCCGCGACACGCAAGAAAGCGTATTGGGAATGGTTCACGGCGGAGCTGCTAATCAATTCTCTCCCTATCCAATTGGCAACACCTAAGCTCATTGCGGCGGAACGGGCCTGACAGGTGGCGCCTAGCGCTGGGGCATCGTATGTTAACCCACCGAGTCACAGCCGGCCCACCATCAAATGGTTTCGGCGTGGAAGAAATCTAGCTTTATTCACGATATTTGTGGCTCTTTTATGCGAGATACTGCACGTCATTTCATTCGACACCTGATTTTACTACAATTGTTATGATTAGATCCCCGGATAATTTCCTACAGATTCTGCCCTTTCCGGGACCACAAGGCTTCACTTCCAGGATCAGTCTTCCCTGAAACACATTTTAGTGTGCCAAAGAGGATGAGCAGGCAAAGTTACGCGCTGGCTTATCCATTATTGTCTGCAATAGCTGATATAGAGTCTCATTCTATCCTGGAGTTATCTGATCAACAAAATGAATCTCAACTCTCCTGCACCGAGATTATCTGTCCACATCGAGGCCTCTGTATTCAGCTTCGGGCTGAACGACATTGGAACAACATGCTCCAATACATCCAGTGTCAAAACGACTGTCACTAAGCGCTGCTTCCGCTAATCTTTTCCTGCTCACGGATCGCCTCCTCCAATGCAGACTCCAAGCTGGTCCCTCCATGGACTACGTTGGCCTGAGGGTCAGGGCTAACGCTCAGTGTCCCTCCTGGAAGAAAGCTTGATGCCATTTCCACAAACTCATTGACGCACCCGGCAGGCAGAAACGATCCAAAGAACTCAGCAAGCTTGGATTTCTCGATCAGCTGCAAATTAATCTCCTTCCCTAGGATCTTGGCTAGCGCATCCCGCGCATCTAGGGAAGAATATCCTTCTTTCTTCGGCCCCTGAAGCTCATAGATGTAGACTGGAGTCGACCGCGGAGCATCCGTTGTCGCTTCCTTTGCCGCAGCCTTGCCGACGTCTTTGATGGACACCATCTCGAGCTTCCAGTCTGCCGGGGTCAGATATGATACAAGAGAGGCCTCCTGCGCCTTGAGAGCGGGATATTGGGTAGCCCAGTTTTCCATGAAGTAGGCAGGACGAATAACGGTGATTCTTGGGACTTTTGTCTCAACCAGAATTCGCTCAGCTGCCGTCTTCGTTTTGATTTCTCCCTGGAGTCATTGTCATTAGTTAATGGCAAGCGCAAACGGGAGGCAAAATTACTTACCACGCCATCATAAAGATGCGCACCCATGCTGCTAAGCATAACAAGCCTCTTCACAGTGGTCGACTTCTCGATGGCACTCTTGATATTGCGGCTCAGGTTTTCCGTCAACGCGACCATGTCCTCATGCGTAAAGAATGGAGGAGGAACGGTGAGTACCACGTCGCAACCTTCAAACTCAAAGGAGGAGGCGTCAGAAACATCGCCCTGTACTGCCTCGAATTTGGGGTGCGAAAGAAACTCGGAGGGTGCTTTAGCCAAGTCTCTATACCAGGCCCTGACTTCAATTGAGCTGCCAGAGTTGGATGACTGCTCCAAAAGGGAACGAATGGCGGCGGTGCACGTCCGAGTGCTTGCTGGTGCGACTCCGATTCTCATGGTGTGAACTTGGGGGGTTGAATGTATGTGGTGGATTGGAGCTTTTGAGTTAAAGGAATATTGATTGACTTATTCGCTGTTGATAGTTACTGATGATAATGTGACGATTTCCCTTGATTTATATAAACATCTGTTCTAATATCAGTGGTTGAATTGCCCGTCGTAGATCTATGCCTATGTCTTCGGCCGGACCGCTCCGGAGATCCGGAGTTGAGGTGCGTGAATCTCATCACCAAATTATCACCACTATGCGCACACTTAATTCCACGGAGCCCCATGGACATAGACGACGCCGAATGACTCAAACATCCCCGTGCTCCCATGGTCGAGTTCGGACTTAGCGAAGAACCGAATTGCTAACTCCCGGTAATTTGCAACAATTGCTGATACTGCATATACATGCCATGTTATTTCTTCATTTGGAATTTTCTCATTAGCACCGGATTTTGGGGTAAATCCATGCCAATGCATTATTGAAACCCCCGTCTAAACTCTGTTATCAATGTTTAGGCAGAGAGCATGTCAGCTAACCAAGGAACCTATCAAAGAACTGAACTGATTGGAGAAACGACTGCTCCTGCGCAAACTTCTCATGAACCTTGTCCACATCCCGTTCCGCGCCAAAGAACCCATGGACCACACCAGAGTAGAGACTCAATTGGTAGACATTTCCATTCTCCTTCAGAATCTTCTCCCATCTGTATCGCATCTCGTCCGTGAAGATGTGATCAGTCTCAGCTGCGGCGATGGAGAGCGGGCCGGTGATGGCAGCGAGCTCCTCGTCCTCCACGAACGACGGGTACGCCAGGTAGCCGACATCGATGCCGCTCTTGAAGTGGCGGACCACATATCGGGTGCCGAAGGAGTATCCCGCCGCCCCAATGTGCTTGAAGCCCCTTTCGTTCTTGAGATAGTTGATGCCAAACTGGACGATTGGGTCGACCTCCTTGGGCGTGTGTGGGCCCTTTCCGTCTCTTCCGTTGCTGAGCCAGTCAGGAAGGTTGATGTCGTGAAACTCGCTCATCTTGATAGCATCTCCATTGAATAGGTCAATTATCAAGGTAGTGTAGCCCTTGGCGGCAAAGTCATCAGCACGGCGCTGGCTGTCCGACCAGATGCCAATGACGTCCGACACATACAGGATGGCAGACTCCTTATGGGCAATATCTGCCGGAGCCTCAGCCAAGTACGCGTTGTACTGTCCGACCTTTATTGTCTTTCCTCTGGGGGTGTATCTGGTAAGGCAGGTTAGCAGGGCTGAAATAGAAAGTATTGGCAAATTCATATGGCGTATGAATGATCAAGGGTACTCACGTAGTGTCGGAAGCCATGTTGGAGATTTGGGTAAGCTGTTTTGACTAGATATCGAACAAAACAAGATTCGCTTTCCACCGGTCGTACGGGCTCTGGAGAGTGTTCAGTGTGCAATCTGGTGGATGGTATTGGAAATAAATACAACGAGCCCGACGCCAGCCCATGGCTCGATACATAGTCAAATGTTGCCGTCATGATCAATCATCCCATTAGTCAATGAAGCCCACGAGCGATGATTTCAAGCAGCATTCACTTATAATCAACTCACTTTACTCCATGCGGGTTTGGGCCATTGTCAATTCCCTAATCAGTAGCGCTGCTCGATTTCCTATTGTGGCATGCCTCGCGCAAACAGGGAGCTCGGAAATTACTTGATTGGGGAACTCCGGGAATTGCCTTTCCAAGGAGTTGACCAAAAGCATTCCTTAGGCGGCCTTCTTTCTTTTCAAACAGCCAAAACACTGAGCCTTTAAAATTCACCTTCATTATCCCTTTCTGCGCTTGAGTAGGGGTGATCCCGTTGTCGTGCAAACTAGTTATCCCTACGATGAGAGCCTGCTCTAGCGACTATCGTTCAAATATCAGCTATAAATGCGTATGGCCGGTCAAATAGTTTCTTCGACAACTGTGTTTAAGTCGACGGCATGGCTCCATTTAGCACAAGAATTGGCATTCGTTTACTCCTTTCCTGCTCGAAGATCTTTGACTACTCTGTACATGAAGGAGACAAGATGGTGTCGTACTGTGGCAATGGGATCCTTTCTCGTGCCACAATGTGCCTTGAAATGCGCAGCCCAATCCTATAAATCCTACTATACATTGTTGATTGATGCATCTGCTACGGAATGGCTCACCAAGCCCAATGGACCCATGTTACGCTATGTATATGAGTCCCGATTGGTCGTTCAAAGGGTCCTTAAATGCGCTGCAGTCAGCGTTGTAATATGCAATGGCACGGAGGCTGAAACGGCACAGCATTCCGGGCTATGTATTGGTGTACTTGCAAATGCTTTTTCTTGGCCACTGCAGCCACTGACGCCCTGGACCGATGAGGTCGTATCATCAATTTGGAACTTTGCACATATGCCGTTCCATCCCCATCCTAAATCCCGCCCCGCTCTGTTTCGGTCAGTGTACAGAAGTACACATACGGGCTTACTTATCAGGGGCGAATACAGGCCAGCCGATCTGCATTGTGATGTTGTATGCATCGATAGACATCCAATCCTTTCCTATCCGACCTGGGGGCTGAGACTTGGCGAAAGGCATAGCCACTGCCTGAGGCTGGCGATATAATAAATATGACTAGGAGTTTTACGAGGTTTCTTCCTCGCTATTTGCTCTAACATCCAACAAAGCGTATTTTCCAACCCGGCCAGTATGTCTCATAGGAGGTCAATATCTCCTCCATCCCCAGCCTCCCAGCGGGGACATTACATGAGTTCGCTGGGACCTAATTATCCTGATATTGATTTCAACCCGTCGCCAGTAGAGCAACATATGCGTCAAGCCTACTATCCGCAGGATGAGCAAGATTTAACCACGCAGCGGGATTGGGTCTCGCCATCAGCGACAGAGGACAGAGATGAGCTCCAGCAGCCGCAACGGTCGAAGTTTACAACGGAATATTCACCGCTCGTCACGGTTGAGCAACACTTTGACGATCAGAAGAACTGCAGCAAAATTGAAAGTGCACAGGCTCACCAACCGTTCATAAGGACCAAAATAAGCTATGAAACGATCATCGCCGATATCCTGTGTATTGGAATACCATGTATGCTTCTTGTATTCGTGATCCTGTTAAGCTCCAAATCCGGCAAGGAAGCCACAACAAGCGATATTGCAAGCTGGTATGGTGCAGCGTCAATGGTAAGGCTATCCCTGCGTTTACGTTTCGGCTTTTGGGCATTCGATCTGACCTGCTAAAATCTAGTTGTCTACTCTGTTTCCCATTCTATTTGCAGCCATTACAGGGCGTTCCATGACACAGGTTGCTCGGTGGAAACTGGAAGAGGGAGCGTCCATCGGAAGCCTTGAACAGCTGCTTGGAAGTCGAACTGTTGGAGGTGCAGTCCTCACGCAGTACCACTTGAGAGCATTCAATTTTCTTGGTATCGGTATCCTCATCCTCTGGGCCATGTCCCCAGTAGGATCACAGGCCATCCTTCGATTAGTTGAACCGAGAATTGCAAAATCTACGACGGCCGGGAAGGTGGTGTATTTTGATCATCTCTGGAATGCAGTGGAAGGCAGACTGGTAATGATAGGAGAGGGTTATGAGACTTGGGACGCTACGACCAACGGAACGATCGACATGATGAACACTCTCTATGGTGCTATGGTTCTGGTACCCTCCAGCACGAAGAATAGTGGTATGGATCTATGGGGTAATGTCAAAATTCCCAGACTCTCCCCCGATAGTACCGATGAGTGGCAAAATATCACTACAGTATCACCGGTTGTCTATTCTTCACTCCTAGGTATTCCTGTCTCGAACATATCAGCTGGAAATACGACGTTTAACGTTGAGTCGAGCTATATTGACCTTGAATGCGATCAGGTGGAGGTTTGGGAGAGAAACCCAACCGGATTCATGCCTACGCCTCCTAGTACCACAAGCCAGGGCTATCTCAATTTTACCTACCTAGATTCCCTCAGTTACGCCAATGCTGGAAGGGTTCCTCAGATAGGTAATGGGTCTTTTCAGGGCTACGATGTTAAACGGGGTGCTAATGTTCGCCAAACGTCTTGGAGCATAGGCCTTGATCGGTTCGTCGACCCGGACTGGTCTAGACGGAATTACCGAGCAGACACTCCGGTTCATTTTGAAAATGAGACAGACATTGATGTCGGCCCCACGAGGTTGATGTTTCAGGCGTACATGAGAGCAGCCTTGGGACCGACGCCCGTCGAACATGCTGGCAGCTATTGCAACGTGAAGCAGCGATACCTTGAATCGAGAATTAGTTGTGAGAAAACCGACCCATCTGCCAGGCAAAACTGCACCGCGGTATCCCAGCGTTGGTCTCACAGATACAGGATCAATGAAAACTTGAGCATCCTGAACTGGCCATACTCCTTTCGCTTTCTCACTGCGTATTGGCCCCTATCGACGGGGCCGAAAGCCAGTGCCGCAACTGGCACGCTGAGCGACCAGGACATTTTGTTACAATTTCTGTTCGACCCGACCATGGAGAATGTGCGCGATACTGTGGACTCTAGATCCCCATCGCTCGCACTACAAAACATATCTGCGACGGATTTCAGCATTCGCCTCAGCCAAGCTATGAACACGTACATACAGCTTCGCTCAATGAATTTCATGTCGCTGAACCTCCAGAATGCCGATGGTGGCATCAAATGTTGTGTGCAAACGGCTACCAGCAATGGTGAAGTCGTGAGAGAAAACATAGTTTTCGGCATATCACGAGTTTGGTCCGCATTCTCCATGATAGCTTGCATAATCTTGTTGGCTGGTGGAATTACTAGCTCTGTATTTGCACACCTCGCTGTTGGACCAGAGATTCTTGGCTATGCGACTTCTTTGATGCGGAAGACCACTCTGGAATTGCCCAGAGAGAAGGAAGGCTTGGAAGGCACAGAGTTAGCATTTGAGCTACGAAATAGTCGTGTGCGGTACGGATTTTCGACCTTGGAAGGGGCTGTTATGGTGGTGGGAGCTCAAGATAACGTTGCTAGGATCAAGGATGTGCTTAAGTAGACCGCAGATACACCCGAGGAGGTCGGATGCCCAAACGGGAAGTGTACCATAAGGAAGACTTTGATGTTTGATCAATACATGCTTTGATCATCTCCAGGGAGCACCTAGTAACTATAATCCTCCTCCATTGCCATCACTTCGCTAACCTTCGTTTTCTTTCGACACCCGTTTTTGATAAGGCAACGCGAGGTGATCTTAACCCAAAGATCCGCGAGTCTAACTTACTCCGTCCCCAAAAGGACCAAGTCGGAGTGCAACGAGAGCCTGATGTATAATATTATGTTGACCTCTACGTAAAGAAGTCTGCTGACATTCTTCCCGGAAAGCTTTCTCACCGCCGTGACGTGTCACTTCAAGAAAAATCATAGATGTTTGAATTTTACGTTTGCGTTCTATAGGCATCGCTAGAAAGAGGAGCTCAAGGTTCGTTGTTCAAGGTAAGAAAAAAAATGTACAATGTACTCGTATAATTGTGTGTCTCTCATGCCAAGCCATCAATTGCTTCAATCCAGACGCTTCAATACCATTTGCTTGCCCGATGCTAATTCCGCGCCCGCAATAGTCACGCTAACAAGCTTCCCATCTTCGATCTCGAATACAAGCTCGTCCAAGGGACCGTTAAAACCAATATTCATCCACTCGAAGTAGTTCTCAAACAAACCCTCGCCTCCCAGTGCCGAGGCACGGGGAGGAGTCGGGGCACGCTGGGCAACGAAGCGATGCGACACAAGCAAGGTCCCCTTGGTACGGTAGAGCTCCGTGAGCGAGGAGGATGTGAAACTAGGGCCGGTAGGATAGATGCGCAAGACGGCATCGGAAGGCTCTTTTGCCCCCTGAAGAAGGTAACGAGAGTCCTTCCCCTCCACGTAAAAAGAGTCAAGCCCCAGCCCGGGCTTGCCATCCTCAAAGGAGAGTGTGATGTTTGTGTTCTCAGAGTTCTCATCGATGAAGGTTCCAGTAAGGTTTTCTTGTGCGTTTACAGCAGCTGCACGCTCAGCGGCGGGAACAAAGATTTCGCCAATAGCCTGGCGAATTGGCCAACGCGCACTGCTCGCAGTTTTGCCGGCAACAAGGAGGGAAAAACCGAAACCGTGGTCAGGTGAAAGACCCAAGACAGCAGTGTAGTCACCATTTCCACCGGCTTTAGTGTAGAGGTCAGAGACACGGGTGCGGTTAGAGCCTGGTGTGGCTGGGATGGTCAGACGGCTGATTTCCCAAGGCGCACCGACAAGTTCTACCAAGCTACCAGTGGCGCTTAAAGGTTTCATCCAGGCTCGGGTTGTAGCAGGAGTAATGATCTCGGAGTTGAGGATCGAGAGACCGACTTTGCGCATGTCTGCGAGACTGGAAAAGATACCACCTGACCTTGAGGCGAATTAGAGTCAGAACAATCATATGAGTAAAGGTGGGCAGGAACGTACGGTGTAGTAACTTGAACATCAACGTTCCAGCTGGATGTGTTGTCCACCAAGTAACGATTGATGGCATTTAGATCCGGCCCCGTAGGTGGCTTTGCTGTAGTGCTGTTCATGCCAAGGGGGCCAAAAAGAATCTTTTGCATTGAGTCCGGATAACTCTGTCCAGTGATGCGTGCAAGGACGTGACCCAGAAGTGAGTATCCAGCGTCTGAGTAAAGAGCATTTCGGTAGGCGGGCATATTTGGGCGTTTTTCATCGCGGAGAAACGAAACAAACGCTTTGGTTGAAAATAGAGTCAGCTTGATGCCTCTATCTCCTTGGAGGTATTGCTTACCTTCGGTCGTTATCTTCTCTGGTGTTTGGGCATATTTCAGGAAAAAGTCTTCATATCGTTATTAGTGCCAATTGAGGTAATACTGATCACATGGAATGTTTAGACCTACCGCCTACTCCTCCAGTGCCGGCTTGATGTGAAGCAAGGGCTCCGACTGTGATCTCATCCCAGTGGATTCGACTGAGAGGCACGCTCGAAGAATTGCCGCGCAGCTCAGGAAAGTACCTTGTGACAGGGTGGCTGAAGACTTCGATACCGGCCTCTGCAACAAGTGCGTAGGCAGTGAAGAGTTTAGATACACTGCCTAAACGGCCGATAGTATTGAAGTCAAGTCGACCCGAGGTTAACACCTCTTCCTGGCCTTCCCCAACGTGGAAGTATTCGTGAATTGAACCATTTGTGTTGGCAGAGAAGATGTCTACAGCAAACACTAAGTCGGTACGGTTTAACTTGCCACTGGAGAAGAGCTCATCAATTCGGTTGGAGAATTCAGATTTCGCATCTTGGAGATGTTGAGAGTTGGACAGGTCGACATTAGAGAGGAAGGATGGACCAATCAAGGGAATGTCGTCTGTGCCGGTAATGAAGGCAGAGGAGCCAGCGACCAAGGCGCAGGCAACAGCTGCGGTGAATAACATATTGAGCGGGGGAAAGAACAAGTCAAGTCTGGATGAGATTGTGGTGATCTGAAATGTCTTGGTCATCCGCATGGAGGACTCGTCTTATATATACGTGATGGTCTTGAGTTGGCCATGATTCTTGCCTGTGGCGATCTGCAACTGAGGTGGCCCGTCACGTTTTTGGCCGGATCAATGGCCGAGAATTGACTCTTCTGGCGATTCTCCCTGGGCGGAACGCTGCACACAGCCTACGATATAATAAGCATAAGCTCGATGACGACAAGGGTGGACCGTGCTAAGTTCTAGGCTTGCTAAGTTTGAGGAGTTAGTTGCTCGGCGTAGGCCAAGACCAGATGATGATCAACAAAAAGTCTCTCGTTCCTAGATCCTTCTGGGGTTTGAGGCAACGGCAGGCTGCCCGCAGGCTGACAAGCTTAGCCACATCATGCCGTTTCAATAGCTTTAGCTTGAACAGAATAACTCCAACACGTCATAGTGGCACTGCCACGGGCAACTCACTTCATGGCGTCTATCCACAAGCTTTTAGAGTTGGAGAAAGCTAAGTTTAGCGGCTCGGCTGGCTCAGGTGGGAGTCAAAGGGGCAATGATCTTCGTGAACCAACGAGCTCGATCAAAAATTAGCCCAACGGCCTGCTACGTCGGCGATGCGTGCTGATTTCCCGATTAGGAATCATTGTGCGGCCAAGCGAGATTGCCCTAACGTGTGAGTTGGTCTCTTCAATGTCCAATCGCTTCAATGTCCAGTCGCTTCATTCCTCTAGCCATGCTTCAATACTTTACTTGAGAGTTTGTGGGGAACGATTTCAAAACCTGTTCAGCGCGTGAATCCAAGCATGGATCTAAACCTAGATCACCGGCATCATCGAGTCAATCAGTCAACAAACACATATGGCTGAACCACTGAGCGCCCTATTCGAAACCACGTAATCCTCTAGCTTAATCGAATTACATTACTCACACCGCGTTGATTAAGAAATTACATAGCACATTATGGAATGATGCTACGGCTTGGTCTTAGAGAACAGTTGCCACTTAACACATTTACGTTCTCTTAACTGACCCCATGAATATTACAGATGAATCGTCGTCTTCGTCTCCATCCTGCCCGTGGGAAACAGAGTCATCATGTGTGGCCACGTCAATCTCTCGCAGCCGTCCCTCCAGCCAACCATACAATCCACCAAACATCCCTATCCCTTTCCGCCCCTGGCAGTATGAGATCATGTTGTGATAGCTCCGCGCTATCCAACGCTCTTCAGCTGCAACGCTTCTCTCCGGGCGTCCCAGCCCCGGAGATTTCATGATGCCTTCACCTGCTAGGGAGTAGGCGACCTTTCTCAGGCAAACGGGGCAGAGATACGGCGGCTGTCTGTAATCTTCAGCGATGCTCGCTGAACCTTGCATGACGCATGAGTAATAAATACAGTGGCCTATCCCAACACAATGACCAAGCTCGTGGCTGGCCGTGCGACACACCCGCGCAAGCCATAATCCCTCCCAATCCTCTTGGCTAGTAGGTACTAGGACCTCTCGTGCAGACAAGACCGCTCTTGCCAGGGGGGAGGTCTCGTCCCGTTTGAGGTCCGCAGTGCAACTGGGGTCAGGTTGGGCGCGTCGTTTCTTCTTCCTGTCCCGCCCGTAGTCTGTCTCTTTCAGAGCTGGCTCACTGCCCTCCCAGCATTCATCTACATAGTCTCTGCAATGAGATGCCGGCCAGCTGTGAGCGTGGTTGGTTCCAGCGTGTCTGTCCAAGACTGGATTGTACCGGAACATGGAGACGATGCAGATGCGCGAGCCGCCATAGGCGCCCGGCGCAAAAGTCATCTTCCTCATCCTCGTACAGGTCATGGTCCGTAACAAGGAGGATAGCGAATGCATCAGGTGGTATGGATGCATGCAGAGCATCAAGCATATCATTAAGATTGAGCTGGCCAGGTGTTGCACCATCCGGGGCTGGCCGGAAGCGTACACGTGTGGCAGCGCCGTCTGGTGCCACGAGGGCAATGTTCCCCCGATTGTTTGCATTGGCACCCTGTTGTTTCTCACCCCATCTCTTGAAACGGAAATGGCTTTTGAGAATCTTGACATCCAGGCCCGTATAGAAGGCTGCGAGGTAGCCGGCTATGTCCTCGACACGAGGGGAACTGATGGCCGAGGTCAGGTTATCAGATCCGGCCGGTATTGCTGGATCCGTCCAACTCGCCATGAGTCCAACAATCTCAGGATCGATATCCGGTGCGTCAACTATATAGAGGCATTTCCTCTTAGGCGTAACCTGATTGCGGCCTCCGTTCGTGATGAAGTCATAAAGATCATCTCCGGGCTCTTTCGGGAATTGGTCGAGATGATCTTGAGGGAGCACGTTCGAGCTGGGAAAGCTAGAGCGTGGTGTCGGCGGGATCGATGAGTCCCAACCATCCGGCGGCCTTCTTGTACGAGAAGCTGCAGAGTGAGCGGCTAAAGTGGAAGGGCAGGCATAGTATGACAAGCTGCGAGCATGTGCAGAGACGGAATTGTATAAAACATCATGCGAGCAGGCCACATGTGCTGGCTGGCTCCTGGAGGTTCTTGCTCTTGATGAGCGAGACATAATTATTTGCTGTGAACAGGAGGTGAGATTCCACCATGGAAGGATTCATAAGCGTAAAGCAACACACCGGCCATGCGTTCTATTTATAGGCTAAAAATCGTTAATCACCTTGCTTGGAATTAATAATACGATGCGCTTTACGCGATATAAATCAGTCAAGCATACTAGGTAAATATCAGCCTCCGAAAGTCCGCTACCTCATAACATTCTTGGCCTGAAAGCAAATATTAGAACAGACAAACGCCTAATAGTTCAACTTCCCAGGCTGCTGTTAGAGAATTTGCAACCTAATTCAGATTATCATAGAGTGGGATACCCATGTTCATCCCTTATAAGTTGGAGAAACTCGCCCTGAAAACCGGTACATGCCATAGATTTCAGCATTTTACTCAGCATGACCCAACATGAAGACCTATTAATTGTTCCAAGCTCATTGCATGTATATGCTGAAGATGTGACCGCCGGTGTAGATGTACTGGATGCCGACTGCACAGTAGTCCAAGGCATGATATTTGTTGAAGATACGTTGACGAGATGTGTTATGGTTGAGGTCTTGCCATCTGGTATGAGAAATGTGTCGGTGGTAAACTCCAAACTCCCGGCACAAATGAAGGTAATTTGGCGAAGGTCAGCGGGTAAGCTTCTATACGAGTCGTCTTTATTTTCGATAATACATCTCGCACAAGCGTTGATCGCGGCGAAGGAGTCTCCGTTTGGGTCACACAGTTCGTCGACTTTCCAGACCGACATGGCCAACAAATAGGCATTTTCTATTACGAAAGTTATAAACAGAGCGATGAATATTAATAGCTGGAAGCGGTCGAGGGATAAACTGACTGCATGTAGGATAACAAATGGCCGCTCCTGATACGGAGGTAGTTTGGGTACTGATACCCACAAACGTGTCTGATGCTGTAGACACACTTGCCGACGTCGCCCTGGTTGATATCGGTATCGGGAAGCTCACCACTCCACTCGATGTAATCGGCACTTCAGTGTGGTTATTAGACATGATGATAATGAAGACGCTCTTGTCAAACGACAAAGCAGAGCAGATATGCGATGTGCGGGGGAAGTCATGATACCCAACTATGCTCCCCCCCTCCATTGGGGATGTGATGGTGGGTCGAGTATTGTCCAATCGTTCAACGTTTTATTCGATTGTAGAGAACATAGCTATCTTTCAAAGCTTTGGAGAGTCTCAGGGGCTGTAGTAGGGGCTGCTCAATCAGTTCAGCCTTTCTTTTAGGCCTCCAATTTCTCATGCAGTCAGCAATCGCGCCTAACTTACCAGCTGATACCGTAACATCCATCAAATTCCAGCCTTTTGTCCCTACTTGTCATATAAGCGAGATAATTTAGACGTAGTCTTTGATCTTTGCCTCACTACTCGTTGTAGTTAACATGGTCCAAAGCCTGTTGGGGCCACGGAAAGCGCTCCCTTGCCAAGGGCGGCAGTTCAGTCTGCCAGAGAGCAAATTCTTTCGAACCGAACAAGTTGTACAACTCAACTATCCATGGCATGATTAACAATAACATCTTTACACTAATTTAATTGTGCTAGCTTCGGGAGGTCGTATCGTAGGCACGTCTGTAGTGTTCATTAGATATTTGCTCCGGTCCACGCATACATCTCAACCTTCTGGCTAAATCTACCCCCTTTTGAATACCTGTCTGGCTCAAGGAACCAAGGGTTTTACCCTATTATTCCAAGCAACGCTTTGATTAAATATCTATTTAAACTTTTAAGATGCTAGCACTGAGTTTCTGGGTCGGATAATGATTGATTTTCTGAACTAATTTGTCTAGTTGGTACCCACCACTCCTATACCGGGAACTCTATTGTTTCATTTGATGGGAACTTATTCAATAAAGCGACGTATCGACATTTCTTACCGCCGGTTGAACAAGCACTGGTCGACGGCGGCTAAAATGGCAAGGTTCTTTCAGCTCTTTATGCATTCACCACAGCACAAACGGCTCACGGGTTAGTAAGCGCAGCTGGACCTATTTATCATGTCAATGCGGTTAGTGTGGGCTGAATCCAGATGAGTCTCGATTCATCCAGCCTCAGTTATAAAGGGCACCGCCCTGCCCCTCGCCGTCAGCACGAATCTTCGCCGTATCAGCATATTTCGCGCGGCGTGCGGGGACCTCAACACCCTTGAGGATCCCACCACCAACAATAACCGAGCAGCCGATAGTATCACATCGAGGCATCACGGGCTTTATCCGATGGAAACGCCTACCGTTCCGCTTGACATTCTCCCCGAGCTCGTTCGAGACTCGGAGCTGAAAGTGCAGTTTGTGCAAGAAGGCGGCAGCAGCTTTGTCATCCACACGCATACGGCAAGACGTCGCTCTGCAGAGGAAAAATGGCTCGTCAAGCGACACCTGAGGTCGGGGGGCCAAGGGTCGGTGGATTTACAGACCAGAGTTGTTGAAGAATTCGGGGAGCCCTCAATACGGGCAGTGAAGAGAATCGAAATCCCTGATTTACACAAGGCTGCAAGATCCAAGATGTACCAGAGAGAGCTCGAGACCATTGCTAAGTTCTCCCAGGCCAAGGTTTGTGTCGCTATTGTCGCTACGTAGAATTAAGCTCACAACTATCGATCTTCAACGCAGTTTTCAAAGTTGTTCGTCACATCATATGGATGGTATCTTAGCCCTGGGTACATTAATATTGCGATGGAATATTGCGAACTTGGCGATTTGAACAAGTACCTACGAAACAGCTTGCTGTGTCCTGAGAACCGCTTACCTGAACTGGACACTCGCGAGATTGTATATCAAGTATTAGAGGCGCTTTCGACGATGCACGAGGAGAACTTCTGTCATAGAGACCTTAAACTGGCGGTACGACAATTTATAATCATTAACAACACGTATACTAACATTTTGTTCTCTACAGAATATTTTGATCAAAAGAACGGGCCCGAGGTGGTGGGTGAAGGTGGCTGACTTTGGACTGAGTAAAAGAGGCGGTAACGATAGCACTACGAACTTCAGTGCGGGCTCCCGAGGCTACATGTCACCCGAAATCAGTGGATTTAAGGATCTCGACAGCAAGGTTGACCCATACGCCGTCGACATGTGGGGTTTAGGGCAAGTTGTGAGCAGACTCTTGACGGGCCAGGTTCTGTTCCCTACCCAGCTGGATCTGGGTCGGTACTACTTTGGGGACATCAAATTCCCGGAGAAGCTCTTGAGGGACGTCGGGGCGACTGATGATGTAACGGACTTTGTCAAGAGTCTTACGAGGATCGAGCCCGCGAAACGTTTAACGGCCTTGGGTGCCTTGGACCATCCGTGGATGGATATGTCACTGAATCCCGGCGCCGAGAGTCGAAGCGAGAATCTAACAGAAGGATCCGAAACAATGATAGACACTGAAGATCCTTCGAATGTTTGGCCTGATGGTTTTGGAGCGCAGCCTAAACGCGAGCAAACCACCCCACAGAAAACGCAACCCCATTCCAATACTCGACCTGATGAACCATCAGCAAATCTGGGCAACGAACAGACTGCATCAGGAAAGGCTGCAGAGGCTCATAAAGACTCTGGCAATCAATTCTTCAAAGAGGAGAAATACGACTTGGCCATCGAGCAGTACACAAAAGGTACGTTTTTACAGTATCCCAGTTGACTCCGTTCATGGTTCTGATCATCGAATTGTCTACAGCCATTGAAATTATTCCATCATCTACTGTTTACCTGGGCAATCGGGCGGCTGCCTACATGGCTCACTTTCGCTGGGAGGAGGCCCTTGCAGACTGCGTGAGAGCTATGGATCTCGAGATACCAACTCCAAAACTCCGTTTGAGACTGGGTCGGATATATACGCGTCTCGGGAAGCCTAAAGAGGCTTTGGCCCAATATGAGAAAATCCCGGATCATGTCAGAGAAAAGGACGTGAACCGGGCCAACCACATGGCGCACTCCATCAAATCGGCGCGTGAGGCCCTGGAAGTCCACAAGGACTACTCTTCAGTGCTTTCATTTATCGACAATGCCAAGGTTGAACTTGGCCCCCTCGCCCCTACTCCAAGAGAATGGAAGTTGTTGCGAGCCGAAGCCAGTATTTACCTTTGGCAGCGCGATGGCGACTTGGCATGTCTTCTTGAGGCCGAGGAGATTTTGCGTGACCTTTTGGGGAAAGACTACAATGATTCCGAGGCACACCATTTAGACGCTCGCATTAGAGTCACTAAAGCGATGAAACCTACCGACGCCAATGGAAGCTCAACTCAACCAACGACTACCAATGAAGGCCCGGATCAAACTATGAATACCGAGGCCGAAGATACCAGAGAGTCTGTTCCGGGCGATGCCACGCAACCCACTTCCGATGTCAATAGTGATTCCCACTCTGTAAGTTCGATATCAGAGTACTACGCCAAGGAGATTGTTCGCATTAAAACAATCGGGAATGAGGCATACAAAAAAGGCCAGTTCGCCAAGGCGTTGGAGGTCTACTCGGATGCATTGGTTATATGGCCGCGCGACACAACCAACAACGCGCGAGTTGCTCTAAACCGGGCACAAGCCTACATCAAGCTTGGCGAAGTTGAGCTTGCCATCAAAGATTGCGAGCGCGCACTCCGTCTTGATCCTTCCTATGAAAAGCCCCATATCATAAAGGAGCTTGCGGAGAAGTTGCTTGGTGAGACGACGAAGCAAGGGGCGGATGAGGGAAAAGCAGACCAAGAGAAGGCTCCCGGTGACAGCCCTGGGGCAACGAAGAAGGAAGCCTCCCAGGCACAAGATGATGCTGCCCCTATCATATGTCCTAAGTGTGGAGAATCATTCGAGAAGCGATGGAAGTACATCAATCACGCAAGGCAGTTGGACCATTTCATCGATTCCGATTCTTGAAGTTTCTTCTGGGAAACCAGTTTGGAAGATCATAGAGCCAAGGAAAAAGGGAATAACGTAGTTCTCCCGTCGGGCACTATATACTAAGTCCATATATCCACACAAACCAAAGCTTGTAATCACACGTATTTCAGTTAATCGGGCAGGTCTTGGAGCTACAAAGTAATTTCTTTTGATTGCCAGCGATACCATTCTAATGAATTCGTTGTTAATCACAGAAATGATTTCCTCTCTTAGATTTTAAGAGTTAAAGCTTGCAGACATGTTTAGGCAAGGGTAGCGCAAAGGATCAACAATGATATGATTGTTTATCAATGCAAAACCCAAATGCCGTTAATTCCGACGTTACTCTACCAACGGAATGAGCGGCCGGGAATGAAACAGCGATCCTAGCAAGCGCTGACAGGTTCATCACATTGCTCCGTTCTACCGAGCGTCTTCATCTGTTGCGAAACCGATGTTGATAGTATCTCAGTGTATACTAACCCCAACAGCATACGACTAGTCACGGTACGAGTGGTATGACAGTCATCCGTTTACCAAATGCATATTACAGCCACAAACAGGAAGCCACGGCCATGAATTCTGATGGTTGTCTCATGCGACCGGGATTGTGGTGGTCAGATAACGGCCCAGTTTGGTAAGAGGATCGTAGCATCAAATCCAATATCACAGGGATATGTCTGCGGGGTAAATGAAGATTGGGAGGTTTTCCTAGCGATAGAACACCTACATAAGCAGGGCAGAGCTGCCAATTCAGGTCGGGTCGCGCTGTTCCGAGTCATCACAACTTAAAACTTTAGAGAGATCGCCCTTCCCACACACACCATGATTTACGAAGGGCCGAACCTAGACGTTCCAACTGTTGATGTTCTGACGTTTTTATTCGGTAATGACAGTGGATGAAAACGGCTTAAAGAAGCATACGCCAACTAACAGAGCACAGACGATCCAAACGGACGCGCGTCAGATGATACGCCACTTCACGCTGAAGCAAGAGATCCGCAGAAATATATCACGAAGGCTCAGCTGCGAAATTTGACTGGCTGCTTTGCGCATTTTCTCAGGACAGAGTACGCGATCGGTGCAGCCGGACCAAGCAAAGATGTTGTCGTTCCCATATCAACGGGACAGTCTGCGCTTGCCGCTCTTCTCTATGGTGTGATCGCAGCCGAAGGAGTCTACGCTCCCGTTTCTCACTCAAGCACGGTCGACGATGCTGTGCGGCAGATCAAAGATGGTCCGGGCAAGGTTATTGTCTGTAGCAGCGACGCCAAGGATCTAGCAATCGCGGCAGCAGCCCGCGTAGGACTCCCGCAGAGGAATGTGCTCGTGCTGACGAGTTATCCTGACATTACCCTCGAAAGCGTCAATGGGGAAGTGGCCTGCGATTTCAAGAAACAGCTCCAGTGGAGGAAGATTACAGATCCCAAGGAACTTGAGCAGAGCAAGATCTGTATTTATTACTCGTCCGGCACTACGGGATTGCCCAAAGGTAAGCAGGCTCCCTTCTGTGAAGCAGGTATGATGAGCTGACTATGAAACACAGGCGTGGTCTTATCTCACACAAACCTGGTTGCCGAAGGTGCCATGCTCTCTTCCGCTGGGAGAGTACTTCTAGAGAAAGCCAAGGTCCAATTTCGAACACTGGCCCATTTACCTACAGCTCATGCTGCCGCACTGGTTTGTTATTTCGTCAATCCTATTTACGAACGGGGAGTGACTTATTGGATGCCCACGTTCAACTTTGATGACTTCCTTCGATATTTTGGGGAGCTCAACATCACCAGCATCTTCTCTGTGCCGCCCGTCTTCCTGGGGATAGCCAAACACCCTGCCGTCAAAGATCAATTTTCCAAGCTAGTCATTGTGTGCAGCGGAGCAGCTCCGATGTCCAAGGAACTCCAGGACGCCGCCAAGAGCCGAATGAAGTTGGAGGGCCTATTTGCGCAAACCTGGGGCATGACAGAGACAAGTGCCAGTGTAACTTGGAGCACTCCGGGGAAAACAAATACAGCCGGAAGCGTCGGTCGTTTGCTGCCAAACACCAAATTGAGGTTGGAAACGGTCTTTCTTTTCAGCTAGATGTGGTGCTAACAAAATTTCAGGCTCGTTGATGAGGAAGAAAAGGACGTCCCAGAGGGACAACCAGGCGAAGCACTTGTCAAAGCACCAACCGTTGTGCAAGGATATCACCGCAACCCAGAAGCCAACAAGGCGACTTTTACCGCCGACGGCTGGCTGCGTACTGGAGATATCCTTTGCATGAGAGGTGATGAGCTTTTTGTCGTTGACAGGAAGAAGGTATGCTTGAATCATTGACAAAGGGCAGATCGATAAACTGACCAGATCAGGAAATGATCAAGTATAAGGCATTCCAAGTAGCACCCGCCGAGCTTGAGGGAATAATTGCTTCACATCCAGCTGTTTTGGATGCTGCGGTTATTGGTGTGCCGCAAAACTACACGGAGGTTCCCCGAGCTTACGTCGTACTGGCCCCGCCCGCCAAGGGCAAGATCAGTGAAGAAGATATCATGGACTTTGTTAAGAGCAAAGTTATGGACTACAAGCGCCTTAGAGGTGGCGTGCGCTTTGTGGACGCGGTTCCTCGCAGTGCTTCCGGAAAGATCTTAAGAAAGGAGCTAAGAGAGAGTAGGAAGCTTGAAGATCAACAGTCCAAACTCTAGATGGATACAAGATTAGAAGATCTAATATGGCCTCAGATCCCCATCAAGAGGATGTTTCAAATCACTAAGAAGGTATCTATCAGTTGTCCAGTCGTATAAACCATATATCTCGCTGATGGGGTCCAATATCTACCAGCGTTACGTCTGATATGCTGGGGTGAAATCTTGCAAATATATATATACTTGTCTCTCAAAATCATCTCTACGGTCCTCCCTTCAACATTACTTGGCTCTTTTTTGCTTGAACTTATAAATGCTCAGACCAAGGCTTGGGTGGCTCGGATTAGAGCTAGGCGCTTACTAATTCACAATCTCTTGTCCTTGATATCTCCGGAGTTGCGAAAACTTACTCCTCGATCAATCATCAACAACCACTATCGTATGAGCTCTAGACGGCTAAATATGGACAGTGACTCAAATCAGCGGCGAACCCAGTTCTCGAGTTGCGACGCATGTCGCACGGCTCGAGTTGGCTGCAATGCTTCGCAGAAGGGTTATCAGCCAGGAGACAGACGGTGGGAAGGCTCCTGTTCCCGATGCTCATCGAGAAACCAGGCATGCACATTTGAGGTTTGGCGACTCATTTTCCTTCCTTTTCACAGCTTTCTGACTTGATAGACTCAAGTGGCTAAAGAAAACGAGCACCAAACCTCAACGGCCTCGTCGGAACCCCAAGGCGCCTGCCCAGATGATCACGGCAGACTCTTTCGTTACCTGGGAACAGCCCGTGGAATCTTTGCATTCTCCATCCATGAGGCCATCTATATCTAGCCGCGAATGCCAAATGGGAAACTGTCAGCCATCGCCTAACATGATGACGGACGTGGACATTGATCACTGGTGTGAACAATTCTTCCGTCAAGGGTTTGGCACTGTTTTCGAGCGGTTAGTAGGAAACTATGGGTGTCCGCTGGTGTAAGTTTTGCGCTGCCCATATCACGAGATCTCGCCCTATTGGCGGTCGCTTATATATCATACGTTTAGTAGCAATCTATTCGATAATGGGGATAATACGATCACCATTTTCTACGATCTTGACTCTCTTCTAGAAGAGCAATTCAGCAACGAAAACTCGGGTTCAAGCAACCATGGTGTAACCAGTCGTAGAAAGCTGCAAAGAGAACAAGCATCTAGGTCTCTGCATCTGTCTATGAAGTCATTTGCTGTCTGTTGGCTCCCAACTACACTTGAGGATAGCTCTACGACGGGTGATTGTGAGCAATGGGCAGAAATATTCCGAACCCATTGGCGAGCTACAAGACGACATATGCTCAAGGCAATCAACCAGATATCGTACCAGTCCATCTTTGCGCTGTACTTGTTCGGCCAGACCCCGATTCCCATCGGAATATCTGAAGACGAACGGCTCGACGGTCTAAGCGGGATGATGTGCATCCACGCAGCGCTCAAAAATATCCAGCAACTCCGGTCAAGGTTACGAAGCCGTGCATTCGACAGCTCGGCAGAGCGCTTTGGCACTGGGCCACAGCCCGACACCCGGCACCTCACACTTACATCCACGTATATCGAGTTGGAAAATCGGGTGTTCTGGGCAGCAGTGGCCTGGGACACGGAACATTCCCTCATCTGCAATGTGCGGTCGAGTTTGAGTACGGGGATACGAGGAGCATGCCGCGAACCCGCGTGGATTCTGGCGCGAGGCTTCCTTCGCGACTCATTCCACCCCGACTCGGAGAAATGGAGAAGGGAAGACTTTGAAATTACCGAGGAAATCTCTAAACGGATCGTGTCTGCCACCGGTGTCTGTCGTCTATATGTTTGGCGAACGATTGCATCTTTGAAAGAAGCACTCATCGAAGGCGTGGACGAGGACAGCGTACAGCATGGGTCCGACGCGGTGCTTGATGGATTAAAGACTTTCAAACATACCATTCAGCCTGCCCTAAACAATTGCGAGAAATGGCTTCAATATCTGAGTCAAGAAACTAGGCTGACCTGGTTTGGGGCTGTTCTGCATTACTACTTAGGCATTTTGATTATAGTCGATGCCTTGGAGACTGCAGCTCGCGGGGACTTGTTAGAGCAGTACTCTGATTATGGAATGAACGCAGAGCGAGAGTTATTTAATACTCTCAAATTTGGTCTGGAGAACCGGTATTGCATATCTCGTCCGGAGAAAGAAGTTAATCCCTTTCAAGGTTCATCCAAGCAAACCAGTACCGGAATCCAAGCATCACTTATCGCTATCGATCCCTATCCACACTACATCCTTGCGTCTGTGCGATTACTGGATATAGCCATCGGCCGCAAGCGTCTTCGAGGTGACCTCGGCGAGTCAGCATATGTGAATCTACGGGCTACGTTGAACAGCACACTTCAACAGCTGCCACAAGGTTCCATGGAGGTTGCTCTTGCCAAGAAGAAATTTCAACAATCAACTCTAGATCATGGGTTGAACGGAGTTGACAGTTGACAAAAGTCAATAGCAACCCATCACCTTTATATCTACGGATAACTAGCTCCTTACTCCACCACAAAGCTCTGAACCAGCTTCTTCAGGTCAGGCTCGCCAAGCTCTCGGATTCCCAGAACCTCATTATCAAGACGATCAGAAAAGTCGCAGCCGTACTCGGGATCCCACATCCCACAAGCAGAAAACCCGACCATGGCAGCAGCAAGATCCCCATTTCCCTGCGCAGCCCTGTCCATCTCAGCCAAACTCTCCTCTAGGACCTGAGTAGTAGACTTGGCAGCGGTAGTCCACTCTCTACCGTCTTTTTCTTTTGCATACTGGATCAGCTTGTTCTGGGTCGTGACCGTGGAATGGATATAAACAACCCGATTGATCGTCTTTGCTTGGTTATTGATGATACCAAGAACCGCCTTGGCTATGTCCGCAAGGAGTGTCACGCTGAACGGCACGTTGCCGCCGTTGTAGAGCGTCGCGGTGCGGCTGCGCGGGTCAATGATAAACCCAACCTCCATACCCCAGTCAAGGAAGAGGCCGTTGGCGACACTAGTCCAGGTAAAATTGGGGTTCGACTTATGCTTCTCAAGAAGATACGCCTGTGTGCTGACTTTTGGTTTGCAAACCGGCAGTTCGGCACACAGCGGATTGAGAGAGTCCATCCCAAACTCGGCAGGGATGAAGCGCTTCACGCCCGCGGCCTCGGCAGCGTCTATGAGAGGGTTCTGGCTTCCGATGGCAACCGTAGCAAGGCAGGAAACGACAACCTCGACACCTTCAAGAGCTTGCTTCAGGTCTGGAACCGAGTCAAAGTCGACCTTCTTGACGACAAGATTGGGGTGGGGAGTTGGTGAAGGTGACTTTCCGGTGGTTCGAGATAGGACCGTCACAAGGAGGTCAGCATCGAGGAGAGCTTTGAGAATTGGGAGGCCAAGATTGCCTGTGGCACCTGCAAGAGCAACCTTCATTGTAAAATGTATACGGGTGTTGAGATATTCTTGATATAGTAACGAAGAAGTTCTTAGAAGGCTTGGAGGCATGGATATGAAGCATGAGATAGAAAATTCAACTGAAGGAAATCGTGGCCATTTTATACTAGAGGGACAATATGCTTTCTGATTAATAAAATCCGTGAATATCAGACTACACTTAGATGCGTGATGTGAGGCGAGGTTCTCATGGGCTCGAGCAACCAAAAAGGTGGACTGCAGCTAGACTGCTTCTGGCCTCGGATCCGGATTCTTCTCTTTCTGGCCAAGCGGAGCCGTACAGATACTAACCAGCGGTAGACAGCTGCATTCATATGTTGTTTGTCTGTTGTCACAACGGAGAAAGCCATTGATCATGGCGTGACTAACTAATATGGGGATCTGAAGTCATCGAATTCCAGGAGATTCTTACGATCGTAGGACCATTTCCCTGATTCTACATGTACGGGATCGGGATCGGACTAGTGTCTGCGGCTAACATTGCCTCATGCTTTGTCACTCAGAAGTCGACACACAGTTGGCCGTCAGGGATCAGCTGCCGGGTACCTTTCGCGGGCTATTCCATGAGATAGATCACATGCAAAGGAGCTTTAAAAATTGCCTAGAGTCCTTGATTTACGGCGCCCAGAGCGTTCCTATGCTTATTGCTATGGACGTGCTTATCTTATTATACCGGGCTTCCGGTAATACCAGACCGGTGACATAATTCCCAATCCAGTTAATCCAAATGGAAGCTCCACCTCAAACTGTGCCAAAAGGGGCGTCTCACGGTTTCATGGTTCGCTTCGCCGGCATTGCTGGAACGTCCTTTTTTATACGCCGTACATATATAACCCAGGCTCAATCTCTATTTTCTCCAAGAAAGGATACAACAACTTAGATTCCTTCGTTCAGATTTGAAGTTACATTCTATCGCAAGTCCACAAAAGCGCTAAACTTCGTCGCAATGACGGCCGCCAAGAACATTCATCAACGCCGGGCCAGTAAGCAGCACTTTTGTGGGCAACTAGCAGCATTTGTTCTTGTAGCTAACTCGATTCACTCTTGCAGGCCCCAATGAACAGCGAACCATCAGCCGCGAGGATCTGGGCCACTATTACGCCGTCATCGTTGGAGCAGTGTACGAATTGAAAGGAGAACTCAACATCAGAGCTCCCGAGACGTTTTACCCAGCCCTCTCACAGTGCGTACAGCAGGAGCCTTGGCTGTGCGTTGTCGTTGGCGACGAGCATACAGAGAAGGCATTCTTCGAGCGGGTTCCGACATTGAACTTCAAGAATCATATCACCGTTCTCGGTCCCTCCGAAAAGGACAGGGATGATCTGACTCTCATACAAGAGACACTCGAGGCCGATGTTGACCGTCCCTTTACCAAAGGATGCCCACCCTGGAGAGTTATAATCCAACCCCTAGAAGCGGAAAATCAATTTTTTGCCGTCTTTTCCTTCTCTCATACCATTGGCGATGGCATGACTGGGCCCATCTTTCATCGGACGTTTGGACGCGGCCTGAATGAAACGACGGCTAGAACCAAGCTGGTAGAATACCAGATTGCAAAGAGCTGCACGAAACCTCTCCCCGGCCCATTCGATACCCCCGAGAGACTCCCTGTGTCTTGGTCCTTCCTTCTTGGCCCGATGTTCAACGAGATCTTCCCGAAATTCATCCTTGACCTCTTGGGATTGAAGGCAAGCATCACTCGCAACGATGAGGGGACATGGACAGCCACTCCTATATTCTTCGACGCCAAAACATACAAGTCTCAAGTAAGGGTCGTGGAGATTGAACGTGAAGTTGTCGAGAGAGCTGTCCGCGCCACCAGGGAACGCGACGCCAAACTGACCGGTGTGATTAATCCCCTGGTAGCCCGAGCACTCAGCAAATTGCTGCCAGACAAGCACATCACCAACTTCGTCTGCCAGACAGCGATAAACATGCGCAGATCCGTTGGGGTCCCTGCCGATGAGATGGGCGAGTTCGCCTCAGGATGCTACTCTAAGACGGCGCGCTCCGAGGCCGAGGGCCCGTTGACCCCAGCAGAGTGGGCAAACGCAAAGGAGATCACTGAACAGTTCGCTCTTAACGCGTCGGAGCTAAAGGATCACGCAATTGCCCTGCTTCGCTATGCCCCAAACATTCGGCAGTGGATGGCGAGCAAGGTTGGCAAGCCGAGAGACTGTTCCATTGAGTTGAGCAATCTGGGGTTGATTGATGCCGATGCGGCGGCAGGCTCAAACGTAGTCATCAAGAAGATGGTCTTCACTCAGCCTGGGCATGTCGCCGGACCGCCTTTTACGGTAAACACTGTGACACTGAAGGGTGGGAGTTTGATGGTTACTATGACCTGGCAAACGGGGGCGTTGGGGATTGAAGGCGATGAAGGGGCATTCATGGATGAAGTGTGCGCTACCCTGAAATCAGGGTTCGAGTTATTGTAAATGATGAGTGTTCATTTACTTAGTTTATTTTATGTTATGGATGAGAGAGTTTGAGTAGCTTAACTCACACAATTGAAAACGGCAATAGATTCCTCTAATGTTACATTCTCCGGTTTCTTCCTCTTACCCTCCATAAGATATGAAGGCTCAAGGCAAGCATACAATACTGTACACGTGGTCCGATGGAAACCGAACATATTTATAAGTGCTTGTTCTCGAAATCCGCCTAGTCAAATCAGTCTTACGGCTAATGGACCAACAGGCGATCAAGGATACAGATCACAAGGCTTATTTTCCCTTATTCGCAAGAGCAAAGCAACTTTCTATTCATATGATACTTTGTTGTTTGCCAAGAAATATCTTGCATCAACCCATCATATCACACAGTAAATCCAGAGTCAACAACGAGATTCTGGCCAGTGATGGACATGTTCGTCGCCAGGCTTCTCACAGCTGCTGCAACATCCTGATACCAGACAGTCAGCATCTTGAATTCCCCATAAACAATTCAAATCGGTTCTATTCGGGCAAAGACTCACATCTACTTCGGCCAGTTCTTTTAAAGGGGTTAATTCTTTGGTACGATTGATCTTGTCTTCCGAGAAGCGACGGCCCCATTCCTGCAAATTGGTGAGATGTTAGAAAACGCAGTCTTTTCTTGGTTCTCGGTGTCTTCCAAGATACCTACCGTCAACATGAGACCAGGAGATACGGAGTTCACCCTGATGTTGGGGCCCACGCAGCGTGTCAGGCATTGGATGAGATGTATCTGGGCCGCTTTGCTGACGGCATAAGGCTAATCAAGCGAGGGCAAGTCAGCAGTGAGAAAGATGCATTGAGACGAGAATAAAACGTACAATAGAGCTTCCACTGGGTTTAATCCCGGAAGTGCTGGCAACAGACACATAGGAGCCCTTGGCCTCTTCCAGGTGCTTCCGGGCTGCATAGAGAAGGAAGAGATGGCTCTTCACATTGACGTTGAAACATCTATCCCAGTCATCCTCATTCACGTTATCGTCAAAGTTGGAGAAGTCTCGGAGCTGCGTCCATCCACCGTTCGATACGAGAACATCCAGGCGACCCATCTTCTCTACCGTTTCGGACACCAGGCGCTCAATGTCGGCTCGCTTCGCCAGATCGGCCTGGATCGAGAGGAATCTGGGGCCATCGCCATCCTGCTGGGAAGAAGTTTTACTAGCGATCTCCTCCAACTCGGCTATCACCTTGGCGGCGCGATCAGGGCTGCTATGGTAGTTGATGACAACACGGAAATCTGGCGCCAGGACCTTGGCGATGGCAGCACCCAGGCCAGCAGAGGACGCGGTGACAAGTGCAACTTTCATCGTGAAGTGATTAGGATTGATGGTTTATCTATGTCAGGGATAAATGAGATGCCAGAAAGTAGCTCAACGATTCAATACAAATACTGGAGATGTCCTGCTTGAGGAGATAAGCCATCTCTCCCCTCCGCGCCCCGCCAAAGCATCTCCTTGGGTGCGGGGTAGATCCGATCCCGGGCTTAAGACACCATCCAAGCAAAGACGACCGGTTTCACTTGAACGTCAGGTCCTTGTTCTTGATCGGGATGAGCGCTAGAATGACGGCCTGGGTGTAGAAGCCCGCGCGGTCCACGACATCGCCAGTCAGAAGCCCAACCGAGCCACTCCCGCTCCTCGAATCGGACGTCCCGAACACCTGGTCGTCCGCCTGGCCCAGCTCCAGCCCCTCCCGCACGAGCCTCGCCGACTCCTCCGGCAGGTAGTACGCAGGAGTTCGGGCTTTCCCCGTGCGGCCCTCTTTGCTCGCCACCACGACCCAGGCGAAGTTGAGCAGGTTCCCGTCGTGCTCGTCGACGCCGCCCTCGATGCCGATCCAGAAGTCAGCGTCGGGCTTGGCGATCCGCGCATTCTTGACCCGGTTGGACGCGCCGAGCAGCGTTTCTGCGTCTGAGAAGGGCTGGGCGGCCACCTCCGTTTCGACTTTTACTTCGAGGAATTCGTAGGCTCCTGGCAGGAGGGCTTGGAAACCTTCTTTGGCCGCCTTTGTTTTGACCCGATTTGTGGAGGAAACGACGACTACTTTAGGAGCAGCACTCATGTTGGGCACGGCTGTGGATATTGATGTTAGGATCGGTGAGTTTGAGATAAAATCCAGGTGATTGTGTTGTGCGTTATTGCAAATTTCAAGATTGCGTATTAGCCGTATTGTAGCAGCAAATCACTCAACAGCTGTGCTTGGTACAGGGTAGGCTAGAATAGACTCACTCGGTACGCATTTTGTAACGCTATAGAAGGTGGGTGCAAGCACAAGAATACAGTAGGAGTACACCTGCCCATTCGTAGGATCAGATCATTTAGATTCTATTGATTGATTGATTGAATCCGAGTAAAAGGACCCCCCTGTATATCACAGACGAGGAAAGGATTCGGCCCACAAACAGAGCCACCGCGTATGTTGACAAATCAAGCTTTCAGAGCTTCCATCACAGCCACACAACCATATCATAGATCGCTTATCAGAATTTCAGGGGCTTGGAGGGAAATTAGGGGATCCGCTGTGTTAGGTGCCATCCTACCCTATGCCCATCAAGGTGGTTGCGACTGGTGTAACAAGCTTTGATATCCCGATGAAATACATGTTAATAAAAAGAACCTGTGTTAGTTTCCCGGCAAGAAGTTCATTGACCTTTTAAGGAATAGACTCGGGAGTGTGTGTTATGTTGGCAACGTTGTAAGAAAGGTTCTACCAGTGCTACGGCAAACGGATCACCCATCTCTATACATCATCTAAGCACACAAACAATAATTATTTTTGGAATAGTTTACGATCGCTTAGAAACGAGGATTGCATACACTCGACAAGAAAGGATATTTTGTTCTGAGGGCTTTGCAATAAACTCAACACTGCTTTTTGCCGTGAGTGAGAATGAGATTCATCAATAGGTCTGGATAACAACATGAACGTATGGCGTCGGCAGCAAACAGCTTCCATGTCAGGCTAAAGGGTATTGAAACTGGTGAATAATTATCAGCTTACCAGCTAGGCTACTCAACTAAGCTCTAATCCTGAAATTTGGGTTAATTTCATTGGAATCTTTTAATAGATCAACTTTTTCATGGAGCCTATTATCACCACAATCTACAACCATTCACCATCATCATTGGCTCAACTGTTGCTTATGGGAAATCATTCCTGACCGCCGATGGCCTGACCGTACAATCTTGTCTGTAGGCGCGTCAGAACCAATCACATTCCCTAATGCCATTATAATAAGGATCCTGTTGATTCCGAGATGCTATCGCAGCGGTCTGTCACAAATCCAAGCGACAATCCTTTTAAGGAAGGCGTTTGGTACAATTAGGGGCGCTTGTGGGCAACAGCCACATAAACTGCCTTCGCAATTGTCTAGGATACGCAATGTAACACTGATTATGTCTGTCAAAGTATGTTAGATGTACCACATACACACAAATCCTGAGCTGATATTAAACGATGATTCTTGATTAAGATGTTTAGGCACAATTTAGAGAAGAGATTGATAAAATCGTAGGCAATCCAAGGTTGCAAAGAATGCACGAATCCAAATAATATGATCTACACGTGCAGAGTGCAAGAAACACTGGGGGAGTACGCGTCTTTCTCCTTACACGTGCTTCAAATCGGCTGACCCTGTAGGTCAGGATGTTCCCCATGCTCTAAGCAATAATGACTCCTACAACCGATTCAAAATCTCAGCCGGAGCTGGAAGCCTGAATTGCGTTAGTGTCACTGATCACCTCATTCTAATCCATGATGGCTACCTTGCGGGCAGGCCAATCAATATCGATCTAGATATATCTAGGCTCCTTTGGGGTTTTGAGCCCCTTCTGAGAAAGGACCAAGATGGAATCTTGATACTCATCGCGAGAGGTGAAATGACGCCAGCAGGATCGCCGGACTCGCACCATGCTAGTAAGGTTTGACCTCTTTCATAATCCCTACGCAGCACTTGCCCATCTGTGTCCCTGATTCGCCTCAATACGCGACCTATGTTCAAATTCGGCCTCGATAAGGCATAGGTGGTAGATTACTCCAAAAATAAGAGACGGGTAGGAAGACATCCGCAAAATATATTGTAAATCTATCGACGGTCTTGATAAAACGTAATTTTTCAGAATATTCTTCTTGTTAGATGATTGGACACACCAAGAATGAGGGTACTCGCAATCCATTCTAATCGACCAGTCTCTGGATGTGTAGAATCCAGGTTGCATAATGTTGGATTCTATGGGTATGGATCGCATTAAATTTGTGAGTCTTCGAATCCAGGGGTCGCTTCAAGGCGGACGCGAACCATGCCCCTCAATCTGTCCTAGTTTAGGATTCTCGATATATTATCCTTGCACGTTAATACCCGGCAGAACGGAGCAAGATATTAATAACAACTACCGCCAAATGCTGAAGGACTAGTTGGTTTTCGTGGTCTGAGCATGGCTGAGTAGGTGGATACTGGGGAATGCTGGTTGGATAGAGTGCGAAAAATGCCCCTTTTTAGGATAGTGATTTGCTGTTTCAGCACTATCGACCCAGAGGATTTGCATCCAAGCACGTAATTGAGCTATGGCTGGGTAGCTCTTCCATCCAAAGAAGGCGAATGGTTTTTGCTCAATGATGGCACGGGCTCTCGTTCCCGCGTCCACTCATTTACCGACTCGAGTGTTGCACCACTAGTAGGAGGATGTTAGGCTTGTACATGGCCAGGGAGTTCCCTGAGTCGCACAATTGCCTAATTTTAGAAGGTGTCGACAGCCGAGAGTTCCAATGCGATCGAAGTGAGTATTTAAGTGTTGAGTTCTGCGCCGTAGAATTGATAATTCCATTCATCAACAAACCCAACCAACAATACAACTGACACTAGAAGCAGGTCTTCAGACCTTTTCCTTGAGTTTCTTTTCCTATCAACTCTTTTTTTTCTTTCATCTTTTACAGCAACTTCAAGCCAAATATTCTTCATTACTCAATTTTTCTATCTATATCCAACCTTCACATTCAAAATGGTCGCTACCAAGAACCTCGGACTCGCCGGCCTCCTCTGGCTCGGCCTTGCCACCAAGGGACTCGCCCTTGAAGTCACCCAGAACGATGAGCTCTCCCTCGTAGAGCGATCCGAGCCTAACGAGGATCTTCTCGTCCGTGGCAACAGACCCGGCGATGATCGCAAGAGCTGGGGTAACCAGGGTGGTCGAGGCGGCCGCGGTAGGCGTGATGACGATGAGCTCGAAGAGCGTGACTCCGAAGAGCTCGAGGAGCGCGGCAACAGACCCGGCGATGACCGCAAAAGCTGGGGCAGCCAGGGCGGTCGGGGCGGCCGTGGTGGCCGCGGCAAGCGTGACTTTGAGGAACTTGACGAACGTGACTTCGAAGAGCTCGAGGAGCGCGGCAACAGACCCGGCGATGACCGCAAGAGCTGGGGCAGCCAGGGCGGCCGCGGCGGCCGTGGCGGTCGTGGTAAGCGTGATATCGAAGAGCGTGGCAACAGACCTGGTGATGACCGTAAGAGCTGGGGTAACCAGGGCGGTCGCGGCGGCCGTGGCGGTCGTGGTAAGCGTGATCTCGAAGAGCGCGGCAACAGACCCGGTGACGACCGCAAGAGCTGGGGCAACCAGGGCGGTCGAGGAGGCCGCGGTAGGCGTGATATCGAAAAGCGTGGCAACAGACCCGGTGATGACCGCAAAAGCTGGGGCAACCAAGGCGGTCGAGGAGGCCGCGGTAGGCGTGATCTTGAGGCGCGTGGTAACAGGCCCGGCGATGACCGCAAGAGCTGGGGCAGCCAGGGCGGTCGCGGCGGCCGCGGCGGTCGTGGTAAGCGTGATATCGAAGAGCGTGGCAACAGACCTGGTGATGACCGTAAGAGCTGGGGCAACCAGGGCGGTCGAGGTGGTCGCGGCGGTCGCGGCAAGCGTGATGTCGATGAGCTCGAGGAGCGTGACTGGGAGGACCTCGAGTAAGGGTTGCCACAAACCTCATGGGATAGGATGTATTTGGTTCGCAAGATTTTTGGGTTGAAGTTGTCTGTTGGTTACCGTTTGGAAGAGTTGCAAAACAGCTTCGTTTTCCCGATGGGCGGCCCCTCATCAAAACTCTTCAAATGTATAAATACTTCTTACAGAGCACCCGTGTGCAGCTGTTTTTCAGTTTCTAGTTGTCTAGTGTGTTGACATTTTCAAGATACTTGCGTATGTGATTGCTCTCATGGTTCTTTAAGATTTTTATACAAGATATCTCCTTGTGCTGATACGACAGAGATCGAAACAGGTAGTCATGACATTCATTTCCAACTTGGCCTTCCCTGCTGAAAGCCCTTACTGCTATGCATTTCTCACGATCCCACAGTGACAAGATATTTTTTACTTAGAGACATGATACCCTCCGTGCGAATGTATTTTGGGTTTCTCTATATGATGAATGACGATATAACCTAATAATAGGCCCAACACTTATTTTATATTATTTAAATCCTTTACAGTAAGCCCAAGGGTGTCAACTAGAAAACATGAGGCATTGTGGAGCAACAGGGAGCGCTCTAATGGTCCCCAAAATGGCTGAGGTTGCGATCCCTGCCTGTTGATTTATAAGGTACATGACGATTACGCATTTCAAACTCGGTTCCGTATCCTCTTCCGCTGCACTTGGGAGAGTTTACAAGTGAAATGATAGACTTAGCGTATCTGACGGATCTATCTATGCTGTCAAATGGCAGTACCGGGGTCTGACTGCTCACTGTGCTTTACCTCAGCTACGATTCGAGCATGGGACATGGTGATGCCGCTAGCAGAGAAGTCCGGAGAGTGCAAAGGCTTAGGTCAGTTGGTGGTATGCCTCACTCAAGATGCAGAGACTGAATATTATCGTGTGATGCGACTTTCTCGAGTCCGCCAATATATTTGTCTCCAGAACCAAGACAGTAACGCATAAAGAGTTTAGCAACGCCTAATCCTAAAGTTTGGGGTTAAATAGGCTCTGTTGAATTGAGGGTAGTTTCGAATGGAATCTAGTTAGTCGCACGGGTAGTGTTTGTTGAATGTTATAGAAACCTGGGTGAATATTGGCAAGGTAACATTTCTTGGGTCTTTGTGAAGCTGTGCTGGGGGTAAATAAGGCAGAATATATCGGCTTGAAATTATAGATTGATAGCATGTATCCAGCTTCATGTGAGCAGGGGATTCAAAGCAAATACTTCAAAAATGCATTTCTTCATTCCAACGTGTGTTCAGTCAATGTATCCTTCTTTGACTTCATCTCCACAGGCATCATCTCCATTCAGAACAAAGCCAGTCCAATTCCATATTCATATAAACAATGCCAATCACTATTCCGCATGGTCCCAACTCCAATTACTCATTCCTTCAAAGACGATTTTGTGCAATTGATTCAGAATATAAACGCATTTTCAATACAGTCTCTCATCTGCGTCGTAGACAGGCAAGCACGCCCCCGTTACGCAAAGTACGAATCGTCACTGCTGCGCCAACCGGCCACACTCCACACCAAGTAAAGGAACAAGGCGAGAATAATCAACGACTCGTACGAAAACGCCCGTAGATTGGGGAACGTGCCGGCGTTCCTGCGCGGCTGGTGGTCCGCAGGGGTCGCGTTCGCAGCGGGAGCGGCAGGGTGGCTCTTCCTCTGCGGCCACTCGCTGTACAGTTTCTGCTGCTGATGATTGGTCCCGGAGGAGGCAGCAGCAGGTTGGTCTGCCTCGTTCTGCCGGCGCATCCGTCGCTCGGGGTTGAGATCGGCGGGTGTGATCTTCTTTCTTGTTGGCTGCACGAGGTACCGTTGCGCGGTGTCCGATGCCGAGTCGGCTGTCCGGTTCACGGCAGACATGGTCAAATTGTTTGGTACTGAGATGAACAGCTATTAATTGGGGCGGCGGGAGCGAAATGCGCCAAATGCTGGGAATTGAAGGCCTGAGAGCGAGAGAATTGGGCGAGGTGGACTTCGGTCGAGTTTAATAAAGGAGAAGAAAAAAAAGGAGGCAAGAGTCGCGATGGCGACACGCCTTGTGGTCAGACAATTAAGGGCTTTTGCTCGGCCGATACTGCAAGTATACTCAGATAATGAAAAAATACCTGTAAATAAGCTGCCATTGGGGAGGATTTCGCATCAGCAGGATGTACTCTGCGCACGAGCAAGAGGATCTATATTTAACATCCATGTAAGCACACTTAAGTCCCAGGCATCAGCCAACACCCAGTCTCAGCCTTATGAGATCTATTCCTTCCGTGCTGTGCATGCAAGCTGGAACATTCACCCTGGCTGTAGCCTAATGGAACATATCGAGTTGCCTAGGAGTGTACTAATCACCCAGCCCAGCTTGAATTCAATGCTTGCCAAGTTCATTCACTTTTAAAATTAGCTGAGCTTGTACCCTGTCAGCTCTCCACCACTCCATCGCGAAATTCCTCCCTACTCGCGTTATCCTCATTGGCTTCGCCGCCGCCACACAGCCAAGCAACAGGGCATCTGGCAGCGCAGAGGACGACAAGCCAGGCACTCACTGGAGTATTGTCTACTTCGGTCCACGCCTGTCGAATCCAGCCGCGTACCGCCCCTTTCCATGTCCAAGACAGATGTATATGTTAGCGGGTAGCTGGTGGTAGCTCATGTAGAGCCGCCGTCGTCGACAATGCATTTTCCCATAGGCACGGTAAGGCTGCAATTGAGAAAGACGTGGGTGGCATTTGGGTAGTATGCTGCAATGGCCTCTGAAGCTATCCAGGCTTCGGATATCTGATCCAAAACACGCTCATTAACCTAATGTCGATACACTAGCCAAGATAAACAAGTGTTCGTTTTTTGACAGCATCCAAAATCCCGGATGGGTCTACTCAACATATTGATGGTAGATTCCCCGGTCAATTGGTGGTAAGATGCAGGCGCAGACCTGCTGGGCAGCGTAGGAGCATTCCTTGGGGTGGTGCGTCAGCTCACTCGTTCGTTTGGTATATCTTTCAGCATTCGCCCGCAAATTGATTTCATACAAGCACATGCACGGAGCAGACACTGCCGGCAGGTCAATAGTGCTTTGGCAGCTTTAATGATTCGAACTTCTCGCGTAGAAATGTCATCACCTCGGCATTGCACTCCACTTTGAGTAACAGGGCATTGGCATCGCCATCGATTCGGAGACCCTCTAGATTGGTTGCCCGAGAGAGGGCCACATACACCTGACCGTCTTCAAAAGCCCTCGACACATCGACAATGACACGGTTCAAGGTCATGCCCTGACTCTTGTGCACGGTCATGGCCCATCCGGCGACGAGAGGGATCTGAGTCCTGTGAAGGACAGAGAAGTCTTCAGGGGCTTTTCCTTCGCCCATCGTGGTGACAAAGCACGAGGGATAGATAGTCCTTCTTAGGCCATTGTGGAAAATCACTTTCGGCCACTGTTTGACGTGCGTCTGCTGTGAAAACTTTCTGATTTGTTCCTCCTTTAGATCTGCGTAGTCTCCAGTAATGGCTATTGGCCCCAACTCATTTGAACCTTGCCGGTAGGCATATGGGAGATTCTTTGGGTCCACGTCCTCCCAGCCACAGATCAAGCCTTGGCTGCCATTACAGAGCCCGTCGGAGAGGTTAAGGTTGACTTGCAGCACGACGACCATTCCCACGCGGAGATCAACCCATGGATCGATTCGGTGCTCACGAAGAGCTGTTCGTGTGCCATCCTTATTAGCCAATTTCTCAAGGTATGGGTGCCTGTCGCGTCTCCACCTAAAGCCGTCCACCGCCGTGAACTGGTGCACCTCCGTCTTTAGCTTTTCAAACTCGGCCCTGTTGAATCCATTCACCTCCTCCCTGGTGCAGAGGATGCGTGTGGCATTGGCAACTTTGCACTCGTGATCCACGAGGCGCTTCACCTCTTTTGAGTTAAAAGCCTCGCCGCGCCGGCATTTCTGTAGGATCTTGATGAACTCTTCGTCGTGTTGGCGATGAATCTCGTTCAGATGAACGTGTTCCAAGTTGGCATCCTTCCAGGCTTGACTTTGAAACGCCCATTTGTCCGTTTCCTTGAATGGACCATGCTTATTGGGACATCCATACTGCGTCTTCCAAGCGTTCAACGTGGTTTTTAAGCCGCAGAACATGCAATACTCGAAAGGCTTGACCGGGGGAAGCTGGCAGAAGTCGCCAGTCAAAATGACTTGCAACCCCCCAAAGGGGTGAGTTACCTTCTGTCCGTACTCCCTGGCTGCCCGCAGACAGACGTCCATGCGCTGCAAATGGTGATTCTCTACCATGCTGATCTCGTCGATGATGAGAACGTCGGTCCGGCGCAACCGTTTCCGCACGTGCTTCCGAAAAGTCCTTTGAATGAGCGTGTCCAGGTCCAGTTGGTGATCAGAGGGCGTCCATCCCATGTAGGACCATGTGGTCATCCCGTCTACCTGGAGTGCTGCTCTCCCCGTAGGTGCAAGAATACACACGTTCTTTCCCATCTTCCCCTCTGTTTCTTCTCGGAGCTTCTTGACGGCTGCTTTCAGGACGGTTGATTTGCCGCAGCCCGCAGATCCAGTGTAGAAGACATTGCGGCCGCTGAGGATCAGATCAACCACCTTCTGTTGCTCTGGACAGAGGGTAGGGTCTTCGCTCGGAGGTGTCTCAGCGTTTGGGTTTGGTTGCCCAGTTGTGGGAGTCTCTTCGTTTGTCTCGTCAATGGAATGGGAGATTGGGTTTGCGGTGGGTGGTTGTTCGCTTGGGCCGGCATCGTCACCGTCAGCCATGAACTCGCCAGACCGTTTCTGGAGCCAGTCTGGGTCGTTCTTCACCCGCTCCAGCTCATTGTAATCAATATAGATGGCTTCTTTGGGCCGCTTCGTCGGAGGCAGGCCCTCGTTACTCGAAGCAGATGAAACCACAACTACTTTCGAGGGCGAAATCGTCTGGGGGTGGGCCTCTCGTTTCCGCTTGTCTCGGGACGGGGTTTGCTTCAGGGACTGGCGTCGAGGACTAGTCTCGGGCGAACTAAGGAAGGGATCATCGTCGACATCTTCGATGGGTATTAGGGGTATTCGATCTCGGGAGACAGGTGGTGATAGTACGCCATGGGCTGCATGTGCATCTTTGCGGTCGGGCGTGGGGATGCCGGATGGCCATAAAGGCGACGATTGGACGTAGTAGCTGTAGCGAGGAGGTCGAGATTAGCATGGCGAACGAACACAATAGAAAGACCTATCGAGTGTAGAGCGGCAATCGTACTTCTCCATCATATCGGATGCTTGACCAAAGACACACAATCTGGTGCTGTGATGTGCTGAGGTCGGTCTTGGTTCACAAATCCGACGCGTCTGTCACGTCAGTCTTATCGCTCGTTATCGCCAATCCGAATCCACTAAGCTCCATGCTGGGGGAGGCCAATTACTGGGGAGATGGGTCGCTTAAGCTCTGGTAGCGTGCGCTGGGGCGGGCCGCTGTCCACCATTAAGTATTAAATTTAGCACGGTTACAGTTGACAGGTGCTAACGGACCTCCAAGACATCTACAACCGTTGTAGTCATTCCTGAAACACAATCGATTCCGTTTTTTATATTAGGTTAATTTGATCTAGCTCATTATATCAACAAAACGCTGCCAGTTCAAGACAGCTCAGTCACAGTCCAAGAACTGGACACAGTGACAAGACCCAGGACTCCTGATACCAGATGCGCGTGCGTCGGGCGTCAGCTCGGCGTTCCCTACGCACGAGACCCGGCTGGAATTCTCAGCTGCGCTTGGTCTCGATCACGCTGGATTGGGACTCGGCCATGGGTCCAGACAGGGGCACAGCACAGCTGCAACAGGATCGTTGCAAGTCTAGACTGCTCTGATTTACATCCAAGTCATAATGTCTATCATTGACCCCTCACCTCCTTGCCCACGGCACGGCACGTCACGTCGCGGCCGTAGTACCGTTCGTGACATCGAATGGGTACCCCATAGCAATAGTGCCATCTGCCCTAAAACTATTAGGTATCATGACCACTAAATCGTCGCCCTAACCCCAACAGCTTCAATAATTGCCCCCAACTCATGCCTATGTTACCAATAAGAGCCATGGAATCGCACTCGACGAAAATCACATGAACCAATAGTGGCAATGGATCAAGGCTGAATTGAAGCCCAGAACTGTCACTCAGGCTAGTCCGGAACTCATGCAGAATGTCAACAAGACAGACTCATCTTACAAACATTTGTATATATAGAATTGTTTTCTTTGAATTCTTTTATCAGACCCTCGTTATAGCTGTTCTTGTTGGCTTTAAACCTCCATTCTTGACATAAATACATTCAGTTTCTCTACTTTCCAATATCCGCTTCAATCATGTCTTTTGTCCTAAATGGAGCTATTAAGGATATCGATGATCCACGGGATCACGATGTTGATATGGCGAAGATGAACATGGATATGGCCGACTTGACTGGTTCATTCGATGTTACTGTCAACCCCCCAACGGGTCTAGACAAGCCCTATGAGTTGAAGCACTGTTACAACCAGTTGCAAGTCAACTCATGCACCTCAAATGCCATAGCTTTGGCATACCGGTTCGAGCTTCAGCGGCAGCAGGCGGCGGATTCGTCATTCAAGCCTTCGCGCCTCTTCCTACACTATGTAGCTCGTTATGCTGAAGACAACGCAACACCCCAGGATAAATCGCCCGAAGGCGTTGTCAAAGCCGAATTCTATGAGCGTCTTGCCAACTCACCCCCTACAACCCCTGAGATGGTAGATAAAGGGGCCATGCCTCGCGACGTCATCAAGATCGTAACAAGCCTGGGCGTGCCACAGGAGGCTGCAAATGCCACAGATATCGTGAGCACCCCCAGCAGTTGGCCGTATGACGAGAACTTTGTTTCGCTGGTTCCGAATTTTCAAGCCTTCCAAGCCGCCACCTTGCACAAGGGCTTGAACTATGCGCGCCCTCACCTTGATCCCAGCATGAGTGACCATTCCATCAATTGTTGGAAGGGCTGTATCAAGTCTGGCTACCCTGTCGTGTTTGCATTTTTGACATTCCCGTCACTGGCTACCAAGGGCTACGATCCCCGCCAGGACCCTTTCGTCTTGTCATTGCCTCTAGAGACGAGTGCAGCTCAAGCGACAGGCGGTCATTGTGTTGTCGCTATCGGCTGGAATGATTCCGTTAGTACTGGTAATGGAGTGACAGAGGGCTGCTTCTTAATCCAGAATTCCTGGGGAGAAATAGGACTTGATGGAAAAGGGCGGTTTTGGCTCCCATATACTTGGTTTGGTCGAGATGGATATCTTTATAGCCCATGGACTTTCATGAAAGGTGTTTCAAAGTAGTTACTTATCATGTCGCCTTAGATTAGTAGTCAAGTTCATAAACCATAGCTACCAATGGAGAAATGGGGGAAGCCTTTCACAATGCCATACTATGAAATATGACCTGAACACCTATCCTCTTATGAATCCGAGGTAAGCTAGGGAGATTCTAATTAATTCCTTATGACATAATTTGAGCTCGTAGGAAAATCTGGCCTTTTCTCGGTTCTTTTTTTTTTCCCTTTGGTAGGGAAGGGAAGTTGAAAGCATAAGCCTTAGACTTATACGAGGGTTCATAACAAATTCAGTATTAATCTGCGTCATCAATTGACCACTCGTGCAGAATATACTTGGCTTGGGCGACAGCTCCATGCAACAGCAAAGACATCCCATTGAGGATCTCGTGGAACCCATGATCGACATCTTCCCTGCCCCTAGAGGCTCAATTGAGGCACATGGGCTCTTTAGGCTGTTATGGAATTCCCTACTTGGGTCTTCTGGAGGGATCACCACACTTAGCCTGTTCAACCCTCTGAGGTGGCTCCAACGACATCATCGTTTAGAAACACACAACTCGGCAACTGACCAAAAAGCTGTGATATTACCCATGTTTACAGCCCTGGGTTAAAGTGCTTTGCTCAGCAGGGTGGGATGCATGAATCTGCTGCGGCACTTGTTTCCGAACCCTTACCACGGCATCTCGTTGCGGCAAATGGAGTCATACAATGAAACCCTGTTTAGAGGCTGGGGTTCCAATTCCATCCTGGGGGACGTTTTGGAACGTGGGACTCCAACACGAGATGGGCGCTATGACATTCCGGAGCCTCCATCCCATCACCCAATTGAGCCTCGTCAGTTGACCATGTTTCATAGATGCTGGCATTGGTACCACTGATCTGCCTCAAATTGAGCCTACCGTCACTTTAGCCTCTGAATTCAGCCAAGATTCCCAATTGAACCTTGAACTTGGGGATAGTTTCTTGCCTCTGTGATTCAAAGTTATCAACCGTCACTGGTCGAACCATTTTCGCCTGAGTATGAGACAGCACCACTAAAAGAGGCAGCTGGTAGCCAATACTTGCTATCTAGAAACTAAACGATGTAGTATCCTAGCTTGAAATATTGCAGCACCCTACCCTTCAGACACGCTTAATGAATGATATCTGTTCCCTTAATCCCCAAGACATTCGATTCTGGCATCCGTGGTCCAATTAAAGGGTTTCTCTTCCATATGCCCCAAGTCTTCCGGGGGGGCTCGATCTCGGAGGGTCACGATCCGACGCAACCCTTCCATCGCCTTGCCGAGGCTAGGGTGATCTCCTTGTTGAGTCGTCGGTCAGTTTCAGGCTAAATTTCCAACGTCCAAGTAGCAATAGACATACTGAATATGTGTATATGCATCCACGCAAACGTAGATATATAAATAAAGACAGTTCCAGCCTAATGCTCGAGAATTTTTGCTCTCAGTACAGACTTAGTCAAGTAAACACAACCAAGTACGCAAGATTCACTTCCTCTCGGATTACTCTATTTCAACTCAATTAACAACTCACGGGACCGGGCTGTAACCATGAAATTCTCAGCCATTCTCTCAGTTCTTGCCTCAACGGCGGCCGCAACCCCCCTAGAGCCACGCCAATCGTGCCCCGGGGTCTACGTCTTCGGCGCCCGCGAGACCACCGTGTCTCCCGGCTATGGCACGTCCTGGGGCCTCGTCAACATGGTCCTCCAGGCCTACTCGGGCTCCCAGTCCGCGGCCATCTCGTACCCGGCGTGTGGCGGGCAGTCCAGCTGCGGCGGCGTGAGCTACGACTCGTCGGTCCAGCAGGGCACCTCGGCCGTGGTGTCGGCCGTGACGAGCTACAACCAGCGGTGCCCAAACACCAAGATCGTCCTGATCGGCTACTCGCAGGGCGGGCAGATCATCGACAACGCGTTGTGTGGCGGCCAGGGCCCGACGCTGTCAGGGAACGCGCTGGCTGCTGTCAAGGCTGCGATTTTCATGGGAGATCCCCATAACCGAGCAGGTCTGCCGTACAATGTTGGGACATGCACAGCTGGTGGGGTAAGTGATGGCGGAAGATGTTGAAGACTCACAGAACTTATTGAAATGGACGGCTAATTTGTCAACAGTTTGCCGCCCGTCCAGCAGGATTTACATGTTCGCCGGTCAATCCCTCGCTGGTTAAGAGCTACTGCGACGCGGCGGACCCGTACTGCTGCAACGGAAACGATGCCAATCACCACCAGCAGTACGTTAACATTTACGGGCAGCAAGCTCTGGCCTTTATCAAGAGTAAGTTGGGTTGAACACACCAACTGTCTGGCAAGTCCAAAGGGAGGGAGTCAACAACCAAGGCATTGCGGAGATTGAGAGTGTATAAATCAATCAATCTACGAAGTTAAAAATTGATCCTCTTTCTTGGGGTGTCTCTTTTGCATTGGACGTGAAATATGACAAAAAGTGAATCGAATTTGCATTTTATGCCTCCTAAACAGTATGGAACAATTTCCGTAGACTAAAATGCGCCGACTACAGAGCCATAGTCTCGATCCATCTGATTATCCTGTGGCCATGCAATATTCCAATGATTTCCCGAGTCTATGTATAGTAATCATTGCCAGTGAATACTCAAAGATACTTCTGCGTAGTTTCCACAACATATTTAGCGAAAGCTTCAGGATGGGAAACATAAGGGAAATGCATCCCGGGAAGCAACCCAATGTTGACACCAGCCTTAACAGCGGTAACAATGTTATCAAAGAAAGACTCGGTTGGTGTCGCAGCACCGACGGTCCAGTCCAGTGGCTTTCCACGCAGAGCCTCCACATCCTGAACCGGAGCTGAGGGAGGAATTGTGCGTGGGTATCCTCGAGCCCAAACGGGGTAGTTCTTGTGCAGTCTCGCGTGCACCTCCACCCCCAAAGCTTGCCACGCCTCCGAGCCTCCTGACACGTCGTTCAACATGACATTAGCCAGGATCTTTGAGATTTCCTCGTCTTCGAGCACAGCGGTATTCGAAAGGTGGTCCAGTAGCTTTGTTGGTAGTTCGTGACACATTGCGTTGCGTATCCTGTCGGGGTAACCCAACAACAGCGCAACGACGGTGGAAGCTCCTGAGCTGCAGCCCCAGACAGTCGCGTGTTTAATGTCAAGGGCATCCAGGATGGAGATGACATAGGAAGCCAGCTTCTGGGCCGTGACCTCAGTGTAGGTCTCGGCTGGTGCCTTGGCGGACCGGGACATTCCGGGCATGTCAAACGTAGTAACCCTGAAGCCTTGAGCAGCAATTTGCGACACGGAGCTGTCAAACATTTGGCATTCTCCGAGGCCATCAGGGACGAGGACGATATCGGGCCCGGTACCCTCCTGTTCATAGTACCAGGTGATGCCGTTAGGGGTCGAGTTTGTGTTACGAGTGCGCATGTTGGCGGTCTTTTCGTGGGAGGTGATTGATAGACAAGTGAGAGCTTTGTATGATGAAATAGAATTGCGATGAGTAGCTTAATTTGCCTCAGGTGGGAGAGCAGAGTCTACATATATGAATGAATATTCCGCCGGGCGGCGGGTGAGAAGCGATCATGGACTCGTCTCTGCCAGTCGAAGTCGAGATGAAAGTTATGTCCGAATGTCGTTGAACCGCCGGACCGGCGGTTGAAAACACGAGGCACGGCTTCGGGTCATTGGTGCCATCCCTGCAAGTCCACAACAGGCCTCCACAGATAATGCCCGGCGATCTCCATTGCCTAGTCCTCTTCCCATTGCCGGAGATGGACCAGCAGTTTCGGCTTCAAGGAGTGTGTGCGGTTGGAAGTATGGAAATCGTCACAGAGCATTGCCCCTGCAAGCTCTTTAATTTAGCGCATGGCATTAGTTAGAGTTATCGCTAATTCCAACAATCTTATCTCGTTGTGGGTCTCTCTAACCTCTAACCTCTGGCTGGTTGGTTTGTTCAAAAGCAATGCACTTCCCGCACAGCCTCTTGCCGATTACAGTAGTACTTGCTATTGAAAAAAGATAACGATTTGATATAAAGTACATGGAGCGATTCAACATCTCCCAGCAGCATCGTGCTGGCACTTGATACTCAATCCTCTGGTGCCTAAGGATACACTGCTACTGAGAAAACCATGGACAATCCAGTCGCCTCCAATATCTTGGGAACCGCCGGGGCAGTTCTCTGGTCCATCCAGGTACGATAATCCCACCCCGGGGCAGCAACTCCCAATACGGCATATACATGTAAAATGTATGTATGAGACCCCGGCCAAGCCTGCTAACATGACCGCCTGCAGCTGCTGCCCCAGATCATCAAGAATTACCGCAACCACAGCACGCAGGGCCTCCATCCCCTCATGTACCTCTCCTGGGCGGCTGCCGGCATCCCTCTCGGCACATACAACGTGGTCCAGAACCTCAACATCGCCCTCCAGGTCCAGCCCCACATCCTCATCTTCCTCAGCCTCGTCACCTGGGCCCAGATCAAGCACTACAGCGATCAATGGCCGCTTTTCAAGATCATCGTCGGCGTAGTGGCGTCCGGCGTGGGCATCGGAGGCGTCGAGGCCGGTCTGTACTTCGCCCTGCGGCTGGCCCGGGACAGGCACATCGAGTGGCCGATGACGTTCATGGCCGTCCTGGCGGCCGTGCTGCTGTGCGTGGGTGTCGTTCGCTACTACGTGGAGATATATAGATCTCGATCCGTGCAGGGGATATCCTTCATGTTTGTGTTCCTCGATGCCATGGGAGATCTCGTCTCCATTCTGGCGTTGGTCTTTGCCCCTCGCCTCGATGCTGTGGGCATGGTCATGTACGCGGCTGAGCTTGCGCTCTGGATAGGGATTGGGATCTTGGGCTTGCACTACAGGTTCCGGGTATGGGTAATGAAGAAGTTGGAACATGAGACGAAATCGACTTCACCGGAGTCGGGGTTGGAGTCTACTGAGGGGACGGCTGAAGGAGAGCACATATCTCCAGACCAGAAGAATATCGGAGCGTAGCCATATATGGCTTTCATGTTGAGTTTTATATATTCGCTTTATAGAGACTTATTTTATATGTCACGAGTTAGAATCATCATTAAGGTATACACAGCAGTCATCCAATCTCGTTTCTCATCCTTCATATCAAGACACGATGACTATTTCAAATACATTAGAGGGTAAATTCGTTTTATCATACATCCGAACCCATCACCACTCTATACGCTTCAAATACGGAGGCTTCCCATCAAGCAGATCCCGCCATATACGAATCGACACATCCGCCGACCGGTCACCCGTAAAGACCATGGAGAATCCCGCCGACCGGAACTGAGGATGCACCCCATTATCCACCTCCTCAACTCCCGTCCCCCTGGCCACCGGCTGCGGAATGATCCCCCCTTCCCTTTCTACAGCCGCATAATATTCGTCCCTCGCTTCCATTTGCCGCTCCATCGACGCCTCGATGATGCTCGCAGACAGCTGCGTGTCCCACACCCCCTCAAGTCTAGGCCTCCGCAAGAGAGCGACGGCGCGTCGTCTTGTGGCAAGCCCGAATCCCAGCAAGGCCACTATCGAGAGGGGGTTGGTGAGCGGAGGGCTGGGGATGAGATACGTCCCGTCGCTGTTCCCGTACCCCGTCGCCTCAAGGTCCATGAGCTCCTCGCACAGATTGACAATCGTCTCGCACAGCCTCTTCAGGACAGGCAGACGCTTGATCGGATTCTGCTCGTCCGGGTCCCGGTGCAGAAGTAACCGGCTGGTATGGTGGTAGACGCGCAAGTACTTGAGCGCCTTCTCGATCTGTGCCCGGATCGAGGCTCCGCTGCTGCTGCTGCTGCTGCTGTCCACCACGCTGATGGTGAACCCCCCAGCGGTAGACATCAACGCATCCTCGAAGAGGGCGATGGCCTTCCCAATTTCCTTGAAACACCGGGTATGGCTCCGCTGCTTCGCCGCTATCGAGGGGAGCTGCAGCTCCCTGCTCGCGACGAGCGCCAACAGCTCCTCGAAATACAGCGCCGGGAAGAAGGACAAGCCGAAGATGAGGGCCTCCCCGGCGCGGGTGGCGCGTATGATATTGTCTGGGGTCAGCACATGGCCCGGGATGGCGGTCCGGTCCGGCGCAGAGTACGTCCTCCAGGCTGAATAACTGTCGTCGTGGGACTCTATCGACGGCGAGCCGAGGATGTCGCTGGGGTCCACTATGCTCTGCTGGATCTGGAACGTGATGAGGACCGACCGCACGGAAGAGAAGGATATGGGGGACAGAGACGCCCGGCCGGTGCCCCCTCTCCCCTTTCTCAGCGCCTTGTCCTCGTCCTCAAGCTCGCGGAAGATCTTGGCTCCCGAGCTGACATGCACCAGCGCCTGCGAGTACGACCCCTGGACGACGGAAATACAAGTGAATAAGATACTCGCGATGAGGGCCCGCCACCTATCCATACTCGACGCCGACCTGGGCTGCGTCAGATGCTGCAGCGAGGTCCCGATCTGCTGCATCGCAAAGACATTCTCCGCCGTCGAGCACGTCCTGAAGTCGTAGTCGCGGCACACGGTGCCCAGCGCAGTGACGGCGTGCCATATCGCCGGGTCCGAGAGGCAGAACCGGGGCACCTCGCGGAGCCAGAACTCGGAGCCGAAGACGCCGGAAATGGACGGCGCGGCGACCTGGAGGAAGTAGCTGTACACCTGGAGTTCGTCCGGGTCCTTGTGAGGCAGCAGGATCCTGGTGGGCGTGGCGGAGGTGATGACAGATGCAGCCGGCGACAGTCTTCGGGGGCGGATCTGCAGCTGGCGGGATTCATGCGCAGAGGGGGAAGGGGATGAGGATGATCCGGGGGGTGACGGCGACTTGGTGCCCGGCTGGGCGTAGCCGTCACATTTACGACCGGTAGAGACGCAGCGGTTGCATGAGGGTTTCTGCTGGTCGCAGCGAACTCGTCGGATTCTTCAGGCGGCCGTGCGTCAGTCTCACTTCGGTGTTTGTGAGAGGTTTGGGTGTCAGTCTTACTTGCATGTGAGGCACCCCGTCTTCACTTTGCGGTGGTACGCCTTGGTCGGGGCTTGGCGACTCTGGTCAGCCATGTAAAAGGCTCCTCGGTCTCGTTTACCTGATACTGACTCGGGAGGAGACTCGGTTCTGGATTTCAGGCCATGCGCGTCATCCTGCCGACGAGCTGAGGGGGGCTTATTTCGTATGAGCTGAGAATCGAGATATACCTGTTTGATGAGTCAGCCGTCGGTGATGTCCAGTATCACATCACCAGTTGAGGAATGGTCGGAGAAGGAAGAGAACTCGGAGTACAGTATTCCAAAAGTAATACGCTATTAATTTAATGTCCTCTAGGAAGTGGCTTTTCACTAGTAAAACTGTCAGACTAAACGCCGCATTGATGCCTTTGATAGATACGCCAGTAGATCATCATCCCAACGCCAACGCACAAAGCAAACCAAAAATCAACCCCAGGTACCGCCGCCGCCACCCCTTCCGCCTCTTCTCTGCGCACTCAGTCTCCAGTCGTCCTCGCCGGCAAACTTGTTGTACAGCGGCTGGATCCTCTCAGCCTCCTTTCTCTTGCTCAGTCGGTCGGTGGGCGCCACCTTGAAGAAGGTCGGCGCTGCCTCAACCAGCCACTTGGGCTCGATGCTCGTCGTGTATCGCATGTACTCTTTGCTGGTCAGCACAAGCTCGTGATAGATGACCCACTCCGCCTGCTTCCCAAAGAGCGCTGAGCTGGGATGCAGGTAGACGGGCGTGCCTTCGATGAGGGTCTTGTAGCCCTCCTGGGGATCCTTGCGGGCGGCGTGGCGGAAGAAGCCAGAGCAGAGGGCCTGGCGGAGCTTCTGCGTGTTGCGTCCACAGGATACGATGGGGTGTTTGTGGCGCTTCATCGTCTCCTCGAGCTGGTTGCGGATATCCTTGGCAAGGCGCATGGATCGAGCCTGGATGAAGTTCTCAAAGCACCAAGGATTGGAGTATCCACTTTGCCTCCACGAGTTGTACACGTTCATGATGGTGAGATGGTCACCGTGAGGATCGTGAAACTTGGCCTTCTTCTGGTCGGCCTGTGTCTGCTTCTCCTTCGGTCGGTAGAAGACAGTAGTAAGGTTCAGCATGGCAACGATTGTCAGCATCTCATCCGAGCATTCGTAGTCCACAGCAGCAATCAGGGCCTTGGCAAGCGTAGGGTCCATGGGGAAATCCGCCATTCTCCTACCAAGGCGGGTAAGCAAGCCCTCGTCATCAAGCGCACTCAAGGCGTAGAGTTCTTCCAACGCAGTAAGCATAGTGTTGATGGGCGGGGGGTCCATAAAGTCGAAATGGAGCAGGTCGTTGATGCCCATGGCCTTGAGCATGAGAATCGTGACAGACAAATTTCGTCGCTGAATTTCAGGCATCGTAGTTGGTAACATCTCAGACTCGTACGCTGCTTCTGTGTAGAGTCGGAAGCACTTCCCTGGGCCAGTTCTTCCGGCTCGGCCAGACCGCTGATTAGCTTGTGCCTGGGAAATTGGCGTGATGACAAGCGAATCCATTCCCAGCTTGGGGTCATATGCATTCTGTTTGACGAAGCCGGGGTCAACAACATAGTAGATTCCATCAATTGTAATGGACGTCTCCGCAATGTTGGTTGCAATGACCACCTTACGAGACCCTTCTGGGGCCGGTTCGAAAATCCGGGCTTGCATTTCTGGCGGCAGCGCAGCGTAGACGGGTAGGATAACCAGATCTGGGACATTCGGCCCAAGTGCCTTCATTCGCTCGTAAAGGATCTCGCAAGCCGTGTCGATCTCTTCTTGTCCGGTCAAGAAGAGCAAAATGTCACCCTTTGGTTCTGTGAGATGAATTTGCATGACCGTCACGAGAGCTGAATCAAGGTAGTCGGATTCGGGTTCTCGAGAGTACAGAACCTCAACAGGGAACGTTCGTCCGGGAATGGTGAGGATAGGACACTCGAAGAAGTAGTCGGAGAATTTCTCTGCGTTTAGCGTCGCCGATGTGACGATGACTCGAAGGTCTGGTCGTCGCTTCAAGGCCTTCTTGAGCAACGCAAACAAGACATCAGTAGCAATGGTACGCTCGTGTGCCTCGTCAAGCATGATGACAGAGTATCGGTTGATGTCAGGGTCCATGAGAATCTCACGTTGGAGCATTCCGTCCGTCATGTACTTGATCCTCGTCGCAGGACTTGTGCGATCCATGAAACGAACACTGTAGCCGACCTCTTCTCCCACTTTGCATCCAACTTCCTCGGCGACACGTTCTGCGACTGAAACAGCGGCCACTCGACGGGGCTGAGTGCACCCAATGATTCCGTCGTTCGCAAAACCAGACTCGGCGAGGTACTGCGTTAGCTGTGTGGTCTTTCCTGAACCTGTCTCTCCTACCACGATAAGGACCTGGTTGTCTTTTACTGCTTGAATAACCTGGCTTCGGAAAGCAAAGACAGGCAGACTCTCCCGCTGCTCCTTGATGCTCATGTTGGTGCGCTTGATAGGCATAAGGGGGGTTTTGCTTTCCACAGCCCTCTTCCATTCTGGTACCTCGCCTGACTTGCTGTTCATCCTGGCAGTTCTCAGATCAGAGGCAAACTTGCGTTGGTCAGCATCCATCATAGGATCTTCCCACTGAGACGCAAGGTTCTCCTTTGGCGCCTCCCTTGCAGCAGCATCGGATTCCTGTTGTTTCAGCTCCTTTCTCTCCTTTGCTAACGAAGTACCGGACATCGCGGCTCGGTTCATAGAGCCATCAGGTGCCTTGATAACCCGAATAGGAGACAGTTCAAGCGACTGCTTCGTCTGACCGGCAAGGAAAGGGGGTTCCTCCTCACGGACTTCGATGTCCACGTCTTCTTCAAGCTCCATCATATCTCCTTCACCACGCAATGTGGCATGGTAGTCCTCCTCGAGATCAGGATAGTCAGAAGCTTTCGCAACGCCTGATGCAATAAGCTGGCGGATCTCCCATCGTTCAGGGGATGTCATTCTCTTCTTCTGCTTCTGCGGGGGGCCCAAAGTATCCCGTGGCATGGCCGCCATAGTGCCATTTTGGTAACCATTCCGTGCGCCGCCACCCAGAGCTTCCATGTTGGCGCCAGTTGTGAGTCTTGCCTGTGGCTCCAGATTCATTCCTGTACTCTGGTCCACGTCCTTCATCGACAGACCGACCCTCGATCCTTCAATGCTGATCACCTTGACCCAAACGTCCTGGCCCTTAGATACCAAGTCGGAGGGGTGGTTGACTCGCTGCCCGGAAATCAGCCTAGAAACATGCACGAGGCCATCGACCTTGCCCCTGACGTTGTGTATATTGACAAATGCGCCAAAATCCTTCAGTCCCGTGACATGACCAGGATAGACCTTTTGGAGAATAGGCGCATCATCGATCTCTGCGGGAGGAGCTCGATCATAACCACCCATGGCCTCGTCCTCGTCGTCGTATCGCCGTCGGCCGCGTCGTGACTTTCGCTCGTCTTTGAATCCGTCCCTCCAATCCTCGTCGCCTTTGTCTTGCGATCGTGACCGCGATCGGAATCTATCTCGCTTTCGTCGGCCCCGAGAATGTGAGCGGTCGCGCCTCTTCCTTCGGGACTCGTCCTTTGAATCTCTTTCTGGTCTCGGGCTCCTGCTGCGCTTCCTCGAATCACCCGACCCCCTCGCCTTGCTCTCGAGACCTTCCAGTAGCGCCAGTGTGTCGTCAATCGCGTCACCTCCACTACCACTCTCGGCAGGCTTGTCGGGAAGCGCCAGTCCGCTGAACACTTGTTCCTTCTCCTCCATGGTCCGAACATGGTGTTCTGGCTCGACCGGTGCCGCTTTCTTGCCCTTCATCTTGGGGTGCATGGCGCAGACAAGTCGGTCTATACTGTCGATTAGACTGGGCGGGAAATCGGCGCCCAGGCCGTCGAGCTTCTTGCGGAAGACATCGGGTGTGTCGCTCTCGATGCGCTGGGAGATGAGGAACTCAGCGAGGGTCTTGTCGCTGATGCCCACATGGTTCTGCAGTTCCGAAGTGACCTTGGAGACCAGCGAGAGAAGCTCAAGGTTCATAAGATCATCCATCTTGAGATGTGCAGCCCCTGCCGACGGGGTTGTAGATCCTAGATGGAGTTTGTTGGTGGTTGGAAGCTAGAAATTGTTCCAGCGGGTGGAGCCAACCGAGACGCCTCTCAAAGAATTTCCGTCGCGACTCGCTCACCGATGCGTGACCGCATTCACCGAAGATAGGCTTTCGGTGTGTTTCGGTAAGAGTTCGGGTCAGTTACCCATGCATATGACCAGCCGGAACCAATCACAGGCGAATCCAGCGCGGCCATTACGCAACCGCAGCACCGCCACCACCGCTAACCGAGCACTACGGCTGTGGGAATAGGCAGCCAAACCCTTCTGAAATCCGTCATAGGTCCGCCCCAAGTCCACAGCCTTACTCTATCCTACCCTTCGCCGCAGGCACTTCCATCCTGCTTCATCCTCTCATTCTCTCGACAAATCTACAAATACTGCTGTCTTCAATTCCTCTCTACTTTCGAGAACTACAGTCCAGCCACGATGTGTTCCAGCGACCTTTTCCTGTGCGTCCTGGCCATCCTCTTCCCGCCTCTACCTGGTACGTCCTCCCATCCCACCCCGCTGCCTGGCGTGATCCCCGACGTCATGCTCAACGCCAGATAAACAAACCCCATTCATTGCACGCAAATGCTAATCAGGTGCCCCAAAAACAGTCTGGGTGAAGCGCGGCATCTGCAGCGCAGACTCCATCATCAACATCCTCCTCCTCATCCTCGGCTTCATCCCGGGTCTCATCCACGCCTGGTACATCATCGCCAAGTTCCCTGACCCTGAGTACGACTACGACCCCGTGCCCCAGGACGCCGAGGGCGGCCGCGTCCGCTACATCGTCATCGACCGCCACCACTGCCAGCACACCAACAAGTCCCAGGGAAGCCGCCCGGCCCCGAACAACAACGTCAACTACGGCACTGCCAGCGCGCCCCAGCAGCAGCAGCAGCAGCAGCCCGCCGCCGCCCACCCGCCTCAGCAGCAGGGTCTCGCGGACGCAGCCGAGGGGAGCAGCTCGAACAATCAGGGCGTTCCCCCCTCATATGCCGAGGTGGTTGCTGGCGACAACAAGGTCCAGAGCCACGACTAGACAGAGGGCTTGTTTCGGGGGCGAGTGGTTGGCCGTAGTTTCGCAAGTCTCCCTATTGGTGGCCAAGCCCTCACTCGTGATTATGTCTCTTTTCTTTGTCTTAGCCTTTGACGCGGCCGATGATATAGGGGAGACGGCGCTTCAACAATCGAGGTTGCGCGCGTGGATTCAGCGTCCACGTCATTTGAACTACTTGAATGCTGCACATGCACAGTAGAGGATTGTTTCTTTTTTAATCTGTACGCGGGATGGATAGGGCGTTAGGAAAGTACCAGTGTGTGAAGCTACCTTGGTGCTGAAGTGTATGATAGCACGTATGAAATGTTTTTATTTATTGCAATATCACTCGAGCGCCTACCACTCTCTTGTTCTCTATGGAAGATTCCGCACCAATTTTACCGTAACCGTGATCATTCGTCGACCGTGACAAACCACCGCTCTGTCACAGTAACAACTCTCATTGACCCAACTCACTCCTCACTGCCCTCCTCGGTATCCTGGTACAACGTGTGGATCGATGGCGCGGGTCGCTCACTGAGCCTGGGAGGTTTGAAGTGCTTCATCAGCTCCTGGGGCAAAAAAGTCCAGAAGGACGGATAGATGGTTCCAGCCATCCTGATGTACCGGAAACCCGTGTTGAGCTCGCCCACATTCAGCTTCAACTTCATACCCGGCTTCATGAGCGCAAGAAGGGCATCGTCAAAGTACAGTGTCATCTGGTCCTCGGGAAACGGCCTCGGCATGGGGGGGTTGACCAAGTCACTTCCAATCGTCGTGGGGACGAATGTCGCGCTGCCGATTGGGTTCAGTCCAAGGGACGAGTCGTTGATGCAGAGCGACTCGAACCTCTTGGCGAAGCGCTCCTCTGGGCGATGGATGCTAACAACCTCGACATCGCAGAAGAATGAATAGACCTCTTTGGGGTGGCCAGTGGAGTGTTGGGCGAACAAGGCGTCGTCCTCCAGCAGCGCCAGTGAGCTCAGGAAGTCCACTTTCGCATTGTCCAAGGTCTCCTGGTCTATCTTGTTCTCACCACTGTCCTCCTCGTCAATTTCATCGACACAGAACGCGTTGAAGGCGGCATGGTTGAAGTTTCCAGGCAGCTTCCGCTGCAAAAGATCGACGGCAGCCCACTCGGACCTGGCATCCAAGCAGAGCTGCAGGGCATTCTTGACATCATCCTCGTACTCTGGGCACACATCATGCTGAAGCACGTAACGCAGGAAGTTCTCGACAACGCTAGCCGCCTTGTCCAACATGACCGGTTCTGCACCGGTGAGTTCGAGCACGGGGTTGGAGAAAAACCCGGCGGCGACGCCGGTGAAGTCCACGACCCACCGCTCCTTGTCGCCGTCATAGAAACGGTCGCCGACGGACTTGGCCACATCGTGCGACATGGCCTCTCGTCGCTGAGCAGGCGTGAGTTCTTTGAGAGCCTTCGGGTCGCGTCCTCTAAACTGCGCGGGGCTCGTGTCAATACCGCCTAGGAAGAGATATTCGTTGAGGTAGCGTGAATGCTCGGTCTGGAGTCGGCGGCGACTGCGGTAGCGGTTGATGCAGTTCTCGATACGCCTACATCAGTCAGTTAGATCTTCCACTACCAATAGTTGCGCGAGGTAGCTACGTACTGTTCAAAAGTAAGATCCCTGTGTGCCGCAAATTCGGCCAAGTCAGTCATCCGATGTTCAGCATGCTCGCTTTTGGGTCACTCACTCCGAATAGATCTCGTCCTTTTCCTGCTCAGCCTCTGCTGGTGTCATGGGAGGGTCCGCAAAGTACTCTGGTTGCCATCAGAAAGACGCTGGTCGAACCTCGGAAAGGAAAACTCACCCTCAAATCCTGTGCCACGGTACGCGGGGAGGGCGGTTGGTCCCCTCATCGCCTGACTCCTCTGTCCTCGAGCCTTCTTCGCGCTCGTAGAAGCCGTTGTTGAACCATTTCCGAATGCTTCTTCAATCGAGTAACCCTGGCCTTCGTAGTCAGACTCCTCGTCGCCTTCTGCGTCACTGTGGTTGAAGTCATTTGCTGGCGGGATGTCACGACGCATTTTGGGAAGTGTCACAGAATACAAGATGTCGAAGCCTCTGATACGCGTTTCGGTGGTGGGATGAAAGGTGCAAAGAAAGAAATGTGAGGTTGTGCGCAGGGAGGCAGGTCACGAGGCAAGAGCGAAGTTGCGGGAGAAAAGGAGCAGCGGGATCATTGTTTGTCTTTAAGCACCTTTCGCACTCGGGCCATCAGAATGAAACGAGAGAGAAGGCGGCTATTTCTTCCATTGTTTTCTTCTCCTTGTCCATGCAGCACGGGACTTGTTTAGAAACTCGAGTGGCTACGCGCGCACCCGTCGACGGTTGCACAGGCGCAATTTACACAAAGCACGCAGGTGCCCTTTATGTGTTTGATGAACAGGACCCTCCAAGGCAGAGCGCATGCACCTGGCCAACCTGGTAATTTCGCACACCTCCGTTCAATACTTGGTAGCCTTCAGGTGTTGAAGCTGAACGATACGAGAAAGCTGAGTTTCATCGCAGGAGAGTTTGCGCAGCGCATGCGCTAAAGCAGACAGTTGAGAACTATCCATTAATATCAACGTCCAGGCAGAAGACAATACTTCCCATATCTTACGAGTCAAATATACAAGACCAACAAGATTCACATGTGCAATATACAGATGCTGTCTGCCAACTCACCACCGAGCTAGACAGCATCACCAGACCGGTGGAGAACTTCGGTGATACAGAGCAGGGTGAGGCTTCCCGCATTAGTCTCCGTTGTGTGTCGAAACAAACGGACCGCAGGGTTGCAGTTTGTTCTTCACTTGCCGGCCGCATGTGCAAGATAGGCTCCTCGCATTGGGCTGAGGTTGCGTGTTCGAATGAGATGTGGATGGCAACACACATGCATACACCCCGGTCTTGGTTGATCTTCCGAGATAAAAAGCAACCTAGGGCTGTGCCACGGTATCCACGGCTATGTATGCGAGGCATAGCAGCGTTGACACTATTATGTACGCACCCGATATAGACACGCAAGCCCCGACGCCATCTTGATGTTGAGCCAGGGAAGTGGTACGAGTGCACAAGTCGGGTCAAATGAATCGACAACCCCGATGATGACCTGCTTGTCCAGGGCTGCAGGTCAGCAAGGGCCCAGCCTAACTGCACAAGGCGGTAGACGAGCCGTTTCGCAAGGTGCACGTACGTACGCTGTTGCCAACCAGATGCTCACCGCTGCATCTGCATCCACAGCTCCATCCACTGCGCCGGAGAAGGAGGTGTGTCCAGAGCCCAATACGAGACGAGTTGGACCAAGTGTGGTGCGTTGGTGGGTGATGTGTAGCTGACGCTGGTAAGCACAAGAAGAAATCTGATCTCAACACTCAAACGCAATGCAAGGCCATGCCACGCGACGCAGTGCCAGTCTCATCCCATCTGCTGCGTGGCGAGTGGCTGGCTGTAGGCATGGATGGGCGTCGGTAATGCCAAGCTTATGGGCCTTCGGCACAGGCAGCAGCCCGAACAACGGACGCCAAGGGCCCGAGGGGGAGGGCTGGCCTAGCTGGAGGCCAGCTGAAGGATCCCGATGGGAGGCCGGTAACAGAGATTGGCGCGAATGGAAATCTGCCTCGAGTAAGCCAGCTGCTCATCATGGTGAGTGATCAAATCAGGAAAATCACAAGCGGTGGCTGAGCAGAGTGACAACCCGAACCCGTCGGCAGCTCAGCCACACGCCAATATCCGGCTGTTTAGCGCCCGTCGCGGCCGTCACCCACTAACAGCAGCGCCCTAAATGCAGCTGGAGCGCCTACAAGGGACAGGTTACAGCCCTGTGGCGGGGTAGACAAAATAAAAATGCGGCCAGGATGAGGTACATTGTGCGGGTGTGTCGATCACAAGTCTCTTGCATTGGCAAGTTTCAGGGTACTCTGAAAGGAGGGAGGATGCGAAGAGTTGTTTGTTTTCCATTCATATTTGGATGCGCGACAAGGCAAATGTGTGCGCTGTTGTTGATCAGGCTGTCATCCGCATGCCAGTGCTGTGTGTTGTGGTGTGTGGCACACTTTCAGTCACCGGCAAGCAATTACTCAAACTGAGCAACTGTTAATATCAGCTCCATTAAGGGCAGCAGGTAACGTATTCCAGGGCTGAGAGGGTAGCAGGCACTCCGCCCCCACGTTACCTGCAGTACCGCGTACCAGAAACAGTCATCGAAAAATCGCCATCTTTGGTTGGCGTTGAGACCCGGACGGCCAGTGGCGCGGGGAGGCGACTTTGCTCATTGTGGTAGTTTTAACGTCGTGCCGACCAGGTCGGATTGAAACGAGCCAAGGCCTTCGCGTGTCTGGTTGGCTGCGTCTGCTATTCAGGGACCATGGATTGCACCCCTTGATCAGAGGACAGCCCCATCTCTTCGAAACCGCCTAGTAGCGCCGCCTCTTTGTGCAATTCCACTTCGACTCTCGCACCTGCGGTCCCTCGGTCCCTAAATTCGGACTATATAGACCCAGCGGGAATCCCCAAGGCATATCCACCATCTGCATTCAGCCCATCCACGCCCAAATCAATTCAAATACCGTTCGCCTCTTCTTCCCATTCTCCCCTTCCCTCCAGGCAACCACCCACACCCATCGCCCTACGGAGTGGCTATCGCCTTATCGCTACGCTACTCTCCCCACTAATACCTACAAAGTGCACCCCTCCCCCGCCTCCTTCAACCTCAGCCCTTCACGTAAATTTATCACAACCACAACAACCATGGTCGTCGACCCTCAATCGTTAAAAAGTTACGGCCATGCCGCCGCTGGCCAGTAAGTGTATACCTCCGCGCAATTGCGCAATGGCGCGCCCCATTGCCTTGCGTGCGCCGCGACAAGTCGCAAACCACTAACCTCCTGCCCGCTATAGTGCTGGCACCATGTCAGATGAGGATGGCAAGCTCTTCATCAAGCCCTGCGTCCAGGCCGAGATCGACTTCTATGAGACCGCCAAGCGCGACCACCCCGAGCTCTCTGATCTGATGCCCGAATACATGGGCACCCTTTCGCTGAGCACCCTCGACGAGGCAAGCGAGGCTGTCGCGGTCGTCGTGTCCGACAACGACAACGTCAAGACCGACAAGGACCAGATCGCCGCCGCCGTCAGCAAGCAGATTTCCGCGGGCAACGCCGCCCCCGAGACGGCCCCTGCCGCAGAGAACGAATGGGTTCCTACCAAGGGTGGCAAGATCAGCACAAACAAGGCTGTCGTCTTGGTGAACAACACATACGGCTTCAAGAAGCCCAATATCCTCGATGTCAAGCTTGGTGTGCGCCTGTGGGCGGACGACGCCCCAGAGAAGAAGAAGGTCAAGTTTGACAAGATCTCGGAGGAGACGACGCATCGCAACTTCGGCTTCAGAATTGCTGGCATGCGCATGTACAAGGGTTCCGACAACCCAGCCGACTTGGACGACGAAGACTACCGAGTATATGATAAGGACTACGGACGCTTCTCCGTCAACGACGACAACCTGGTCTCCGAGTTCCGCCACTTCGTCTTCAATAAGAACGCCGGAATCGACAAGACGCTGGGCCAGGCCGTCTGCAAGGCCTTCGTCCAGACAGTCGACAACGTTGAGGAGGTTCTCAGTCAGAACGAGACCCGCATGTACTCTGCCTCTCTCCTCTTCGTCTTCGAGGGCGACGGCAGGGCCCTCCGCAGTGCCATTGAGAAGAACAATTCCATCGTCGATAGCGTTTCCGACAGGCTCCTAACAACTAAGCGTGTGGACAGCGGAATCGCCATCGAGGACGAGTCCGACGACGATCTATTAGAGAACGCGGTGAACTCGCTTCCCCCCATCTTCTCAGTCAAGCTGATCGACTTCGCACATGCCACATGGGTGCCTGGGCAGGGCCCAGACGAGAACATGCTCAAGGGTGTGCGCAGCGTCCGCGATATCTTCCAAACTCTGGCAACCGAGTAAACAAAAAAGAAAGAAAAAGGAAAATACAGCAAAAGAGTCAATCGATAGAAAAAAGGCTTTTCGCGAGAACTTTCAAAGGAGCTTTAACGACATGATACACATTGCTTTCTTCGGCCCCTCATCACTTGGAGCAAAGAGAAACAGGTTTTCAAGCTTTACATGCTTTTTTTACTCATAGCCAGGACTCATCAAAGCGACGGCGTCAAAGACGGATTACCCATATCGCGAGGCGGCGTGGAGTGTGCAGGTTACCTCGCTTTCTGCCCTCTGGAATTTTTAATGGTGTTTATCAGTTTCATGTTTAGAGCCCATGTAGTCCATCCGGTGTTACGATGTTTATGACAAAATATAGTTTAGCAATTGATTGAATAATTTCTACCAGTCTAGTCTGATCACTATCATCTTGTGGCCATTTACTCTTGCCGTTCCATCTACCTTCCATGAAACCTCAGTGAACAGAGTTTATCCTCAGCCTCATCCAGTTGAAGTCGAAAGATGACATTTCCACAGCGTTTTTTGTCTATCTAGCCGGAGGTTTCCCTCCAGCCGACATGCAAGGTTTGCCGCCAGCATTAGTCGCTCCCCAAAGCGCACCGGCGGGATTAGAGCAAACCTTGACCAAAGGTAACACACATTCGCAACGGGCACACGTCATTTGAGACACCTAGTATCACGTAGATTTCACCAAGATGGCTTTTTATCTTGGCGTTGTTGTATAATGGACGTGTCTCCGTCAAACAAGTTGATCTCAATATGCTATTTACACCCCCGTTTACCATCGTCCCTTGATGTTGCAATTCTGATGACGCGCGTATGAGCACGAAGTATCTGATGGGAGTCCGAGTCATATTGATACAGTCTAGATAGTTTGGATCCTTGTCAGAGGGTGTTGGTTCCATGTTGGTTCCAGACGACGCGGCCTTCCGAACACCAACCTAACTCCAGGGCAAAGGCTGTGCTCCTTACCCCTAGGAAACGTAACCAGAATCACCCCAATCAAACACGCCTTGTTGAAGATACAGATGCAATGCACTGTATTCTACACTGCGGGAAAGGGAATTGCACCAGCACGTAAGGTATCTGCTACGGAGCTTGATGGCCTTTCACCATCCCATGAATCTCCGGCGGATCACACTTCAGACAGCAACTCAAGGACATTCTCCCAATCAAGCACAACCACTTTGAGAGAATCTGCCTGCAGGGCAAATATGCAAAGGAATCTTCAGCCAATCCCCACCTATACTAGGACCTAGCGAGCTGAATGTGCCGTTGGTAGCGATGCTGCTAGCAGCCTCCACCGCAGTCTAGATTCATGCAGGTAGCCAATATTCCAAGTCACAGCCTCAGTGTGCGCCATACCCAGGACCTTTTTGATCCGGTCATCGATCGGTGGTGAGGTCCCTAATCACTGATGGACGGCCCCTTCGGACCAGTCCAGCCTCCGGCCTGCCGCATTCACGGCCCCCCTCTGCCGAGACATTCTAGTCAGTGGTCAAGAGCGCACACCCCCGGTGGGTATAGCCCATCACAGTCAATGTGTAGGGAGATGTCTAGAGTGACTGTGTCTCCCAATTTATGAACCAGCATCGTGGGGTGCCTGGGGGTGGTGAGTCCACGACTGAGGCTGTGCAAACCCATCGCACCTCTTGCCAACCTCGTCCACACTTGGACCTAGACGGTCGTAGCCCAATTGCGAGAGCACAGAATCGCATCACCATGCATGCTGCCGCGAGACCTTTGCTTCTTTCCTCAATACCGAAACCCTCTCGGCCGGACTAGACACCTTGCACACATCACAGCCGGCGGCTGCAATGCCCTACCTGGAGATATCTGCATATATCCACCCGCGATGTGTCAATCACAGTCAAGGGCCTTGCCGCTTTTCCGTACAGAATGCCAGTAGTTCAATCAAGCAGCAGTAGAGCCACCGGCGAGGACGCGAGGGTGGCCTGAACCTGACCCAGATCGCTCAAGGTATCAGCACAGTAGGACCGTGACACGCCGTCGACTGTACGACGAGTCTAGACGGTTTCGCCAAGCGGTTTTGCCAAGTCGTGCGCTCTGGGCCTTTCGCTATGGACTATTTTGCAAAGATTTGATGTCTTGGGGACACGTGCTCCGCCTTGGATTTAGAGAAGTGAGGCATCTGAGAGAACAGGGATATTGATGATTTAAAGGCAATGTGAGGCGGTTTTGTACAAGCAACCCCTGTTAGGCCCTGGATTAAATTTCTAAACTATTATAGATTCTGTGATTTTTCATTGTAGGATCTAGATGCTTGATTAGATACCGGGTACATCCTGTTATGGATAGATGAAAATCATGGCAGGGAATAAAGTTCGAGAAGTCAATTAGATCATTGGATACGGTCTAGGGTAGGCAGATAGCTCAACCCCAAAGCTCCAACCTTAATGAGCTATAGCTCCCCACCGAGAAAAGAAACGCGATTCTAAACTTTCCATTGTTCACCAATCCCATGTAGACGGCCATGTCGATTCCAGGCTTGGGCCAGATCCCGCAACAGGTAAGCCGCCCATCTGCTCCTCATGTCTCTCCCGCTGGTCTTAAGCGAGGAACACCAAGCTGACGCCTGCACTCCCAGCCCGAGACCGCCTCTACCCGCATCGTCGCCCTCCGACCAGGCTGGGAATGGCGCTTCCACGCCCCCACGGCCTCGCCCCTCGTCATCAAGATCGTCTCCGGCACGGCTGAGAAGGACGGCATCGAGCTCGCCCCCCGCAACGCCTACACCTTCCGGGCCGCCCGCTCCAGGATCCTCACATGGCAGGGCTGCGAGATCGAGGTCGACGGCCGCACCGACCACGACTCGGTCGCGCCCTACGCCAGCCCGGCCGAGAACCCCGCCAACGCCCTCCTGAACCTCCACGCGCAGCTCAACGACATGCGCGCCGCCGCCGCCCG